AAAAGTAGATATAGAGTAAGGTACCAGATGTCTGTAGCCAAACAAAAAAAATTAAATAATAATAATAATCAACCCAAATTGGCAGTGACTGTTTAAAACTTTATAAATTTTAAACAGTCAACAACACTTTCTCTTAGCTGAAGCAATGAATATTTTGATGTTAATTTCCAATATGTAAAATGTGTAGGCCACATAAACCACTCTATGAAAATTATAGTTATATCTATTGATTGCTCACTATCACAATGTATATTTTGAGGGGAAAAAAACAAAATTAAATAAAAAAAACACTGATTCAATTTATTAGTGGGTATTGGGTTGAGATCATTGACAATTAGTTAGCCTGCATTAATATTTTGACCATTCGGCCTAGAATTATTATTATTATTATTATTATTATTTTCTTCTTAATCAGTGATTGAGTTGTTATTATGAAGATGTTAATAAGTTTTTGCGCTTTCATTCATTAAAAATTTTATTTTTGTAATGACCCAATACCAAAACGTGACATGTAGAAAAATGATTGAAGTGCTGTAGGAGCCTTTTATTTAAAAAATATTTAAAAAAAATGCCATTGTCAAATGTTTAGTTGTTGAATCTAATGTTAGTAGCTGCTATTACGGCAACAAATTGATACAAAACGAAATAAATTTCTCACCCTTTCACACACGAAATGACGTCACTATGATGAATGAGGGAGATGCCTTTTGTTTTGCTAATCAAAATACATGCTCAAAAGTTAAAAGTAGGTAAATTGTTGTTACATAATGTGAAGTGAAGAAACAATTTACTCTTTGCGTGGATGACAATAAATAAATATATACTGAAATTAGTATATGTTTTCAATGATTCACTTACGTAACTATACCGTGTGGGAAATCAAGACAAAGCACAAAAAAACAGTCAAGAAATAATCCAAAAAAAAAAATAATTCACCGCTAAAGATGAAAAAATTTATAAATTATCTCGAACCCTAACTTTCAATACATCATTTCTATCTCTCTATTTCAGAATTTTTTTCATTTAATTAGTAATATAAATTATAAATCGGATCTAAATTCACCAAAAACCGAGTCATTTTGTTGTTGTTGTTGTTGTTTGGGTCACTGTTCCTAAAATCATGGGTCAAAACTCTGGATAGATCCAACTCGATGTGGTTTTAGTACAAAAGGGTCGCGAGGGGTAAACATGGCTACGTTTGGTGTGCAGGGGATGGGAATGAGAATAAGAATGAGAATGAGAATGAGAATAGAATAGAACTGAACAGTATTCACTTTCTATGTTTGGTGTAACACAGTGAATCATTATAGAATGGAATGATTATTATCATTCTATTGTTTGGTTGATCATCATTAAGTTTGGAATTAAATGATTTTTGTCAAAAATACCATTTTCATTGGCTTACATTATTTTAATAAAATCAATTTAATTAATATTCTGTAATGTTATAAGATGCCCAATACTGCCATGGAAAAAAATAAAGAAAACCCTTAAAATAAAATGAGATATTATTTTTGACTCAGGCGATCGTTAATTTTTATTTTATATTATCATTACTCCATATATAAATGTTCGAAGAGAGAAAGATGGAGAAATTATACAAACATTTCAAAAAAAAAAAAAATTAAAATTAGAAGAAGAAGAAGAAAAAAAGAAGAAGAAGTGATATACTCAGAAGATAAAAGAGATTAATATTTGGGATTTGGATCCTCTAAGTTAAATATTCTCTAAGTTATGGTAAGTTGAATTCGCTACAGAATGATACGTAACATTAAAAACCTATCTACTGCCGGTGTTAAACCACGTTAACTAATTTAAAGAAATTTTGAAAACTGCACCGTTTTGAGATAAGTAAAATTTTCCAAAGTTTAAAAACTGCATCGTTTTGAATTAAGAAAAATTTACTATGCTCTAACGATGTTTAACATTGTTATCTCTCCCTTATTTTTTCCAAAAAAAAAAGATCATTCATCTCCCTCTTTATTCATATCTGAAACAAGTCGAGTCTCTATTTCTCTTTTAAGTAGTAACAAATTTTAGATTTTTTTTTTTTTTTTTCCTAATTGGTACTCACACAATCCAGGTTCCAAAGGGATTGTTTGTACAAAATTTTTAGATTTTTTTATCATTTTATTTTTTGATTTGGGTAATACAATAAAAAAGTAATGGATCCGTTAAAACACAATTCAACTCAACCATAGGCATGATTAATATCACTGCAAATAGTATTTTGGAGCAGTAGCATAGATCAAGATATCGTGCATTTATATCATCATCATTCTACATATCGTATTAAGATTTTTTTTTGCTGAAAAAAAGATTTAAACCATGCATTCAGCAATAGCAGATACGCGACTTATTTCAGATATGAATAAAGCACTTATTTCATATATGAATAAAGCAGGGAAAGAGGGAGGATCTTTTTTTTAAAAAGATGAGGGAGAGATAACGATGTTAAACGTAGTTAGAATATAGTGAATTTTCCTTAATTCAAAACAGTGCAGTTTTTAAGTTTATTTAAATTAGTTAATTTGATTTTACACCAGTAGATAGATTTTTAATGTTACGTATCATTCCGTAGGGAATTCAACTTACGATAACTTAGAGAATATTTAATTTAGAGGATCCAAAATACTATTTGTAGTGATATTAATCATGCCTATGGTTGAGTTGAATTGTGCTTTAACGGATCCATTACCTTTTTATTGTGTTACCCAAATCAAAAAATAAAATGATAAAAAAATCTAAAAATTTTGTACAAACAATCCCTTTGGAACCTGGATTGTGTGAGTACCAATTAGGAAAAAAAAAAAAAAAAAAATCTAAAATTTGTTACTACTTAAAAGAGAAATGAACTTGGATCCTCTAAATTAAATATTCTCTAAGTTATCGTAAGTTGAATTCCCTACAACGTAACATTAAAAATCTATCTACTGGTGTAAAATCAAATTAACTAATTTAAAGAAACATTAACTAATTTAAAGAAACTTAAAAACTGCACTATTTTGAATTAAGGAAAATTCACTATATTTTAACATCGTTATCTCTCCCTCATCTTTTTTAAAAAAAAGATCCTCCCTCTTTCCCTGCTTTATTCATATATGAAATAAGTGCTTTATTCATATCTGAAATAAGTCGCGTCTCTGCTACTGCTGAATGCATGATTTATATGTAGAATGATGACAATATAAATGCACGATATCTTGATCTACGCTACTGCTCCAAAATACTATTTGTAGTGATATTAATCATGCCTATGGTTGAGTTGAATTGTGCTTTAACAGATCCATTACCTTTTTATTGTATTACCCAAATCAAAAAATAAAATGATAAAAAAATCTAAAATTTTGTACAAACAATCCTTTTGGAACCTGGATTGTGTGAGTACTAATTAGGAAAAAAAAAAAAAATCTAAAATTTGTTACTACTTAAAAGAGAAATAGAGACTCGACTTATTTCAGATATGAATAAAGAGGGAGATGAATGATCTTTTTTTTTTGGAAAAAATAAGGGAGAGATAACAATGTTAAACATCGTTAGAGCATAGTGAATTTTTCTTAATTCAAAACGATGCAGTTTTTAAACTTTGGAAAATTTTACTTATCTCAAAACGGTGCAGTTTTCAAAATTTCTTTAAATTAGTTAACGTGATATAACACCGGCAATAGATAGGTTTTTAATGTTACGTATCATTCTGTAGCGAATTCAACTTACCATAACTTAGAGAATATTTAACTTAGAGGATCCAAATCCTAATAAAGAAACTCGAGAGAAACGTGAAAAGTGGAATGTGAATTTTTTTTTTTGTTTATGCGAAAGATTTTTGCCTTATTGGAATATGATGAAGGGCTTATTGGAAATATTACAAAAATGATGAAGGGCTTACTGGAAATATTACAAAAATATTTAATCTTACTATGGAATGGAATGACCATTCCATAGGTTTAGTAATGGAATGAGTTTTCATTACAAATGAATGGTTGGAATGAATAAAGTGGAATGAAATACTTTTAATTCCATTATTTTGTTTAGAAAGTAATTTTAAAGATGGAATGTCCATTCTTCACATTTATCGGAGAATGGTCATTTCATTAAAATTATTCCACTTTCCAACAAGAGGAATGGACATTCCATTCCCTACTTAAAAAAATACGAAACAAGAGATCCAATAAAAGTCAACTTTTTCTTGATATTCCTCCCTCTATTTTCAAATATACATCGAAAATATATATTTACACACATACATATATATATATTTATTTGGTTTACATATATATAGATTAATTTTTCTTTTTAAGTTGTGCATAACCAAACGAGAGAATGTGAATGGTTATTCTATTCTATGATATGCAAATAAGGTATATAATCCCTTTTAGGTTCTTAAAAGTCAAGAATCTTTACTTTTGATGTGAATAAGGGCTTATTAGTAAAGCAATAAAAAAAGCTAAAGTGCCCTTATGTATTTGAAAAAAATAACGATGAAAAACAAAATAAATGTAAAATGACCAAAGTACTAATCAAAAGAGAGGGAAATGGTGCCTGTAGGTAAAATGGTCTGAAAGTATTTTGGGAAAACCAGAAGGGTGGTTTAGAAAATTTGTTGTTTAATATAGGCATGTGCAACACACATGATTTGTGATTTTTTTTGACATATTATATGAATTAAGTCCTTATTTATTATTTTTAAAAACTTAATCGACTTATATAATCAAAATAAAAATTAATAATGTTATTTGTCCAAATTTTAAATATTAAGATATTTACCTTACTTTACCCTAAACAAAATTAAGAGAGTGCCCTCAAAGTTCAAACTCCACAAAAGCTGGTCAAAGCTCGAATTACACAGAGAGAAAATACTTACAACTGTGAGAAAAATACAAGTCTATCTCCTCTCTCTTTCACAATATGGACAGGCTGGAAGGATCCAAACCTAATAATGCCACTAATATGAATAGGATAATATATAAACAGGTGACTCATCAAAATTTTCACACGAAAAAAAAAAAAAATTAAAATAGAATAAAATGAAAAAGCAGAGAAGCAAAGGGGCTCCGTTTCCTCCTTTTTCTACTTCCTTTTTCTTTTCTTGGAGTTTCTGCTAAGCATCTTTCCTTCACTTTCGTGTTCATTTCTCATTCTTTACCTTCTTGTTGAGAATTCTTCTGGGTTCTCTTGCTTTGGAGTTTACAACTCTCTCACTTTCAGCTGAATCTTGTTACTTAATTATGTGATTTTAATGGGTTTTTTCTTGGCGGGCATTGTTTGTTTGACTAGAAAGTTGGTTTGCTTTTGGTGAATTCATTTTTCTATTTGCTTTCCTCGTTGGGCTTCTTTATAACCTCTGTTTCCATCTGGGGATTTATATTTCTTCTAAGAATTCTCTGCCAATTCTTTCTGGGATTTTCATTTCAAGCATTAGAATTCCCTCCTCTTACTCTTCTGGGTTTCCAAAAGCTTCTTGCAATTCTATGTACTATTTTGTGGTTTAGTTCTTTTTCAATTCTCTTTCTTGAGCTCTGAATTTACTGAGTTTAATTTTTTTTTTTCATCTCCTCATAATGGTTTAACTTTATGTGAATTTCTTCTTGTTACCTGATCACAAGCACACTTCTGTGTCTCTCGTTGATTGCTGTAATTCTCTTTCCATTGGCTTTCTGATTCCATGGGACTTTGTCATGGAAAACCTATTGAAAACCCACAAAATCTATCCGAAAACACAACAATTCCCGGTGACAATGAGCAGGCAGTGAATTCCCGAACTGGGAAATTATCAAACTTCCCCTTTTACAGCCCAAGTCCCTTGCCCAGTGCATTCAAGAATTCGCCAGCGAATTCGAGCAGGAGTTCAACCCCTCTTCGCATCTTTAAGCGCCCGTTTCCTCCTCCTTCGCCGGCAAAGCACATTCGGGCGCTGCTTGCTCGAAGGCACGGTTCAGTGAAGCCTAATGAGGCCTCAATTCCTGAAGGAAATGAGTTTGAGGCTGCGTTGGATAAGAATTTTGGCTTTTCGAAACATTTCATAACCCATTATGAGCTTGGTGAAGAGGTGGGGCGCGGGCATTTTGGGTATACTTGTTCAGCAAAGGCAAAGAAAGGGAGCTTAAAGGGGCAGGATGTGGCAGTCAAGGTCATCCCGAAATCAAAGGTCTGATTTTGATAGCATTGCTCTAATATCAGCTTCTTTGTAGTTTTTCTACATTTGTTGTGTGACTTATGTTAGTTTCATGCATAGATATGTTTATTTTTCTTTGAAAGTTCTGCTGGGTGAGTGTTTGATCAGATTTTAACTGCTACTGCTCGTGTATTCGCAATTCATGTAAATTGCTGTGTGTTTCACATTACCGTTCTAATAATTTTGCAGTGTACTTTTTTTTACTGATTTTGTCTTTTCCTTCTGGAATTGATTGCATTGTTGGTAAAACTGAAACATAGAGGTGGAATGGGTCATTTCAGAGTTATCCTATCTATAAGCTAAAGCAGATGTTCAATGCTACCCTTAGGTGAAATTTGAATAGTAAAAGACAATAATTTTTTTTATTTACTAACACATTATCACTCTTTTGAATACCATCTCAACTGAGCAGATTGAAATAATGTAAAGTAAGAAAAATGTGATGCCATATTGGCAAGCTTTCATGAAGGTATCGACAATCGTTTGGTTGACATTGGATTTTCTTTGTCTCAGGTGTATCCACTCAGGTTAATAAACCTTATCTTACCTACCAAAAAAACATATGGTTGGCATGAGCTCAGTGCTTTCTTGTAGGGTCAAGACCATTGATTTTTGATGTTGTTTTTAAATCAATCCAGATGACAGTGATTTAATATATTCTACACTTATGCTAATGTTATGATGTCAAACCAAAATGTAGAACTTCCTTGATTTTCATTTATGTCATTTCTTACGCGGAAACTCCTTCCATATCATCATTGCCGTTGTCATTAATACTACTTTCATAGTTCATTAATATTTAAAGTCGTCTTCTTAACTATAGACTATGCAGTAATAACTGTTGTCCTTTTAGCTGTGGATAACTGTAGAGATCAATGTAACTATTAGTATGTTCTAACTAAAAGGGATATGATTTTGCAGATGACTACTGCAATTGCCATTGAGGATGTACGAAGAGAAGTGAAAATAATACAGGCTTTAACAGGACATAAGAATCTAGTTCAATTCTATGACGTCTATGAGGATGATGACAATGTTTATATTGTGATGGAGTAAGCTTAGACTTCTTTAATTTTATTAGATTTCTATTCGTGTTAAACATAATGTTGTTAACTTGGAGATTCTTTGTTAGTTTTTCACTTGGTAGTGTGTTAATGTGAAATGATTTTAATAAAAGGACACTCATTACCTTTTTCTCTCATTTGTTGTCAACAACATGTGAAAATGCCACAGAAGCACATGTGAACTGTGCATGTGTCTGGAAGTACTTAATTTTAATGTTCATTAAGCTAAACACCAAAACCAATGGAATGTTGACGTCCAACTTATTAACTCCCATACGAAATCATCAAGCATCTTTATAGTTCACTTACATATGCTTTCTGTAAAAAATGAGATGAGCCGGCCAAGTTGTATGCAGCCAGTCAGTTTTCAACCATTAGGCTTGTAACATCCATTGGGACCAACCTAGTGGTTTCTATTAGCATCTGTTATACTGTTATCAGCCTTCAACATGTTTCCTCTTTCATTGTCTGAATATCTATGATCTCCTAAAGTAATAAAATGAGATATATCCCTGTACTATTAGCCTTATGTATGACAAGGAATCATTAACTATATCCCTGTTTTATGTTATTCAGGTTATGCGAAGGAGGGGAATTATTAGACAGGATACTTTCTAGGTATATTGTTATATAGTTTGTTTTTAAAGCAAAATTTGGCCTGTTCTGCAACCTTCGAACTGGTTAAAATTTCTATTTGCATTCTCTAGGGGTGGAAAGTACTCAGAAGAAGATGCAAAGGCTGTTATGGTCCAGATTTTAAGCATTGTTGCCTATTGTCATCTTGAAGGTGTGGTTCACCGTGACCTGAAACCTGAGGTAATTGACTTATACACATTTTTCAAATTTAATTTTTTCCCTATATTTTAGGAAGCTTAAACCTCTGGAATTTATTACCTTGCCTGGAAAGTATACTAAAACCTTATAGAGTTTCACGTTTGGAACTGCAGATGCTCAAAATGGAATTAATTCATATTCCTCCTTAGTTTTTCTTCACTTATGGTTAGCCTGCCCATTCTAGTGACAACTTTCTTTCTTAACATCTAAATGGTTGTTTTCATCTGCCACTCAAACACTTGATTCATCAGAAGCTTGGCGTCCCCATGATAAATGTCATTTTTTATGTTGTATAAACATCACTGGAAAACATTCTAATTTCGTAAGAAAGAAGATATCCAGAAAAGAAAAGATTAGTTTTTGGCCTCGGTTTCCTTGAATGAGCTAGTAGAATATATTATGGAACCAAAAATAATTTTTTTGCACATAGCCCTCAGATATATTTCTTCCTTTGTGTTTAATTTTTCTCAGTTTCACTTAAGTCTATTGTACTTCTGCAGTTCTGCTCTCATTGCTGATTTGGATTTTCATCTGAGGTGCCACTGTGCCTGTTTTTTTGTTTTTTTTTTTTGGTAAATGAAATTTTATTTAAAAGAAGAAAGAATATAACTATCTGGTTCAAACCACAATAGAACAGAAACCAAAAGAACACAACCAGAAAAATATACAAAAGCAGAATACAAACAAAACTCAAGGCAGGAACCATCGAACACCTATGAAGGAAAAGGAAACACTAAACTCCACAACCTGACAACACTCTCCACCCATCAATCAAATACCCAATAGCCAACTGCAGATTAAGTGTCACACTTTCTCTATAAGAACTTGATGCAAAATGCTGCATTTGCTAATTTTGGTGTTCTGCAATAAATTAATGCTTTGGTTTACAGGTGTTATCTGTTGGTTGCCTGATATTAATGGTTATTTTGATGATGGAAAACTAGCGTCCATGAGAAGAACTATATATTAATCATGTAGTGACTAAACTAGGAGTTGGTAGTTATTTGTTTTTCCTAGTTAGGAGTTGGTAGTTATTAAATGTATGTAACTGGGAATATCAGAATTAAATGGAAGAATAATATGTGGAAGTTAGTGAAGTTGAAGTGAAGAAATTCAGCAGAATAATGATGCAGGGGTGAATTTGAGTTGGAGGAGAACAAGACAATTTTTTATTTATTATTTATTTTTTGTATGGCAAATCATCTTCTGTTTAAGAAAGGATTATATTGCTATTTGAAACATTATATATTCCCCGTTGTGGACTTACATTTGGTTAAATGAGTCCACATTGATGACCTCACTGTGTAGCCCAACAAGCATTTGGGAATTCTGGTCTCAGCATTAATATTCCAGAGTCCCCTGGATGGGCTTATAATTGAAGTTTCAGGTTGCACTGATCCTATGCCTACTTTTGGATGTCAAATAATTCAAACTAGATGCATTGACAGGATTGTTATAATTTCTCCTTAATCTGAAATTGGGCCATTATTCTTCTTAACCTAGAAGAAAATACTACTAAACTTCTTCATTAATTGTATATCTGATAAAAATTTATATCTGATGATTTGTTGTTTATGTTGACTTCATCGATTCCAGTTTTTGGATCAACAGATAGATTCAGCAATTGTTCATCTTTCTTTGTCCTTCATTGACTAATTGAAAAATGGGATGCACTGTGAATACTTTTGCTTATTATTTCTTTTCTATATATATATATATTTTTTCTTCTATTGATTTTGACTTGTTAAAATTTCTGCTTCAGAACTTTCTTTATACTTCTAAAGACGAGAACTCCCCACTGAAGGCCATTGACTTTGGACTATCAGATTATGTAAAGCCAGGTCAAAACCTAATATGCAAAGCCTTATTCCTTAAGATTATTAGAAAAAAGTTGCATCAGGGTTTGACTGTTGGAGGTTTTTGCAGATGAACGGTTAAATGATATTGTAGGAAGCGCATATTATGTAGCTCCTGAAGTTCTACATAGATCGTATGGAACAGAAGCAGACATGTGGAGTATAGGTGTAATAGCTTATATTCTTCTATGTGGAAGCCGACCATTTTGGGCTCGAACAGAATCTGGAATCTTCCGGGCTGTCCTCAAGGCAGACCCAAGCTTTGATGAAGCCCCGTGGCCTTCTTTGTCTTCCAATGCAAGAGACTTTGTGAAGAGATTGTTGAACAAAGATTACCGCAAGAGATTAACTGCTGCTCAGGCCCTTAGTAAGTTACTTGGATAATATAAATCGTAATATTCCTGATTTTGCCACCCATCATTAACCAAAGTGGTATTATTTTATTTTTTGTGCAAAAAATTAACTGTTATATATATATTTATTTATAAACCAAAAACAGTACAATACCTTGGTACCTCTCCCTTGTGTCAACTGAGAAAACAGAAGGGCATTGTCTACCAAGGATGATGAGTGTGTGTGTAGACACACACAGAATAGTATGCTGGAGTTCTAATTTTTGCACTCTGATTTTCATGGTCAGGTCATCCATGGCTGGCCAATCATCATGATGTGAAGATTCCTTTGGATATGATAATCTACAAACTTGTAAAATCTTATATATGCTCATCCTCTCTCAGAAGAGCGGCTTTGGGGGTATGCAATTCTGCCTTGAGGAAGTTTTCATGTTCAAAAACTTGGTAAAATGGCCATGTAAGAAATATTTGTAAAATACTATGGACAGTTGCTCAATAATTAATTTGTTTCACTTCTCATTTATCTACTGGCCTCGAACAAAAATGCAAAAATGAAAACATTTATCTTAAAGTAGACATACTCGAAATTAACTGCAAGAATTTTGAGATTTTCCTGATTTCTTAAAATAAAAATAACTTTATATTCTTTTACCATTCATATAATTCCCATGCATTTAAGTATAGAATGCAAGAACCAACAGGTATATCAAGTGAAAGTGTTTTCCTACTGTGACAGGCTCTTGCTAAGACATTGACAGCACCCCAGCTAGCTTATTTCCGGGAACAATTTACATTATTAGGGCCAAACAAAAGCGGATTTATCTCCCTGCAGAACTTTAGAACGGTAATCTCTCTCCCTTTCCTTGTTCCTTGGTTTTGGTTGTTTTCACTTGAGTGATGTATGTGGACTTGGCAGGCTGTGATGAAGAACTCTACCAATGCCATGAAGGATTCACGGGTTCTAGATTATGTCAACATGGTAACAACTTGCAGACCTTTTCCATCCCTGCTTGTTCTTTCCTTCTCTTTTAGGTTTATGATAGATGTGTCTAGTTAAGCATATTTGACTGCATATATATATATATATATAGAGAGAGAGAGAGAGAGAGTCTGAATAGTGCCTGAATATATTAAATATTTTGCAGGTGAGCTCTCTTCAATATAGAAAATTGGATTTTGAAGAATTTTGTGCTGCAGCCATAAGCGTGCATCAGCTGGAAGGAATGGAAAGCTGGGAGCAATTTGCACCCCGTGCCTATGAGCTGTTTGACAAGGATGGAAACAGACCTATTATGATAGAAGAACTTGCTTCAGTATGTTCTCTCTCTCTTTCTGCAAAAGAAATTATTTTATTAAACTACCATTTTTCTTCATATAATTTTAAAATTCCCGCAATCTTTCTAGGCCTTCCCTGCCATCTTGTTAGTAAGACTGTAGCAAAGTTTGTCCCCCTTTAGCACCATGTTACTACTACAAAAGTAGCAGATCAAAATTATGAGCTTCCTATAATTTGGTTCCTTTTAATTTTTGTTCTTTTATTTTCTTGACCAGGAACTTGGACTTAGCCCGTCAGTACCAATTCATGTGGTTCTACAAGACTGGATAAGACACTCGGATGGGAAGCTCAGTTACTTGGGATTTGTCAGACTTCTCCACGGTGTTTCTCCGCGTGCATTTCTTAAAGCTTGAATCAAAACGAAACTACACAAATTCATTGAGAAACAAAAAGTCAGCCAAATTCGAGGGAGAGACCTTGAATAAGCATGAGTTAACTCTTAACGGCACAAAAAAAACTGTTTCAAGTTGAAGCTTTGGCCTATGCGGCATGAGTGGCAGTCAAAGCCATTTGCAGCACTTCTCATGTCAGTATGTCTCCTTTCTACCTTATAATTTTTTGGTTTCAATATATCCGGTGAAATTAAAAGTTAAGAGGATTGTACAGATGAGGTTAGATTACATAATGTATTTCGGGTCAGAACTGAGACTGAAGCGGGTTCTGTAGGTTTTGGGTGCATCTCTTGTGTTCACAAAACTATTAGTTTCTTAATAAAATCTTACTGTGATCTGCAAGAAGCTTTTACGATCACAGATAAAAAATGGTTTCAGAAACCCGTAATTGCCACTGTTGTCCTGTTGTTGCACTTCATCCCACTGAACTGCTGATATTTGTAAATAAAATGTACAAGTAAATTTACAAACCGCTGGCGCCTAATTTGGTAATTTTCAAAAAGCTTCATAGTTTGTGTAATTTCAGTTGTAGGTCGGTAATTTTAAATTCAAAACTACCTAATTTGGTTGTTTTCCCTGAACTGCAACTTCCAACATTAGTACTATTATTAATGTATAGAAAGGTCTAAAGATATATTGTCCGAAATTTGGCAGGTCCATTCACAACAAAACATCATATCTGCAGTCTCACTAACTAGATATATATAAAATGCATATGTTTGCCTGTATTGTAAATTTGTAATAAATTTTAACCTAATCATCACATCCACAACTGGCTCATTGATATAACCTGGTAAAAAAAGACTAAGAGGTCCCACCAAAGTTATGATTATATGATATACACATACACAAGTCATAATATATACATATGCACCCATGGCTCATTGAAAAAGAAGTTGTAAGTCCTTCACGTTAGGATATACCAGCTAGACAAGTAAAAAATACTTATAAGGGCAGTGAGGATTCACAAGAAAATTAAGAGTGGGATGGCAATGGATTGCAGATGTTGAGAGAAAAGAAGAAAAAGTAAAAGAAAACAGAGAGGAAATGCTGCGAGAGAGAACAGAACAAGACGATGAGTTTAATTATATGTGTGTGTATATATGCGTGGCCTGATTGGTTCTATTTATTTACGAGACTACATCATGATGTTAACTAATAATTAATGAACAAAACCTGATGCTTTTGCTATACTTGAAATCGAGACTGAACAATTAAATCTCAAAAACTAGCCAAAGGGTATGGTCCAGTTTAGTTCCGATTGAATTGAGTGTTGAACAGGTACGGATGCACCCCAAATTATATAACATAGTAGTAGAAGCATTAACACATAGAGGAAAAAAGACATAGAGGATTAAAGGGAGGTGCGGAACCCTAGGCTCTGATATGTCGGTACACCAAAGTCCCAAACTAGACCTGGAGAGAAGTAAATACGTATTTTTAAGATTTTAACTAACTTTGACATATATTTAAATTCTTAAAAGACAAATTCATTAAACAATAATAGTGAGCAGAGCAGAAAGCAAATTTAGATCAGTCGCACATTAATCCACCAAATTTACGCGGAGAACCCAATAGGGAACAAATACAATCCACTTCGAGGGAGAAGGTTATGGATACATTTATCAGTACGAATATGCCCGAGAGCCTGCATGCTTGAAAGTACAACCATATATATATATATATATATATATCTGAACCTTGTGAAAGAAGACATGCATGTTAATGTAGTCTAAACAACTTACACTCTAATTTCAAGGATAGTATTAATGTGCAGCTCTTGAAACTGATATTTACTATCCGAGACAATTGGAGACAAAAAGAAGAGAGTCAAACTTCTGAAGATGGATAGCATGAATGTCTCGACCGTACCTGCGTGCAACTGACCAATCTGGTACTGGAAAATGGACATATTTGTTTCACAATTATCTCCAGCCATTGATAGGATTCAATCTTTTGATTCCAGATCCAGGTTTCACATTTCAAATCAAGAATTTTCATTTCACTTAGTGAGACTGTGCTTCAAGAAGGATGTTAGTGGCTGTGTTCATATCATTTCTGGCCTGCATAAGCGCTTGTCTGGCATGGTTTCTGTCAAAACCCATTGAAACTAGCGTAGCAATAGAGTCCTCCGGTGGCTCAGTGGTAGAAGACATGGGAGCAGCGTAGTTTCGCTGAAACCAAGCAAGGAAAACATACTTGTTTCAGGGCATTACTAATGCAGACAAAAAAATCACAATCTCGACAAAATTTAATACGCTCAATAATTACAGCAGAATTATAAAGGTTAACTTTATTTCAAGTACAAGATTCATTTACATGCATGAACAAGAAAAAGAGTTCCTAAAATTTGTAATTGGGTATTACTTCTGTTCGTAATTCTGTAAGCGCTCCCGGAAAAATGAGCTATTCATTAGTTTGGAAAACAGTAGGGAAAAAACCATCTGAAGATTGCACAAATGATTGTCATCTGAAGTTTTCAAAATTCGATTTACTAAGTAAACTAGAAGGTGCACACACAAAGCATATAATTATCCCCCAGAGACAAGAGAATAGGGCATCAAGAGAAACAAGGGGAGCATTTAACCATCTCACTCAAAAAGCTATCCAACCTTCTTTTTTTTTTCGATTTAGTATGATATTCATATTTGTACTATTTAAAAGGGTCATGAAATTTCAATTGTATGGTGGAAGGAATAATACAGAATAACATTTGTCTAGAATAGTTGGTTATTTGGTAGGATAGACTATGACATGGCTTCAAAAAGAGGAAAACACCAAGAGTATTTCCAATTACTGCTCAATGTGAGAGGCAAGATATTTCATAGCCAACAAACTATAGCATTTGCACAGAAAAATAACATTATATGCACCGTCTGACAGGTCCAATAAGCTAAAAAAGAAACAAAATAAAAAGGGAAAACTAGGGAAAGAAAACTGAATATACACAAATAAATCTATACATATAATAAAGTGAAGAGAATATAAAATATACTTGCCTCCACTTGGCGACCTGCATAAGATGGCACATTTCCCAGAACACTTCTACTTGTTGCTGAAGGTGGTGTGTTACCCATGGATGGCCAACAAAGCCGCAAAAAGAATGAGGCAATAACATCTGGAAACTGACAACGAGAAATATAGTTGCACCGACTAAAATTAGACTATATTTAATTTTAGACGTATAAAGTAACATTACAGAACACTTTAATACACTAGAAGAGAGGCCCAAGAGGGCACACGTGATATGCATGCAGTATTGCAATTAAAAAAAAAAAAAATTAAAAGAGTAACAAAAACTATAATAATACTGCAACTTTTTTTTTTTTTTTGGCAATTAGTGATTTATAAAAATATATAAACAGAGAGAGAGAGAGAGAGATGAAGTTTAGATTAAGAAGCTTTTTGTCTTTAAAAAAGGTGGGAACGATTTTCTAGTTATGTTTCCTGTGCGATTGTTTTACTACTTCAGCCTATTTTATTAGATGTTCCAAGTTTTTTTAAAAAAACATATTCTTTTGCACCAGTGTACAAGAGATCAAGCTAGAGATAATACCTTGTCCCGACTGGCCGGCTTATAGAATATAATATTTCCTATTCATTGAGTTATCCGCTCCTCCATAATTTTCTAGCTCTGATGAAATCCATTAATTTTTTTATTTTTTATTTTTCAATATTTATGTGTCATCTGAACGGTAGATTAGCATAACTGAGATTAGCAGTCCATATTATAGACAGAGCAACAATCACATAAATTACCAACTTGGGGTGGATCCACTATGAGATAGTGGCAAGTCCAGTGGTGATTAAATCACATATTCAGGTATGCAGCTCAGATGAAATGTGTTCCATCTGTGTATGAACATCAATTGATAAGCAAATAGAGAATCCACAGAGGAATAAAAACCACAAAAATAGACACTGGAACGGGTTAATTAAACCCACAATTTTCTACTTCAGTTTATTCCATTTTTGATAAGTAGGACTCACACAATCATGTCCTCAAGTAGGATTTCAACCATGCATTTACCTCTTATGAGATGACAGAAAAAAACTCTCAAGTTAGGCAGGAGATATCACACTTCTCTATTTTTTTCAAAGGAAGTCGATGGTATATTAGAAAATTCTTGAAATGAATGCTTTGACAACCAAAACAGATTACTAAGTAGTCACATAAATGTCTAAATGCAGATACGGGTAAGGAGACTAGCAAATTTAGAATTGAATTAGTATAGGAGATAACCTTCATCCTGCGAACGCGAAACACATTTAAACGATACAAAGAACCAGCAAGGATGCCACATATCCCTGGTAAAATAGATCTTTTCCAGGATGACAAAAGGAGCTGCAAGAAGAGAACTCAAGTTAAAGATGGAAAAAGAATACGAGCAGGAGAAGCGGTGATAGCAAGGGGCAATGTCCATTTATACATATTTCAGGGCTTTGACTAATGTAATTCAGTTTTGATATTCTGTACAAGCCATTAACCTACTCTGTCATCCATTTAAAGGCCCAGTTATTATACCATCAGGTCCTATTCTCTTTCTATTTTACTCTTCATCATCTTTCTCAGAGCTTCTCTAATTCGGGATATTTCCTTAATGAATTAGAGCCCCACTTAAGTGATACTGATAGTTTCTGTGATAGAGGATCATAGTTCAGTCAGAGTGGAAGAGCTTCAATCTGAAGGATAGATGGACACAGACAGAAAATCTGTTTAGGCTGGTGGAAAGGAGAAGAAAGGATGTGCAGTCAGTGAGGTATGGAACTCTACTCTATCTGGAAATTATAAATGGTAGAAAGGCAGTGTATTTCTGAATTCCAGAAACTTTTAAGGGTAAAGGATATTCAAAGAACGCTGGTGCCGTCCAGAAATTTCAGGGTGTTGGCAAAAAGGATGCTGGTAAGGGGAGAGAATCTTATATGCATGTCACAAAGCTAACAGAAACTGACGATATCATTGAGGGTTTCAACCCAGCCTTGCGGTTAGATTGTGACCTTCAACTGGAGCTTGAATCTAGTAAAGAGTTTGAAGTTTCTAATAAAGATGTTGGATTAGGCATGTGGACTAGGTTAATTCTCTGGTACCGGAGGTTTCCACAGTTCAGATCTGGGCGTACAGAGATGGAAGGTCCCAGTGGGCATCACGGTCGGGAGATGATCTGACCGAGGCACTTCGACAAGATAATGTCCCTGGTCTGATGACTTCCTCTGGAGTCTGTTATAAACCTGGTGCTGAACTAAAAAGTGATTGGATTTATGCTCCAGAGTCGTAGACTCATCTTTGGTGTTGCAAACTGCTTTCAGCAATGGAGGGATGAGGTGGTTTCATCACGTTAGCACAGAGAGAGAACCAACATAAGGTGGATACGTAGTCTGCTCAAATTTGGGGATGTTGAGATTCTAGCTTCCATTTGGATCAGATTGGAGCCATGGTCCTTGATACTCCCGTTTGAGTCAAATAACAGCAAAACTAGGTTTTGAAGAAGCAAATAGGGACTCGAGGCCCACCACTTTGTTAGAGGAGTTTGGAAGAGCGTGGAAGAGTTGGTGGGGGCATTTGAATTAGCTCATGTACTATATAAACATACGAAAATAAATCATGGCAACATTAAAATTTGAGTTACCTGAAGACCAGCTAAATATATGAAAGATTTGTCAGAGAAGTGAAGGCCAAATACACGAAACCGAGTTGAAACTGGAATATCGAGGTAAAAAGGTATGAATGAAGAAAAAATAAGACCATAGGGACCAGAGGTGAGCGTATTCAATAAGGGATCTGCAAAATTAAGATAATAAGATTAAATGAGCTTTGTTGTTTAAATATAAGCACCTTGCACACAAGAATTATGTTAAAAATACTAAAATGATGAAACAGACTGCAAAAGAAAATATTTGAACTACGAACAAAAAGAAGCATGGTAATAGCAATCTAACAAACGTCGATGTCAATAACTTAAATCTTTAAATTGTGCCCTTAATTCCACTCTGGCTTACTTTGTATCCACTTTATTGTTTTTGGTATTTATAAAAATTCAACATGGTTACAGTTAACAAAATGTAGAGCAGAAATAGGACCATCATTTCTAATAACACATATGTCAATGGAAGGAGGTAAGCAAGTGCTATCAGAGCCATTTTCATCCAGCACTTGAGAGTTGGGCTCCTTCTTTTCCATCATTCACTCCCTCACCCTAGTTTTCTAGCTCAAGTGCATTGTCTCAAATAACCTTTTTGCCTCCTCCTCATGCCCTTCATAATATAACTCCATCCCTTTAGTTAGCTCTCAAGAGTTTGTCATTATCCATTCCAAGGTTTCCTCCCCTACATGGCCAACCTCAGCACCACTGATCCCATCCAATTCCTCGTTGTAGGATAGTTGAAACCCTTGATTCGAGGTTTCTCTAGGAAGCGGGGAATGCTTTCGCTTCGATGCCATAACTTCTTCGAGAAATTATGGCCAGATGAAATATTCCTTCCCTAATGCCGGGTTGCCTCTCAAAAAAGAAAGCATTTCAATTGGCCCAGACCTTCCAAGAAAACATTATGTTACTCAAAAGTACATTGCTTATGCTTGTTTGTAACAGTTCTTAATGCATTTAATTCTTCCTCTACTTAAAGCTCAATTGAACCTCTTAAAATACTTTTTGTAGTAACACTTCTCTGTCCCTTCTTTGACTTGTACTCATCTTTATTTCTCCTTCCACACACACAGTAAAAGGTAAAACTTCTTTCCAAAGGAAAAATGGTCCTTTTTAGTAGCACTTATATGATAGATACTTTCTGCATAGAAATGGGTGGAAGTAATGACAAAAAAGTTCTGGTTAGGCAATGAATCACGCAATAATTACACATATTTGATATTTTTACCAATTATTGAGGTGAAAATATTCCTCTTACGATAAAACTACAGATTTTCAGCAAATGGCAACTGCCACAAAGAGGATAACAAGGGTAAACAAGAGCTAAAAAAACAAATTGGAAACAAAATGATAAAAGAGAAGCCACATGCTAATCATGCTATCAAGATACCAAAAAACCACCATATGATACTCTAATGAACATCAGATACCTTTAAGGAGAGCTAGGGCAATGACCTCAAACAGTAGAGACATGATAGCAGAGAATAAGATGAACACCTGAACAACAGGAAGCTGATGTTAGAAAGTTGAAACATTCAGTAGGAAAAGTGAGAGCTACGGCCTCCCACTTTTTTTTTCTTTTTTTAATTTTAAATATATATATCTTGTTGTTAAAGGTCGCTCCTCTCACATAATTTTCTGGGTCCGTCACTGGTATCTCGTCATCCCTGCAGGAAGAACGCAAGGTTCGTCCTGGATCTGTGGAGTGATCATTTGTTTTTTTATTTTTGTTTAAATTATTAAGGGTAAAAGAACTAAAAAATACAACAGACTAATGTCAATTACTCATCAAATACCTCATATACATTAATTCACATCTCAATGAAAAAAATTATCCATGTAAAACTAATTTGAAGGCATACCAAAAGCAACAAGATAAAGCAAAGTGGTTAAGGAAATTAAAAATTAAGATAACACATGCCAATAATATAAAGACAAAACAATCAATAGTCACTCAGTCAAATATTCAACACTTGTCTGTAATGTAGTCAAGCCAAGATGGTGGGTAGTGAAGTTAGAAGACAGCGAAAAATTCTATAATAAATCCATACAAACTAACTAGTAGAGCAAAACCCGTGCAATTTCACTTAAAACAGTTGGAATGAAATTTGACAATGGTAACATTGACAAATAATCAGTAGGCACCATGCATGATAATGACATTTTCAAACATGAAACTTGAAATTATTAAGAGCAATCACTTAGCATCACTTGATACTGGGAACCTGTCCAAGATGCTTACTTTTTTTTTTTTTTTTTATCTCTCTTGTATAATCAACATTGAGCAAAACAACTTATTATTTTCATCATATTTATATATTAAGATATACTTCGTTAATCTTTTCAAATAATCAACAGATCATTCAGCGAATCAGCAAGCTAGAAACATAATGGTACTGCCAAGAAGGGAGAGCAGGGGTCTTGGGGATCAAAGTATAGATTCAATCTTAACATACAGCAGGAAAATTTCGACCAGCACATTATTTAAACTTATAATCTTGTCCAGATGAGTAAGAGCAGGACATTGAAAACTCAATGATTGCCATTGTAAACCTGATTCCATGTAACACATGTGCTTAGTAAAAAAAACAGTTATAATAGTCTAACCAGGGTCCCATCCAACCAAATCTAATTATCAAATCTTATAAAACTTCGTTGCAATGACTCTCCTACGACTGCCTCCAAAATGCCACTACAAACTTTGCTCAAATATTGCAAATCATGGTTTATTATTATTTAAAAAAAAAAAGAAAAAAAGAAAAAAAAAAAAGAAACCCAACTCTCATTCTCTTAAAAGACAAATATGTTATCAATTCTGACAAGATATTAACTTCACCAGTCATTAATTTTACAAATATGAAACAATCCAGCAGTCGGACAACCCACATCAAAGGTTTTGTTGATCCCGCATAAGACATTTAAAAACTGAAGGGATATAAACCAGTAGAAAGCAATTATAATCAGATTCTCAAGCTTACTAGATTTTAAATGCTAGATATAGTCACCATAACAGTAGTGCCTTGGATATTTTGTCAATATGACAACAATTTTGAAGTACTGCCCTTGCTCTTGATCTTTCTCAATAATTTTTTTTTCCCAAAAAAAAAAAAAAATTAGACCTCTTCTTGGAAACACATTGATAATCAAGCACATTCGGGAGTACCTCACCTATACTCATTAACGCTTTCTAGTAAGGATATAATACTACTATAATAATAATTTCTAATAATTTTTCTTGCTTTCTTTTTTCGACATATCCCACTAGCTTTAAATGAAACACAGGATATTCTGAGGGAAAAAAAGACTAGAGTAATGAAATAACTACTTGGGACCCTACATCCTAAATAATTTCATCAACAGATATAGTCCATAAGAGGTTTTGATTGAATAAGGTACTTACTGAGTATTTGTTGGAACCTATCTGTCTCTCAAATACACGGAAGTAGTACAGCAGATATAGTCCAAACATCAGTTCTGGTGTAGATGAAAACGCAAAGACAGACGCGATTAACTTCCAAAGTCGAAGCTTTATGAAAATATCCTGTTACAAAAAGGACAATCATATAGGTTAGGAGGCATCACAAATGTAACTTGTAGAGCTCAAATTTTGTATATGATGGTGACTTCATGAGATTTTGACTTCAAATTTGTATTCACATCAAACGATTAGCTTCCACTTCCCTTTTTTTAACTTCATTAGGTTCAACGGAAGAGACTTCTAGCATGTGCCTTGGCAGAATTGTAAGATGAGTACTACTCAATATTACTGAAAAATATAACTTTTCTCCATGATATACGCAGCATTAAGGGAAAAGCTTAAAGTTGACTGACTGGGTATGGCTTCTGCATAAGAATTGGGCTGGTAACGTGGTTGCTGTGTCAGAAAGGTTTTTGATAAAGTTGAGCGGGCATGGTTTCTTTATCAGAATCAGGCTGGTACCTTAGTGGTTGTATAAGAAAGGTTTCTCATAAAGTTGGTTGGGCAAGAAGAAGAAGAAACAAGAAAGGACAGCAGCTAGAAGCCCTCTATCCATTCTCTCAAGTTTTAATAATAATGAAAGTCATATTAATTATATGACAATAATAGTTGTCAGTCTTTGCCTTTTGAATGAATTCATATTGCCAATGAAAAAAAAAAAATTTGAATTTCATACTAACATTCAGCACCACTTATCAAAAAAAATTTACTATCATTCAACACCCAGCCCAACAAAAAAGTGTATCAAACTTTCCATAATTTGTTACTCTTATTGATAATTATTCAAAAATGACTTGGTTAATTTTTTAATGAAACATCATTATTAGTTTCTTTCTGTCTTTCGGTTATTTTAAAAATAAATTGCAGATCAATAGAACAAAAGAATAAACATTCGGTTCACTTAGCTCCTCTATTATATGGACTCTTCAAAAGTAGTGAAGTACCCGTATTAGACACATATCTCTCGGACATGGGAATGGGATATGTGTCCGACACTTTCGGTTAGACATGTACTTAAAAAACATATCCAATCATTCAATTACATTATATTATTACTTTAAAGGAGTTAAATGCTTATATTGAACATTATATTAGATAAAAACATTACTTTACTCTAGAAAATAAAATAAAATAATTAATAAAATGCATATTTAGCCGTGTCCGTATGTCCTTTTGTTTGGAGATTTGACATGTCCAACACATGGATATATACCCGTGTCCGACACATGGATACATACCCATGTCCGACACCCGTACTCGAGTCCATGCAACGTAGCTTAGCTCACATCTTGAAGATGCATATGCATATTCCCAGAGTTTCGTGTAGATGTAAACTGCTTGTTATCTTATTAATCCTGAATTTTCAACTTTTGGCTCGCTTGTTGCCTGGGGACAGGTGTCGAGGTCTTGTTTGGCCCAAAAGGCCACATCAATACATTGACGAACATGACTTTCGTTTTTGCCATAGAGGGAATGTCCACTGCCTTTGGCAGCATTTGAGCATCACGCGACACCACACTCTGAGAAGGTTTTTGAGCAAGAACATGGGCAGATCTGCCCCCTCTTCCATTATTTCACCCACCTCTTGCAGAAGGAGACGAGCTTCCATTGCGATGAAGGGACTGTCAGAACTGAGCTCACCAAACTAAGATTCCAAAGCTAAAGCTTCATCGGGAAAGAATTCACCCTAAACCCAAGACAGACATGCTCTCCGGAATAAGGAATGATAGCACAGGAGATATTATCATCCTTGAGATATTATCATCCTTGGCTTGATTTTGCTCAAGCACCGCATTGACACTTTGCAAAGCCACTAGAGCAGTTGTAGGCTCTAAAGCAGCAGAAACACCTTCGAAGGAAGAAGAGTGTCCATGGAGAATAAGTAGAAGAGGAGCACAAGACAGCAAGCAAAGAAGAAAACATAGAAGAAGAAGGAAGAAGAAGGAAGAAGAAGAGGAGGGCAACAGCTATAGGAGGAAATCAAGAGAAAGGGAAGATGCCAGAGGCAATGGTGGAGCCACACAAGGTGAATAGCCAGCTGTCCCCACTGAACATTTATGATTTTTTAAATGATTTTATATGTAATCTTAATCCCTTTTCCCCCCCTTCTTTGTGCAAAACAAAAAAAATTCCGAGTAAAACTCAATAAATGTAACGACTGATTAATTCAAATGTGTTAAATGATGGTAAAGGGCGAAAAGAATAATCACATATTAGTTTGCAGCCTCAACCGCATACTTTAGCTTAATCCATTTTGTCAACAAACACATCATCCCCAGAAGCAATAAATATTGTATAAAGAGCACATATCCAACACATCTTAGATGCACCAATGATTTACAAATAAAGTTGGGGGGGGGGGGGGGAACCCGTGCATGGGGCTCCCGCATTGCGGATCTGGGGGAGGGTCTGGGCAAACCCACCTTCATTTTTTTTTCCATAAAAAATATATAATTCTAAGAAAGAAACAAATTAAAGGTTTATATAAAATCATTTTAGAATAAAAAAATAAAAATATTAAGAAAAATCATACTAAAGCTTATAAACAAAGTTTGAAACGAAAGTATATAAGGTTTTTATTGAAAGAGTTGGCATTGATATAGAAAAGGAATCATCGAATTATTTGTGTACATGTATATATATAGGTTATAAATTTAAACCCTATACATAGAAAACCAAAGTCATGAAACCCACAATAAAATCCCGTATAAATATCAAATAAAAAGAAATGAACAAGTGGGTGTGAGAGTTTCATTCAACCAACCAAGAACACTTGCATATACATATTGAGAAGAAGAAAATCAATATTTACATGAAAAAACACCAAAATAGACATATGAGCAACGGAGAAATCGATACAAGCAAAAATACCCAGAAAGGGCATACCTGATATGATAGCCCAAGCTTGCTTGAACGACCTTGGATCCCAAAGACGATCGTGAAGAGGGCACAAGCAATAACAAATGTTCTTGTGACTGGAGCATTGTCTATGACAAGATCAAAACAAGACAGATAGAGAATTACACATACATCACCAACGAAATAAAATGAAAATAAAGGTAGGGTTTGCAAATTGTAGTAGATTACGTACTGAAACCAGACGGACCACCGATCATCTTCGAAGTAAACCAACGACCTTCTCTCTCCTCTGTGCCTCGGTATTTCTCTCTCTCCCCCTCTTACTTTCCCCTTTTCTCCTCTATCGTCTCACTTTCTTCTTCTTCTTCTTCTTCCTTCGTTTAAATCATTTTGTATTCTCTCGGAGACTCGTCTGTCAGTTTAGTCAGAAGAAAAGGCAGGCGGTAAAAAATTAAAGTAAATAAGGTGGAAATTTTTTTGGTTTAAATAGCATGAAATTTATAATAAAATATTATTACTCATTTAAAATGTCCGTATTTATATTAAATCAAATAACAAATTTAAATTAATTTTCTCACATTAATATTTATTTAATAATTTGTTCGAATATTTAAAAAAGTTTATTAAGGACTATAGTTGGTAATCTTATAAAAAAACTATAAGTAAACCATTTTTATTTTACCGAAATAAAAAGAAATGGCATAATTATAAATTTGAAAATTTTCTCCCATAATAAAGAAGGTGTTAAGGTGAGACGGAAACATACTAAGTCATAACAAAAATATAAAAAAATTTAAATATTAAAATTACATCATCTTTGATAATTTAAACTTTTTAAATACATAAGTTAGTAATTTTTTAAAAAATTTACATTCACGAGAACCACACTTAAAGATGAGGAATTATATCTAAATACGTACTCTTTGAGATATTGATTTAAATTAAAACACGACATTTTCACTTTAAATCACATTCAAGTTTAGGGTGGTTCTCCTAAATCTAGGGTGGTAGGTTTGTGTGACTTCAAAAAATTGAATTGTTTTAAGTATTGCCTACCATCTTATCAAACTTGAATGGTCACCTAAGTGTTGAATAAAAAGAAAGTGACCCTTGAAGAATTTAGAAGCAAGTTTATCATAAACAAGGCTTCAAAAGCCCAATATTGTTTACCTATTATGCTGCATGCATTATTCTTGGTTGGAGAGATTAAAAAAATAATTTACTGGTGGACCGTTTCTGAACAAGTTTTGATAGCTTTAATTGTGAAATGGACTTGATTAGAATCTTGTCTAATTAGTGGATTAAATTACATTGCTGTGAGTTGACATGTGAATTGAGAATATACCAAAAATCAAAACTATTGTACGATTCTATTTGGTGTTTAATTCAGAGCGTCTTCTTTTTTTCCTTTTTACTTTATGTGCATAAATTAGATATTATAAAGATTTTGATTTGTTTATAATAAGAATTGAGTGTTTATTGTGAGTTACAAAGTCCAAATAAGTACATGAGTAACTTTACATGAATGAATGGAGATAAGACCATATATAAACTAGATAAATACAGAGAAGGCTATACATGCAAAATAATTTTACACGAATACAGGTGAATTCTACGCGAAGACGGATTTTTTCAAAGCCTAAGTTTTCAAAAATAAAAAGCTTGGTTTTACTCACCTCCCTTTTGCCACTGTGACAACTCTTCCTAATTATTTTTTTTTTGGTTTAGATTCATTGTGTTGTAACTTGGAATTCTAAGTTTGGTACTCTTCTAACATATATGAATATTTTTATCTTCCCATAGTTGGTATTAATTCTTGTTACACGATCAAATATTTTGTTTCATTACAGGATCACTAAATATAGAATGGAATCTATAGAAAAATCAGAAATCTCAAGAAAACAAAGTGAATTCTAGTTGTTTAATTTGATATAACAAACAAGGATAACAAAATCATTTGTAATATCAGTTGAAATCACAAATTTCCAGAAAAAGTTAAAATGCTCTCAAATTCTGATGAAGAAACATATAGATATAGCTTCTTAAACAATGCCAAACATAAACAGGAGAATTAGTTATCTGAAACTTCAACAAAACTATATTAGCATTTTTCATCATAAACTTGGATATCATCATACAGTGGTACATCCTCTCTGCATCGGTCAGGCCTCCCTATCTATAGAACAAAGCGAAAGCCTAACCATGGTGTCTTAAAAAACTGCTTGTACAGTTGTATGATCAAACATTTCTTTCGAATTTTGAAGAGAAAAAAAGAAAAAACAAAAAAGAGAAGCTTGTGGTTCAATACAGATGAGTCATGAGTGTTAGTGGAATGCTGTGTGCAAGCTGCAGCATACTATTCCAAGACTTGGGGTTGGCTATAGGGTTCATTACAGATGAGTAATGAGTGTTAGTAGAATGCTGTGTGCATTTTATTCCAAGACGGAGAGTGGCTGTAGGTGCAGCCACATTGAGATGTCCTCCTCGCGGTATAGCTTTCTGATGCCTCCATAAAAGCCATCCACTTCATTGCCTACTTCTCGGTGGTCCTTCCTGTTTATCACTGCCAGACTCCATCGCGAGGCAGGGGTGTACTGCTTGAACTCCAGTATCACCGTGTCTGTCAGCATCAGTTTATTGTGAGAATCATAACTAACACTGCAGTAAACTATGTTTCTACTTAAAATGTTTTCATAAGGTTGGATAACTATCAGTACGACCAACAAAATTTTAAAATGTGGCAGTTTTTTGAAATATAAGAGATGTATAAGGAAATGGGCTAATTCTACTGCTACAGAAGACAATCTGCACACTACAAATTCTAAGAAGATGAAGGGGAAACTTTTGTCTTGGCAACATAATGCACTCGTGACCCCTCTCCTTAAGGCTCTACTTCCATAAGACATTTTGATACCCCAAATTGATGCTACTGAGAGATACAAAACAAGGATTGTCTAGGAGATCATAAATATTAAATAGCACCGATAGATTCAGGGCAACACACACTGTGCCAGATGCCCTGTGTAGACAATCAGACAACTACAATTCAAACAAAAGTTTTAACACATCCAGAGCATAACAAAATTCCTATGAAAGAGTCAGCTAAAATGAGTAAGTACAGGGATCAATTGTAAGTAAGCTTAGGTTTTGGAATGTTGTCTGCGGGCTAACCTTCAATCTACTAAAACAAATGTAGTTGATTTGGAAGTCTGGATGGTTGACAAAGTCAGAGACAAAACCATCTATATAGGCATGTACCTTATGTAAGACAGAAGCTTTACTTTTTGCCCTTTTCATCACTCCAGAGAATTCATTTTCATGTGGACACAGCAATAGTATCTGTGCAGTAACTATACTAAACTGCAGTTTTTTTACTGCTCTAATAGAGCCTTTTGTTCTTTTTGGTCACATGGGTTATAAGAAAATGTACTATAAATTTTCATGATCAATCTCTCTAGGAGTAGAATTAATTATAGAAGGTTTGGAAGTATCTTGTTCTTTTTTTCTTTCTTTTTTTTTTAAAAAAAAAATTGCTTGAATTTCAAAGCCTCGGCATGCATAAAATTAATACTGTGAGCCAAAAAAAAACAAAGAACTACATTAACAGAACTCTCACCCTAGACATTTCATTTGAACACTCAATTCAATTTATATGTTTCTGTATGGAAATAGATGACTTGCATTGACATAGACATTGTCACTCATGGCATCTCTTCAAAATCTAGACACAGAGGATAGGTATGTATTCATAAAGAAATACACAAGCAGACATGTACATACACATATACATTTATGTATGCATTCGGGCTTTGTGTGTGTGTGGAAGGAACATAAAAGAAACAATGTGGGATAATCAAGTACAAATATGCTAACCATGACAGAAACAGCATTGTGTATGGCTTAAGCATCAATGCCTAAAAGTATTAAAAGAAGTAGAAAGTAATAACTATGACATAATGTGCCTATTCTTTTGCTCATTTTTTAAGTACTGAAGGCAACTTGTCAGCATGTGCCTGAACCATTTTGAGGATGCAGGTGCTGTGTTGATCTGTCATGCATTGACAAGGAAAAGTGCACCACACTAATCACATAGTGCAGGTTCAGATAGGTATTATATGCTTCTATAATCAGAAATTAAGTGTTAACATTAATTTGAATGATTTTCATTCATTTTGTTTTTGCTCCACAATTTATTTTTTTATTTATTTTTTTATTTTTTATTTTTATTGAGAACAAAAGGAAAACCTCCAATCTATCTCCCACACTAGAACTGAAAGTAAGTTGACATGAACTTCAAAAAAATAAAAATGGTCTTCTTACCACTACTATGGCATCGACAATGAATTATGTTGCCACTGCACGAATCCAAGTGACCAACAACTCCATACCACCAACCTGCAATACATTTAACGCAGATGGTTATGATCATCTATCTACAAGCACAAGATTAGGAAATCCCATGAACAAACACAAAGAGCATCCATTGGTTCCTTAAGAGGAATAAAAACCCGAAAAAAATTATTTAATTTCAGGCAGAGGAGTTTCAAAAGAAGCCACTATTTCACACAGGGTTGGCCTAGATGGTAAACAAAACCTTATTTCATTAAAAGAAGGAATTCAAATTAAGCTTATGGAGAATGCTTTACAGGGTTCCAGAAAACACACCGTAAGGGAACTCCTTGTTTCTTCTCCACTGAATCTCAATATGATCTCCGGGTTTTAAATCATTTAAGCAATCAGAGACATGAAGAACATGTGCAGGAGTATCAACAGGTGGTGCTCTTAGCCTTTTCCACTCTACATTCTCCTCTATTGTATGCCCCCCAAGTGGTGAGTACCTACAATGTCAAATGCATTTGAAGTTCAATACAGGACCTCTATCTCTGATCTTATTAAGCATCTGAAATTTGTCTTAGCATTAACTGAATACGATCTTGTTTCGTTTCAAAATTTTCAACAGAAAACTGGAAACATTTACAACAGAAAAGTCAAGAAAAAAAATGAAAATTTGAAAAACTGAAATCCAAATTTACTAAAAGACAAACAAAATGTAAACATTTCCAAAGTTCAATAACAATTTTAAACAATTAAGAATATGTATTTTCACAATCAATAACAATGAACAAGCCATTTGAAGAACACGTCTTTACATACCTTGCCCTAAATGTGTCTGTACAGGAGTCATAACTAATTGCAGCATCATAGCATGACAACATAAACCCGATATGGCCATTCTGCACCTTAAATGAATGAAACACATCATTAGTAATCTGTTTAACAGCTATAGAAACAACACAACCACCACAAAACCAACAATTTTGGTGAAATATAAAAATTCTCAACATAAACAATTCTGCAAATTCACAACCACTTTAATTCCAGCTGATTACCTCGCGGTTATAGACCTGAGCCGGGAACGAGAACCGGCCACTCTCAAGGGAGAGATACCAATCCATGATCGAATCAACTGATAAAGAACTCCCCTGATCAATAACACATCTCAATTTTGGCTTAATCCACAAACTTGGAATATACCTTAACAAACCCTTACGCTTTCTGCTATCCAAATGGGTTGTTCTTTTTCTTGTAGCATTGTGATATTTCCATTCACGATAGGCGGCATCACCAATCAGTTTACCCCATTTTTGTTTCATGTGTTTCTCCCATAAATGATCACTTGTACACACATCTCTCAAAGAGCTGCATACTCTTGCCATAGTACATAACTCAGCTGGCGAAAGCCGCTCAAGAATGCATTCCAAGGCCAATTCGGGTAAATCCAATAAACAAGAAGCCTCCTCATTCTCCTCCAAGTCTCCCACTCTTGAACAAGCAGCCTTGTTCATCGATGGAATGTCAATGGAAACTCGAAAGAAATCAATAGCAAATCTACTTTTTCCGAACCACGACAGAAGAAGACTTGATACTTCTCTCCAAAACCAGGGCAGTGACAACAACCTCATCCCACTCTTCCATGAAAGTAGGATGAAAGAGCAAAAGGAGATCAGGAAGAAAAACATTAGACTGGGGGAAATTTTAAATGGGCTGGTTTGAATATGCTCCAAAAGAGAAGAGGATTAACCGAGGAACCAATTGCAAACAAATTAAGAAATGGCGATTACAACTATAGATAACTGTGTATACATATAAAAACAAAAGAAACTAAAATAAAATTTGTTTTCCAATCAGGACAAAGAACTATCCATCGAGGCAATGTAAAGTGTTTAGGATTGGTGAAATTCACGAGTTTTGGGTACTTACAAAGAGGGACACCTGTAAACACTGCAACCGACAAGCTTTGAATGCTGGTGGCTAGAAAACCATGCGTATTTAAAAGAAAAAAAAGAGCAGACACCAAGGCTGCTTCTTAAAAATGTCTTAGCATCTAGATACAGTGAACTTGCCACCAATGCATAGGAAGAACCAAAATTTGTACGGACAGTGACTTATGGACAGATGTAAGTTAGAGATTGGAAGATTTGAATTGGAAATAGGAACAAAATCTAAATAACATGTTTGATCAGAAATGAGACTTTTAAAGTGCGTACCACGTGGATGAGTGTAGATACATGGAACCAAATCTATGAGCTTTGGTTTTAACAACCTGAAATCTTTGCGGAAATCAAAAGACAAAACAGATCTCTATCACAGCCAACTCTCTCTCACCCAAGAATACAACTAGAGAAGAAAATGACCATTTTGTACATGATTGCCATGATTACCAAAAGAACAATAAAATTGGCAGAAGAAAGTTGTAGATTGATGAAGATGAGGATGAACTTAAAGTGGGCTTTTGAGAAGAGAATTAGAAAGGAGTGCTATTTGGTTGATGGGTTTTTGGGCGGGTGTCAAGTTTTAAAGTTGAAGGCACAAGACCGTCATGGAAGGCCATCTGATTTATGCCTAACATCCACCAAACTGTACCAGCCCCTCACAAGTCAGACAGACCACAGGTCACACCATGAAAGATGGCAAGCGATTTCACCACACAAGCCAGAGGAGTTGTGACTTTCATATATAATAAAGACCACTAATACTTACGCCCAAACTGTTTAAGAGAATTACTTGATCAAACATTATTAATTGGTTAAATTTGTAACATACAAAAAAATGAAAGTCATTTTCCTTTGGTAAATATAAAAAGTCGAGAGCTGATCTGTTAAAATTCATTAAAAGTATTGATTCATTGGGCTATCAAAAAAACATTTGTCCTTATAATTTGTATATATAACCAATTAAAGTTATTTGGTCTATCACTTTATTATAACTCATCCGTTTTAAAATTATTTTCTCATAATAAAAGGATAGGTAAAGGTCAATTAATGAGTTACATTGTTTGTCATAAAAACATTGACGGAGACTGCCGACCTTTCACCGTGTTTCTCAACGATGATTTCAATGTGCCACCTTCCATGATGAGTTTTCCGCGTCCAGAATAAATAAGACTTAACTATCCCATCATGATGCTATTGCTAACTTTAGTTTTTAGACTTCTAGTACGTCAATGGCTTGGTGGACTAGGTAAAATGTTCAAAATCTTTAGAGTTATGTTTGTATCTAATTTGTTGGGTAGTTCGTGGGTTGGATAAGAGAATCGTTTCACGTAAGTTAAGAATTTTGACATCAGTATATAAGTGGAGATTCAAACAATACAAAGAATTCTATGAATACAAAGACTAAGAAAGAGAAGGCCGACCTCAGTATTGTGTGAGCTCGAGCTTGTCCGTAAATAGCTATTAATGTGGTAATTATTATTTTAAAGGCTGATTAACACCCTTATTTATAGTGTTTACCTCATCGGTCAATGTCTTTGAGTCGTTTGGGTGAGTTCGCTCTTACCCAAGGGTTTGAGGGTCTTTCCTTCTGACGGATGAGACATTGATGGATGGGCCGCAATGATTTGCCCCCCAGTCAAAAGAGGTAATGGTGCTACTTAATTAATATGGATTTTATCAAACATCTTTCGTAATTAATGTGTTCTTTATCTTTCTTTACTCGAGCTTGGGTACCGAGTATCCTTTCTCCCTTGTGTTGGCCTCGGGCTGAGGTGATCCCTTGGAGCTCAGCCACCTATCCACATGTCCTCAGATTCTCGAATTCCAGAGGGAGAAGGCCCTCCTCGAGGTCCTGCCTTCATGACCTCGCAGAGCTTAATCCCAATTTTATAGTCCGAGGTCCCCAATGGCCAAAAGGGGAGATTCGTAAAGCAGGTTAGCCGAGGTTGCTCCTTTCAGAAAACAACCTTGAGCGAGCAAGGGGGGAGGAGCCCATCCGACTGGAGCGGGGCACGTCCACAGTAGAGGAAGAGTAGCAACTCCTTCCTTGGCCAGCAAGTCCAATTATTGAATAGGTAGTTCGAGGATACCTATTCTTATTATGGGCACGCCAGGTGAGCGGTGTCCAGTTGTGCCTATTTTGCAGAAGTGGCGACACCTAAACAGCTATCATGACGCGGTCATCAACATAATTCACCCCTCAACAATCTCGATCAACGGAAATAACACTACCTAATGACCTTTTAATTTGACTCTTAGTATGCTTTTTTGCTTTCAATTCTTTGGAGGGAAAAAAAAAAATTTGTGGAGGGAAGAATTACTTGGGAAGAAAAAAAGGAGCTAAAATAAGGGAAGGAGATAGAAAGAGGAAGGAGGATGTCAGCCTCTGGTTTGGGTACAAAATTAGATGAAAAAGGGACCCTTCTCTTTTAACTATTTTTTTCCCTCAAAATTTGGCTTTTCTTTTTATGAATAAGTCCTTCCATTCCTTCTCCTTGTTCTTCCTATTCCCCTTACCAGGGGTTACATTAGCTCAATGGTGTTACTCGCTTTCCAAAGTAGAAGGTTAAAGAATCAAATTTCTATAGTGTATTTTTTGTTAAGGATTAAAAAATTAAAATTAACATAAAGTAAAATAAATTTTTTTTATTTCTTTCTAACTTAACAAGAAACTTATTCATACGCTACTTTACCTGTAAATAGACTTAAAATCCTCAATTTTTTACCTTAAAAGAAAAAAGAAAAAAAATACCATTACATTATAACCCTAATTTATTCTCTTTACTTTCAAGTTTGAACTAGTCAAGTGTGGTGGTCATGCATGAATGGAGACCATTGCCTCCACTGTACATCTAGATCTAGAGTGTTCTGGTTATTGCGTTGTAGGGTCTTCAAGTGACCCACAAAGTACGATATGGGTCAGCATTTTGAATTAATTTGGTGGGTTACTCGCTCTTGGTCATGTTAGAAGTTGCTCTGTCATATCACATATGGGCTGCCCCTCAGTGAAATCATTCTCACTTAAATTTCTAAAGAAACTTCTGACAAGCGTATGACTCTGAAAGTAACATTAGAAGATCTAATTAATGCTCTAGCCTAGCTATCACATTTGTCAAATATGAGCAAATGTCCTTTTCTTACTGGTGCAAAAAGAATTATTATTATTATTATTATTATTATTATCATTTTCAATTTTATTTTGTGAATTATATGATGCAAGATAGTGGTTGGAAGGAGGAGACGGAATCTTAATTATAATGGAATCATGTTTTAAGGAGACATTTAGATTTGATCCTCCAAATCTTTGATGCTCTTCTTGTTAGTATATATACGTAGTATATGGTTTCTGAAAGATAGAAGTCATCGATAAGCATTAGTCTGATCTAAGAGTCCCACCATTATTAGGTTGAAAAATAATGTGTGATGTCAACATATCTGCATGGAATCCACCATGGAACATAAAAGTCCCAAAACTCCAAAAGAAAGCATTTCAATTCTTAAGGAGGCTCAGCATCACTTTAACACGCGCGTGTATTACTAAGCACTATCTAACTAATGGCATTCCAAAAAAAATCTTGAGGCACCCCAATTCCTAGTTTTTTTTTTAAATGCTACTTCTATAGGAAGGGAGACGTTGTTTCTATGGAACTTGAACACTCGGGCTTTAGTGGCGGATAAATATTACTAAGTTACAAACTTACAATCCTAAAAATAATTAATATTAAGATTCATTTTGTGTGTAGTTAGAGATATCATGGATTTCCTTCTTGAATTCCTATTTTAGTTCCTTTCCTTTTCTTCCTCCTTTAGTTTTTTATGAGACCAACAAACAACTAGGGTTGTTGGATTTCAGGACTTATACAAACAATTTTTTTATTCTTTTTTTTTTAAAAAAAAAAAAAAAAAAAAAAACAATGATAGCAGTGTATGTAGAGGGAGATCTTGTGCATCAAGGAACCTTGATTGAGCAAGAAAGTGGTTGATATTTGATCCTCCAAATCTTTAGTGCACTTTGGAGTTGGTACTATCAAATATTCTCAAGTCCTCTAGCAAATTGCAATATAGCATAATCTCTTATGTAAAGAAAGAAGTTAAAGCATTATTGGGGGACAGTAGATATGTGTGAATGAGATGTCAAGTTGTCAAACTTAATTATAAGGGGGTCCATAGAAAATGGGAAACCACACAAACACATGTATACATACCATATGATGAGGGCAGGGCCCAAATTAAATGACTCTTCATGGCAGTTAAGTGGAGTTGGGGTTACCGTCCCTAATCAATAAATCAACTAGTTAGGTACTGGCATCAAGTGGGTCACGCATTTATATCTCCTTATATATCTGCCAAAAAGTAGAAAATAAAATTAAAATAAAAATAAATATTTTTGAGGTTAGTCAAACTCAACTTGATTCAAAATTATGAATTTTGTGATTCATTCTAGTTCCATTAAATAAGTGAGAAAAAATTATGAACTTTATTTATAAAAAAAAAAAAATTAGGTTAAAAAGAAATGGTATCTCACATACGAATCAAATGTCAGATCAAGGCAAGGAAGGAAAGGTTTAGGAGTATAAGCGTGGAGAGCTATCTCGAACAGTAGGTATAAAAGAGGATAGTGATTGAAATAGTGACTCTAAATGTTGTGACTGAGAGACGAAGAAGACTGAATTGTAGTGGACCAGAAAGTCTCACTAATATCTCGGTGGTGCTTCTTTTTGTCGCAAACATGGACATTACAGTTCTGTAATGACTAACTCAGATAATATTGTTAGAACAACTCCAATACTCTTTCATTTGGGCTTCTCAAACTCAAAATATGAGAGTAAGGTAAAAAAGGCCTCTCTAATTGGTTATTACTTAAGCTCTTAAAATTTGAGATTCTCAAATTTCTTCTCATATATGGCAGCTGCAAAATTTTTTTGACAAGTTTTTCATTTCTCAAAACGGTGCCTTTTCTCACCAGTCATTACCCACTCACATCTCTATAATATATTATATATATAATATACATATATTATATATAATATATATAAATTTCCGAAAAAAAAATTATATAAAAAAATTAATTCACAAATAGTGGTAAAAAAACTATAAATTTTTTTTTTTTTTTTTGACTAAATATTTTAGATTTGTACTTCTTTTTAATTAGGTTTAATTTTAGTTTCCTTCTAATATTTACAACTTGACTTGGAATGTGCCTAATATTAATATTACTAATACAAATATGAATGGTGAGAATGGTAGACTTGGTAGTTAAAAAAAAATAGTGGTTGTGTTAAAAAATAGCATTTTGTGTTAAAAAATAACATTTTGCGTGAAATGTACTATTGGAGCAAAATTGCTAAAATGTAACATTTTGGCATTGTAACACCTGTCAAAATATAGATTTGACATGCAAAAATAAGTTTTAGCATTGGAGATGCTCTTAAACTCAACTTGGTTTTAAAATTTTATTATGAACTTCTATCATATTTTGCTCTGTTTATTTATTATTTATTATTTTCCTTGTTTAATACTCAATGTGCAGTGGATTAAATGGACTATGTTTGATTCTCAAAAAAGACAAATGAATATATATATATCCATGAATTGAAAATGAAAAAGTTATAATGAGGTACACATCATTACAACCATACCATTATTCTAACCTTGAAAAAATGTACTAGGTTTGGTAATGTCACAATCTCATAGTGGCCTAAGAAAGTTCTGTTAGAAATCAGCAAATGTAATGTTCTGTACAAGAACATTTGGAAGCCCTCACAAAGGGTTCAAAAGGGTTTATTATGAGTTACTTCATTACTACCATCCTCTAATTTTTTGTTTTTTTTCACTACATTCAACAAATTTAGAAAATCTTAGATCAAGTGAAATATATAAGGAGGAACACGACAAGTAGATTTTTCTCTCTAAAATCTAAAAGCATTTATATAGCGTCATTCTCGATGTCAATTTTCATCCACTTAAGAGGCCTCAAGCTAGGAAATCTCATGTCTCCTTATCGTTTCGTCCTCTGCATTAAAGTTCTTTTCATTTCTCTGTCAACTTTAAGGAAATGTCGGAATATGTAACGAGATTGAGTTATTGAAAAATGGTCCCAAAAGCCCAAAGAGAGAAAATGTCAGTGTTGGCCAGCCAACCTTTCATGATCATGCTACACAGGTCGGCTCAATCTATCAAAATCAGTCTTGGACAGTTTACACTGTGTTTCTCACTCTGTTTTTTGTTTGTTAGGTACATATTGCTCTAAATTCACCACACTTCATTCAATTGTACCAACTTTATTTGCTACAGTAATTTGATTAACAAATTTACAACAAATTCAAGCTATTACTAATATTTACTAAACTTTAGCATCATAGTTTTGATGTGGGAGTGATCTCTCTTACATTGAGCATGTGTCTTGCAGCAGATATAAATATAATTTTATAAAAAAAAACTAACCATTGTTTGACACACCCTATTGTAAAATCAGGCTTCTTAACAATGCGCATATGTTGCTTAAATGGACTTGAGAACTCGGAGTAATTCTCCTGGACAATGCAGTTGCAACAAGCTCCATTCTTTTCTCGTCAAGTTCTTTTAATTTTCTCGTTACTTCTGCTAATTTTCCAGCTAGCATCGCTGATTCACAGCGGAGTATTCTGATCTCATTATCAAGTCTGGCAAGAATAGGATATACAGCTGCTCCACCTTGGTCTTCTTCACTTGCCCTAAACAAAGTTGGTAGTATCTAGCAACAAAATTTCAGGACGAATTAGTTATGTACGAAATCCATGGAATAAGTTGAATAGAGGGTATCTTACACACACACACATATTATGGATAAAAAATGTTCAGAACATATTTTTGAACAGTTCAAGCTAAAGAGAGCTTCCGACATATATATTGAAGAATTTAAACACATGTTCAGTACATAATTCACATTATTAGACTTCAAAGAAAATAATTGAGGTGGTGTGTGAAGCATTTAGGATAAAAAATGGGGCTCTTCTAAGTCGGGAAGAAAGAGACTCGCATTTTACTATAAGATATCAAATAATAAAAGGCGACAGAAATATATACACCAGTTGTGATAAATAACTTTATGTAATCATTCAAACTCTGTGAGGCACTGGTTAACATTATTTCATACAATGGAAGTTTACTTCGTTCTTAGATCATAAAGCCTTGGAGCTAGCATATCAATAGCCAAAAGCACTTGGATAAGAGGCATGCAAACTGAGCTTCCTTTTCCCAGTAGCAAATTTGTGTCAAAGCACAAGTTGCCAATAAGCTTGTTGATGCACTTAACAATAGAATTATGTTGACGAACATGTCTGCAACTGTAAACGAGTTTGATTCTTTCAAAGATTATTATCGATATCATGAGAATAAGAAAGAAAGAACTATGTGTCAGCACTAAAATCTCAGGGGCAAGTTTACTTTTAAGAGGAGATCCATGCAGACAATAATGAGGTGCTTCATGTAAAGTGCCTTATTCACACATGGAAAGTAAAAACAAAAAAAAAAAAAAGAAGTCTATTTTTACTATAGAAGTGGTAAGGATTAATTGTTATGCATGTGAGGAAACTAGAAGTTGTCATAAGCATTGCATGAGAATGCTAATTAAGACTATTCAAGTTTAGGGATCATTAGTAATTATACAACCAAATTACAACACCCTTTGCTAACACAAGCTTTCTCAAATGCAATTCAGTATTATATCAGCTGATTGACTATAAGGCCACTACTTGGTGGAATGGTAAAAACTTGTTCTGCAAAGCATTCGAATGTGGGTTCAATTGTTAGAGCAGTCAATTTATGCAAATCTTATTTAAAAAGTTTTTAAGTTAGTCTCCAGTCTGCCCCTCCAACAACCCTGTAATAGTTATAATTTTTTATATATATATGTACATATATATTAAAGTTATAAAATAATTCTTTTATTTCAAAAAGTAAGTGGGCCCCACTAATATATTAAAAACATCACAAAGGCCATAAGGCCATTACACAGACTCATTTCTCTCTCTCTATTCTATCTCTCTATAACATTGGTTTTTCTTATTCTTTTCACCATTCAAAGTTTGATCCCTCCTTTAGCTTTGAGATTTTGGTAGAACCTTGTGAAACAAAGTTGGAGAGCTCGTCGAGGCCGTCAATTTGATAGGAGCCAAGCACAATTTAGCCAAGCCTAGGGATTTCAAAATTAGGGCTTAAATTGGGGGGTTTTCTTTCAATTGAGGTAGGAGTGCTTTAATCCACTATTTCTTAGATTTCTTGTGAATTTTCTCCTTTAATTTGACTTTAAGCATGCTAAATTTTAATTTTTTGTGATTATGTTTGTTACGGTTATTTATATTGATGGTGATAAATGTGTGTTATGTGTTAATTGGGCTTATTAGTATGATGATTTTTAAATTGTAAAGAAGCATGTTTAGTGTTGGTTTGTTTTCATGATTTCAATTGCAATGAAAATTTATGTTATAATTATGGAAATAAATTTGTGAATTGTATATTTAAATTGCTATCAAAATGTGGGATGAGAAAATGAGTTGTGTATTTTTAGTAATTTATTAATTTATTTGAAAAAGTATGTGGGAACATTATAGTTGAATTGATGAAATGAAGCATAAAACATTCATGCATCCATTGGGGAAGAAATAGGGGGGGAACTGTTTTAAAATAAATGAATTTGTTCTTGGAAAAAATATTTTTCTTAAAGGAGTTTGCGAAAACCGGATGCCTAGGAGGCGCCTAGTGGTCCGTGTTGTTAGTGTAGTCTAGAAGGGAGTATGGTTGAGCTAACTAGGCTGGATGCGACAGCTTGGAGGTGCCTTGTGGTCGTGGATAGTTAGTCAACCCTCCATTCGTGAAGCCTTAGAGGTGCCTTGGGTCGGATTACACTAACGGTTTGGTTGTTGAAACGGAATTGTTTCGGAAATGGGGAGCGACATTTGCATGACATTGCACTTCATGGCATTTTAGTAAATCTGTGATTGGTTGACATTTGCTACATATTTGTTGTTGTGGTTGAGAATATGTTTTCCCCATAGTATGACCCCGTTTCTTTTTACCTCTTCCTTATGTGGATTCACGGGGTCATAAGAAGAGTGTCTTAGACACTTCCTACTGAGCTTATGCTCACCCCATTATTTTTAACATTTTTCATAACACGGAAAAGAAGTGACGGACGACGATCCACCACAGGTTTAGACGAGCTTGGAGACTCATTTTATTTTGCTATCTTTTGTATTAGAACTCTAATATTTTGTAAATGTAATATTAACTATTTTGAGAAGCTTTAGTTTAATTGGTACAATGTTGTAAGTTATGGACTTTTAAATTTTAGCTACGTTTTATAGACTGTATCTTGATGTAACTTTAGTGTGTTCCTTGTTTGGATGAGATGGAGGAACGGAATTTTTGTATATATGTAGTCATTTTAGAAATGTGATATAATATCTGTATTGTGCGTTGGCACAGGATAGGTTATTTTTTTTAAGGCCAGTGAGGCCATTGCATTTTTTTTGTATTTCAACAGGTTGTAGAGGGACTTTTTCTGCGGAGGTCATGCCGAAATTTTATATTTTTATTATTATTTTTGGTATCTTTTCGGGTCGTTACAAACCCAATTACGGGTGACCATTTATTTTGTGATCAATTATTGGCTATTCCTCAATCTTACAGCCTGATGCCAAGGCAGTCATGGGAATGAGTTCATGTCTGTTAGAAGTGGCAGTGTTCTTGGATGACATGGAAAGCTATCTGATGCAGAATAGAGGCTTAGCTCTAGCATGTGTGCCAACAGAATGTAATATTGTTGCTTATCCATTGAGGAAATTTGTTGTTAGGAGGAAAATCACTTGCATTTTGGTGTTCATTTTCCTTCTTGATTGATGGAAGTTGTTGACGAGAATTGTACAATCTAATTCCAAAGTAATTAAATTTCTTCTGATAGTTGCCGAATCAAAACAGATATAACACATACTTTCTGTGTAAAAAAGTTCATGCTCATACAAATATGTGTGCTGCTCATTGTTACTGATATTACCATACTATACCATAAATTAGGAGAACATACCTCATTGATGGCGAGTAAACATGAGTTATAATATTGCATTCTGGATCTAGACAATGTTATACACTTTGATTTGGGATCCTTTGTTCCTCACAAGCATCACAGTAGAGCTCCTCGGAGTCATCCTCAACAAGAGAGTTAGTTGGTGAAGATGAGGGAATGTCTGTGACATTCGAGCTGAACACTATGTGGTAATGTCACAAGACACTGGACGTGGAAACCAACACTGCAATATACACAACAAAGGACAGAAGCATTGAAAATAGCACCACAGACATCGCATTTGTTGTCAAGGCTTAGGCTCTTGAAAAAGGCAAGAGGGTGCTCATGAAGTCCGCATTTTATAGTAGGCATTAGGAGAGCACAGTCTAGGTCCAGGTTAAAAGAGCACTCATGACAGTAGAAGGTGAAGCTGCTGCAAGTCTTCCAGCAGGCATCACACCAAAACCGGACAGGCATCACATTCAAAGGTGGACGTGGGAGGAGAGAGAGAGGGTGTTGTGGGTGAAAGGGATGTTGGATCTCCAGGGGCAATTCAGTACATGATTTGTGGAGGAAGAAATCGCAGGCAACAGACCCATAGACTGGTCCTAAAAGGGGCTGCTCGCACCCGGAGCAGGGAATTCAATTCTTCTTGTCATATGGTGTCAGGGGATGAGGGTGGGTGCAATCTTGAATCTCCATCTCTCTTTCTGTGTCTCTAATTATTTCAGATGATTGAAATGCAAAAATTTTGACAGTTTCTTCTTAGCTTTGTTGACTGAACATAAGTTTTAGGTCAAATGCTGTTTCCACACATAAAGGAAAACTTTTTGTTCGTCATTGGCTCAACCCAAGAGACAATCTCAAATATTTTATGTGCATTGTCTAAGATTCACAATAAATTATGAAATGGCAACTAGTATCACACTATCAAATGTTCACATGCTCATACGAAACAAATTTTCAACTACAACCATTCAAAATGAGACTCCCACAGTCAAATGTTTCAATACAACCACTCAAAATGAGAATGCAAATTTGAGTAAGATTTTGTAATCTTTTTATATTTTTATTCAGTCCACTTCTCTATACATCCTGTACAAATATTAATTGGTAAACACCCACATAAAATAATTTTAGTAAAAAGAAAGTTTTGATCAAGGAAGTATTATTATTATTATTATTATTTTGATAAGTAAGTATTATTATTATTATTATTATTATTATTTTGTTTTCTTCCTTTAGGACAGATGGGGTAGGAATTGAGGTAGGATATTATAGTTAAACGGAAGGGGAAACTTCAAAGCAATTGCCATGATAAAATATTAAACCTTCAAGCAATTGGAATATATGATAAAATATTACTTGGCAGCCTTCCCAATTTTCAACTCTTATTGTTTTTCCCAACAAGTCAAATCATAAGAGTTATCCTCCTCTCAGTACTTAAATAAATCGATGCTTAGCATATTTTATCATATAAGTGTAAAATTATAATGTGAAATTCATTAATTTCAACTTCCATATCTTTCCAATTTTATGCAAAATCATCTTTTTGCTTCCACAATTTTTTAATACTACGTACACAAGTTCATGTGAACTAAAACAGACTTTAATCATCTAAACATGCCTATCATGAACTTAAAAAAAAAAAAAAAAAAATGCACAAACGATTTAAAGAATTTGTGGAAAGCCTACAATGAACATTTATTCATTATTACAAATAAGAATAGGTAGTAAACAAGAGAATATGGGAATTTTTGTTTCATATTCGTTATCTTTTACAACATAGGAGGGAAGGGATTCGAAAACGGTCTGAGAAATGTGGATGGATTGGATGAAATCCCTCCCCCACGCTGAGATGATAGATACTGCAATCGTTCCTTCTCAAGTACCTCTAATTTTTTTGTTTATTACCTCTAGACTTGCTGTTATTGTCTCTGATTCTCCGTATAATACAGCCATCTCCTTGTCTAGTTCTGCCAGGGCAGAGTCTACAAAACCATCTTGTTCCACAAACTTTTTCAACATAGTAGGTGAAATATGGCAAAAGTTATTAGACCAAATCTTAGGGGAGGTCATTGTACTTAACCCAAAAGATAATAAACTTAAATTGACGCTAGCCACGTGCATGAGGCTCAGTTTCAAACTTGTGACATTCACGTCACAATGAAGCAATATTATTGTCGCACCAAGAAAATTTTAGTTTGAAATGTAGTACTCTATTAAAATTAATAAAACAAATATGGTGTTTAAATTAGGGCAATTCAACAATACTGTAAGTAACAAATAAACAAAATGATATCAAGTTATCATATTCAACCATAGAAGTGGACATACCTCAGACACACCACAGTAAACATGAGCAACAAAATGGCATTCCTCACAATGGTAAACGGATTGCCCGGGTTTTCTTTCTTGTTCGCAAGCATCGCAGACGAATTCATCAACATCGGAATCGTCTTCAAAAAGAGAATCAGTGAGCGTCAGCGGATGTCTGTGACACGAAATCTGAACTGTTTGTGGCAACGTCGCAACACATTGAACGTGGACATTGAAATTACAAGGCACACATCGGAGCACAAAGAAATTGCAGAGCGAACCACACACTTGGCATTTGTGATCAATACTCAAGTTGTTGAACAGAGCAAGAGGGTGATCGTGAAGTTGGCAATTTAGGGTTGGGATTAGGGAAGCGCAATCGATGTCGATGTTGAAAGCACAGCCGTTGCAGTGGAAGGTGAAGCTCAGATTGGTCTTCCTACAAGCATCACACCAGACTTGGTTGGAAAGAAAAGGGAAAACAGGGGGTGGTTTTGGGTGGAGAGAGAGAGGGTGTTTTGGGTGGGAAGGGTGTTGGATTTGTGGAGGTAAAAGTTGCAGGCTGTGCAACCATATCCATAGACCTGATCCAGAAGGGGTCGATCGCAGCCGGAGCAGCTGAGTCCAGTTTTCCAGTGACAAACCATCAGTGGGTGTGGGTGGCTACAATGCTTAATCTCCATCTCTCTCATCTAAGTCAACTGTAGAGTTGTTTCATATACATATATATATATATATATATAAAAGGACAATGCCTGGCGACCTACCTTTACTTCAATAATTCAATAACAAAATAACACGTCAACTTTAATAAAACATACTTAAGCCTATTTAAAAATTCATATTTAATATTATATTAATTTTAATTTTGAGCCAATATCATGTTTGAAGTAATATTAAATAGTGTCAAAACATTACCAGATTTGGACCAAAACCAATATCATCAATTTGGTAACGTTGGATGATATAGGCACGACAGCGGTCCAAACACATATCAAATTACTGTAGCATAGAGAACAGATATATAAAACCTATTTTCTGTGTCTCTATTTTCATATCAAATTACTGTAGCATAGAAAACAGCTATATAAAGCCTATTTTTGAAAAGCCTATTTTCTTTCTCTTCCCGCAACTGTTGAAAGAGCGATTCTAGAGGCGAATCGAGAAACCCTATCTTCGTGTTTTGGCAAGCACAAATCTTTCCCCAATCTTTGTAAACCATCTCTTTCTTAGATCCCAAGTTCTGCTTGCCGGCGGCGTCGAAGTTGATGGGGGATGAGACAGCGGAGAAGACGACATCTCTCGCACACCACCCCTGTGCTTCACTGCAATCCGACCAATTAGACATTTATCTATTTATTTATTTTGTGTCTTTCTTGGTTTTCCCCTTCTCCAACCTGTTGATGAATGGTGATAAAGGTATTCAAATCTAAGTGACGAATCTGCTGCTGAAGAATGGATATATATATATATATATATATATATACACACACACACACATATACTATGCCACAATACCCAGATCTGTTATTCAAGTGATCCTTGTGGGTTCTGATCAATAATGTAATTATGTAATTTTTCCCCAATATGAAAAGCCCTAAAATCATATTTTTAAGCCTTGTATTGAATTTCGCAGTTCACATTATTTGAAAAATACAATGTTAACCTAATTTTAATATAAATTTATGACTTATTATTTATTTTTTTTTGGAAACATTCCGTCATACCAAATATGTTTCGCAAGATTCAGTTTCAAAATTTTCATAACATATTTTCGTTACCAAACATGGTTACAATTTCTACTAAAAACATATCAATACCAAAACGGTTGATTTCATATCATATCAAACCATAATATATAGTGTTATCGCGATCCAAACGAAGCCTTACCTTTATATACTCCAATAACAAAATAACAAATCAACTTTAATAACAAAACTATCAAAATAATAATAAATAAATAAATAAATGTCAGAACCCGTTTTAATTAAATAATCACCCTTTCACTTTTTTCTTCATGAAATTCCTCTTTTCTCTCTCTTTAATCGATTTCCAAACCCACGTCCTCTTTCTCCACCCCATCCTTCTTGTTACCTCCACGAAACATCATTAATCAATGAGCAAACAAGTCAGATTCGTGTTTGGGTTATTTTTCTTTTTCCTCTTCTGCCCCATTGAACATATATCTATGCAGGACTGATTGATATTGAGTCGAAAGTGGTGGATGACAGTTATATGTGCGCTAAGATTGATATGCCAAGTCTAAACTCAAAGGATCTAAAAGTATGGGTGAACGAGAAGAAAGAAATAAAGTATGAGGGAAGAAGCAAGAGCCTACCGAAATACTAGTATAAGGGACAGTTGTACGGAGGCACCATTGAAGAGTGTCCGGACTGTGATGTGGAGCAGTTCAAGGCGGAGGTGAACCATGGTGTTCTCTGGATTACTATGCCGCTCAAAGACAAGGCCAAGGGGAAGATCAGATTGAAGAAGAAAAGTGATGAATTGTTGGATCAGAAAAGGGATGAGAAGGTTTGATCCATCTTCTCATCGATTTGGGGGTTTTGGGTTTCTCTTCAATTAATCGATGCTAGCTTTTGGGTCCTTTAATTTCAATTTCTGTCTGTTTTTTTTATGTGTTTATTTTTGGGTTATATATATATGTGTATATATATATATATATATTATATTATATATATGTTGAATGTATGAGGAGGGCACGGGTTTGGGAAGCAATGAAAGATAGAAAGGTGAAGAAGAAGAACAATGGAGAGAGTTGGGAATGGATGAAAGAGAGAGTGAAAAGAGAGAGTTTTTACCCAATTAAGACGGTTTCGATACGACTTTCTTCTCCATTGTTGGTAACTTGATGTGTATTAGAATAGCTTCATCCATGTGCAAATCTTTAGTGGCAAATGGATTTGCGCATAAAAAAGATAGTTTTCTACATGTTTATGCATTCAAGAAGTAACATGTTTTCTATATATGCTATAGGGATGGTAGCCGTTGTAACGGCTATTTCATACCGAGTACATTGATTTCCGTTGTTAACGGAAGCGCTATGTTGGGCCATAAGTGCCTCACACTTGGATTGGATCGTCATGTATTAACCGTAACATATGTTGGGGGATAAATGCCTCGCAGTTTCATTGGATCACCATGTATTGGGCCTATCCTTATAGCCCATTGTAGGTGTTTCATGTTTTGAATTGGGCCTATCCTTATAGCCCATTGTAGATGTCTCATGTTTTGAATTGGGCCAACACGTCATGTTATACAATTGCTCAAAGTTTACAAAAAAATCAAAATAAGAAAGGTAACATGTTATGATTCATGAAATGTGTCATTGATTAAATTGTCATGAGGCGTGGGTGAAGGCGAAAAGATTCAAAAACAATTGAGATTGGATCTTGTAATGTAACACGTTTAGATTCATTGTGGAGGCCAAATGGCTCCAAATAAAGCCTAGAAGATGGGAAGATTCAAAATCAATATGGAAAGGAAGTTCAGTGTTCATAAAATTGACAAAATGAATGTGACCATAATTGTGTCCATGTTCATAAACGAAACCCAAGAATACAACCAAAAACATGCCATACTTCATTGGACATATATCGTGTCCATGTTCATAATGCATGTTTTATGCATGGTTTACTATCCAACTTGTATTAGACAAGTTCATGCAACAAGAAAGTTGATATGTATCATTTGCATTTGGAATAAAGAATAATATTTGGGTTCAAACTCAGGTTAACCTATTGATGTGGTCTAATAAATTGTGACAATTGTTAAAATTAAATTAGACATTGCCTAACTTTTATTTTTAGACATGTGTTTTAAATTATAATTTTTACTTTTGGACACTTATTTTAAAATTATTAGGTCACATTAGAAGGTTAGATGAAGTTCATCCAATATGAATTGAACTCAAGTATTGTTTTTAAAACTATATAAAAATAATAATAATAATTAATCCTTATTCCATTGTTACTTTTCAACTTTTTGCACTTCAAGTGAGTTAAGTTCAAGAAGACGCACAATATATATATATATATATATATATATATATAGTTGACGAAAAATAAAAATGGAATACGAATGCTTGAAAAATTGAAGGTTCGACTGTTTATTATTATTATTATTTCCTAAGGTTGAGCTTGAGAGAGAGATTGGATCTTGGTAGAGAAGATGGGCAGATACATAATGATGAGAAACCTTTTAGAACAGAACCATAATAAAGGGAAGATACAAAATACAAGTTGGATGGTAGAATGATTCACGTCTTCTACCTAGCTTCCAACAAAGTAATGGTTTCGATAACAATCTTGTCATGCATGAAGCCCCACCAATTAACAAAATAGCTAGCTAAGAAAATAATAATATATCATAACCAAATTAGTTTGGCCACCTTGACATGATTCATGATTTGATCAAATGGATGGGATATGAAAAGGGTCGATCAACCAAAATATATGCAATTTATAAATAAGTAAAAGAAACAAATAAATATATATATAACATGTCAGTACAATTTACTAAAAGAAAAGGTGGTAATAAAATCAAATTGGCTATTTGTGATTGATAAAAAGTTTAGCATTCATGTCTCACTTCGTTAAGCTCTGTGAATACACCAGGTCATTAGATAGTCCTGCCGTAACTGTTTCTATTTAATCGGAGTGAACTTAGATGGTCCCAATTCTATGTATAATTGGATTATATATAACTTATATATAAGCCCCATCACATGTTGATTGCCGTTTGGGAGAGCCTAAGTAAAAATTTACTATAATTGCAAATAATTATTACTTTCATCCGTCGGTCATCTCCAAATTATTTTTCTTTTATCATCTCCAATTTCTTTATAAGTTGCATGAAGAGGGCATTTTTGGTATTTCCTGATTTCTACCTTGAAGGCAACAAGTGACAGCCTAAAATATTAAAAAATGTGACTATTTCAAACTCCTTTTTGCCTTTTTCTTTTTAGATAAAATAAAGTTAAACTCGAAATTAATAAATTCACTACTATTAAAGAGAAAGATCTATAAACCCAGACGTTTGTGTAGTCAAATGCATCACCGTGGATTAGGATTTGATGGTAAACATTTTAATGATTTTATACAAACCACACTCTACTAACAGGACCAAACTAGCTAATATAACATTTGCTTTCTTATTTACCTATCAAGTAATATGATTTGCTTGGTTTGTAATTTTTAAAATAATTTTGAATTATATTTTTAAAAAATTATAAAAGACAATTCTTTAAAAATAAGTCTTTTTATAACTAAATTTTTAAAAAATTAAATCATGTAAAAAAATTTGTACTATTTTCAAAACTAAAAATAAAAAACTATTTTTAAAATTATAAACCAAACAAACCCAATATTTCTACTTACTGCCTTTTCTCTTATTTAATGTGATCAAAGTTGCACAATCTTCCCAAATAGAGGGATATCATTTGAATAATCCAGAGACTTGGGGAATACTGTCAAATTACTAACCAGACAAACTAGGAAGAAAATTAAATTCTGCTTTCCATGTCCTAAATACAGTAATAATTAATGAGGGCAGCTTGGTCAATTCAGCACAACTGCACAAATTACTGTCATGTCACACAAATTCCAAATAAGCTTTCAAACATCTTTTTCTTCCAAAACAAAACCCAGAAGCGATTACAAGAAAGATCCTCTTTCCGTTCAAAAAAGGAATGCTTATTGGGAATCTCATGAAAATTACAGATAATTTTGATCTGAAATTGTATATATATATCCACAACACACACACATATTTTTGAGTCATCTGTTGCTTACAAATCCAGTAGTATGGCCACCCTCAAAACCACCAAAAAACACCATAGACGCCTTAATAACCCCTTTCCTTCCACTTCAAGATCTCTCCCTTTTATACAGGGAACTCTGTACTTCAATCCCCAAACAGTCCCTTCACACCAGATCTTTAGTATTGGTGAGGATTTTCAGCTAGCTTGGAGATCCAAAAATGGTGGGTCTCTCTCAATTTCTCATCAATCTCAACCTACCAAGCCCATGTGGACCACCATCCCAGGGCAACCCTTTGTCTCTGCAGCAGAGGCCGAAACAGAGATAGAAGAAAGCAGGGGTTCATTTGTAATCAAGGACAGGAATGTTCGTTTGGTATGTAATCACCAAACAGTTGAAGAAATTAGAGTGATCGACCAATCTGATTGGAGTTCAGAAGCAAAATTCGACGACTTTCCTTCTTATGCGGAATTGAATCAGAAAATTGAATTGAAGGACACCCAATTCCCTGTTTTGCTAATAACAGGTTGGATTTTCTGTGTGAAAAAAAGGAAGAAATTTGAGAATTCTGGCATTCAAGAGACTTCACAATTGGTGGAGAAAGAATCTTCCACTTCTGCAAGGTATTGGGTTTTCTTTTCTCAGAAAGGAACTCACCAAATTGGGTTTCAAGTGAAGCTTGGCTCACCAAATGTTCATTTTCACCAAAGAACTCCTCCAAGAAGTAATAGAGTCTACCGTGGCTTTCTCAGGAAGATTGATCGAATTCAGGGACGTGGAGCTGGGTGGTGTGGCTTCTTTCCAAGGCGAAAAGGCTTCGCCACAATTTCATCATCAGAGGAAAATGTAGGAATGAAAGCTGCAAAATTTGCAGGTTTCAACAGGGTCTGTCTTACATATTCAAGTGAAAAAAATGAGAAATTCTATGGTTTTGGTGAGCAGTTCTCTCACATGGAATTTAAAGGCAAAAGGGTACCAATTTTTGTTCAAGAACAGGGGATTGGAAGAGGAGATCAACCAATTACTTTTGCTGCTAACTTGGTTAGCTACAGGTATTATGTTTGCAGCTAATTTGAATAAGTATAGGAAGACTAATTGCTATATCTTCAATTCATTAAAATGTTAACTAATCACTAGTCACTTTGTTACTTACAAAAACTGTGCTCCTCTAGTGCAGGGCTGCAGGCGATTGGAGTACAACTTATGCGCCTTCACCATTCTATATGACATCGAAGATGAGGTCTCTTTACCTTGAAGGATACAACTATTCCGTTTTCGATCTATCAAGGCATGACAGAGTTCAGATACAGGTAATGTAAATAAAACCAAAAAACATATCTTTTCATTATAAAATCACTAAAATGAATTTAGTGAAAATTAGTAGAACTAGTGAAGAATCTACATTAATCAAACAACACACACCAACAAAATTGGGTTTTGGGTAAAATGAAGACATTTATCCAGAAAAGCATAAGAATAAAATCTCTCTCTCAGTGATTGTAGTGACATTATTGCTCACTCAAATTGCATACTTGCTGTGTCTCATTTCTATATTCTGGGTAAGGTTGCAGGTATATGGAGATTCTATTCAAGGTAGGATATTGCATGGGAATGCACCTACTGAGTTCATTGAACACTTCACTGAAGTTATTGGGAGACCACCGGAGCTTCCTAAATGGATTATATCTGGTGCTGTGGTTGGGATGCAGGGGGGAACAGATTTTGTACACAACGTTTGGGATAAACTTCGAACCTATGATGTACCCCTTTCAGCATTCTGGTTGCAGGTAATGCATGCATTAACAGAGAAACATATAATCACTTTTTATGACATTTTTGTGTTTTCACCTTCATTTTAACAAAGAATTTGAAGATTATATAGTCCATCAACTTTAAGCTGTATCATTCACAGGGAAGGAATATATATATATATATATCTTGAAGCTGTATCAGATTTGTAACTTGCTCTTTCCAGAAACTAGTGAAATTTCAGGAAATAATTTTCACTTCAACAAAAAACTGATGTCGTGCTTGATATTCAAACATCTGCTAGTATATGGATAAACATATAAAAAAAGAACCAAAAATAACAAAGCCTCCATGCATAAAATCTCATTTGATTTCGTTTGAGTAGGACTGGGTGGGGCACAGGAAGACGGTGATTGGATCACAACTTTGGTGGAACTGGGAAGTGGATACAAGAAGGTATTGGGGATGGCAGGAACTACTTAAAGATCTCAGCGCTCAGCATATAAAAGTGATGACATACTGCAACCCTTGTCTAGCTCTGGTACTTATCTTTTCCTCTACCAATTTCCCACTATTTTCATGTTAAGTAACATTATGATGATTGCTTGGTTTTCATTGTTTGCACCATTAAAATACTGTATAAAGGAATTGATAAATTTTTTCTCAAAATGTTGGTATGAATTTGGAACCCCACAGACTTCTTTTCTTTTCATAGTAGTAAAACGATGTCAGAACTGTGTGCACAGATTTGTTGTGCTGTGAGTGGGGATAGATTGAGGAAATTGACTATGTTTCTTTCACTTGCAATGGCAGATGAATGAGAAGCCAGATAGAAGGAGAGACCTGTTTGAGGAAGCAAAGAAGTTGGACATCTTAGTGAAAGACAAGAATGGAGGGCCATACATGGTTCCTAACACAGCTTTTGATGTGGGAATGTTGGATCTGACACACCCGCGTACTGCAAGTTGGTTCAAGCAGATTTTACAAGAAATGGTGGACGATGGAGTCAGGGGATGGATGGCCGATTTTGGTGAAGGCCTGCCTGTGGATGCTTCCATCTATTCAGGTCAGATATTCAAACTTTTTTCTTGCAGAGTTATTATGCCACCTATGTAAGGCATACAGAACCACACCAGGACTCCTATAATGCAAGCAGTAGAAAAGCATAATCTGCTTGTACTTCCCAATTTCTTTCTCTGTGGACAAAATTTGTAAAGAAGGAATTTATCCAAAAAGGGTTAAAGTGGGAAGCTCTTGGTCACCAAGAAAAGCTAAAATATCAACACACCAGATGCTACTTATAATTTGAAAATTATGACAACTTCATTTGTACCTTTTTTTTTCTTTTAATATTTGGAATATTGTACTAGTTTCTATATCCAGAGCACAAAGAATGATAAATTGTTGCAAACTGACAATATTCAGACTATGGAAGTTCTTAAAAATAAATTATCTAGTTAATGGAGAGGTTAAATTTATTAAACTAATGGTGCCTACTTGAACCAGGACTTAACAAGCAAAAGTTATAGCCATTCTATGAAAGGGTTGAGCTGATTACATGGACCAAAAGTTCCAATACAATTAGTTTTCCCTTACTCCTCTAACCAAACAGGCATGAAAATACACATACAAAAACAAATACACAAATGTGCATGTGTGTGCGCACTTGCATATCTCTCTCTCTCTCTTTCTAGACATATATATTTATGTATCCCTCTCTCTATGTACTTGTACTTGTGCATGCTTCAATATGCATGGACATAGATTGTTCCCCTCTACCAGCATATGTCAGAGAAGGGCAAACTTCTACTAGACATTAATATAACTGTAATTCTAAGTATAACAAAATTAATCAGCATGACTTACTTTCCCTTTAGGTGAAGATCCTGTTTCTGCACACAACAGATACCCGGAGCTATGGGCCAAAATAAATCGGGAGTTTGTGGAAGAATGGAAAAGTACACGTATGGATAAGGAGAGGGAGGATCTGGAAGAGGCCTTGGTTTTCTTTATGCGGGCTGGTTTCAGAGATAGTCCCAAATGGGGCATGCTATTTTGGGAAGGGGATCAAATGGTAAGTTGGCAGGTTAATGATGGGATAAAGAGTGCTGTTGTTGGCTTGTTGAGCAGTGGACTTTCAGGGTATGCTTTTAACCACAGCGATATTGGAGGCTACTGTGCTGTAAACTTGCCTTTTCTTAAGAAGTATCAGAGAAGTGAAGAGTTGTTGTTGCGGTGGATGGAAGTAAATGCATTCACGACAGTTTTCCGGACCCATGAAGTAAGTTAAAAAGCTGGCACCTGAAAATGCATAAGCATATAACATTGAAGCATCATCCTCATCATGATCACTAACAATTCAAAAAGTTTAGGTTATTTTGACAATGGAAGGAACTTTAATGACGCATAGCTTATAAGTAATAATTTCTGGTGCTTGCTTTTAAGGGTATTCTATTGTGGTTACAATGAAACTATTACACAGCCATTTAACTTGGAAGTGAAATTCCTTTCTTATAACACCCAAAGTCCCTTTTGAGCGATCCCAAACAACAGAACATAATAAAATTTCATCTAGAAATTAGTTATATCTACAGGAAAATTCAAATTTTAACACGATTGTAAAATCTTTTGTAGAAGTTCAATATAAAGGCTTTCCATGGAAACTTATTCTTCCATTAAGCTACCAAAAGACACCTGCAACCAATTATGAAAAAAAAAAAAAAAAAAGAAGAAAAGAAAAGACACCTGTAACTTGCCCTACTTTCCCCTGAAACATGCTATTCATTTCCTTATAGGATCCAAGTTTGACATCCATGAACATATGCTTATTTTACTTTGGAAAAAAAATGTTTATTTTGCTATGTGAAATTTGGACTTTTTAAATGGCATTGATCCGTTTTTGAAAAAAACTATCCTGTGTCAATTTACATGTTTCTGATGTACATAATATCCTCGAAGCAGGGAAATAAACCATCCTGCAACAGTCAGTTCTACACAAACCACAGGACTTTATCACATTTTGCACGCTTTGCAAAAATTTATAAAGCTTGGAAGTTTTACAGGATCGAACTTGTTAAGGTAATGTCAGAACTTCATAGCATTAATACTCTTTGAAGCTAATAACACTGTAGTTTCAGTAAAGAACCTAATACCGTGTGTGATTTTCAAAACAGGAAGCTTCTCAAAAAGGCCTGCCTGTTTGCCGCCACCTATTTCTTCACCACCCAGAAGATGAGCATGTGCATAGCCTGAGTTATGAGCAATTTCTTGTTGGTACGGAAATCCTAGTGGTGCCTGTTCTTGACAAAGGCAAAAATAATGTTAAGGCCTATTTCCCAGTAGGAGAAAGTTGCTCATGGAAACATATTTGGACAGGAAAAATATATACGAAACAAGGTTCTGAAGCTTGGATAGAAGCTCCAGTTGGCTATCCTGCCATTTTTGTCAAGGCTGACTCTATTATCGGGGATACATTTTTGAAAAACCTCAGAGAATACAATATTTTGTAAAACAGTAAGACAGATTCTGTAGAAAATGTTATGGATTTGTCGACCATTTCAAGATTCTTGCACCACCACTTTACCGTATTAGACATTCAAATAGTATGTTCAATGATATAATTTCAATTTCTTGAATACATTGTGCTTATAAGAAAATCTTTTGTAGGCTTATTCATGGAGCTTTCTATTTTTCTTTCCCCCCTCCTTTTTTCCTCCTAAGAGTAAGACACAAAGACACTGTTTTCCCAACCAGGCATCGAAATCTGAACCTTCCTCTTTTGGTGTCACCAGGAAATACTAAAACTAACCACAGCTGGTGGCTAAGCTTATACATAGATTTAATACTATTCCAACTACACAGAAAAACGAATGGCATGATCCAATTAAACCTGAAGTTAAACATAAGTGAAATTGAAGGTGTTACAATTTTAAGTCCTTCTACATAAATCTCATATACAAATTATGTAATCCCATGCAGAGACAAAGAAGTTTCTAGCAAAGACCAGTTTATGATAACAGTTAATCAGTTAATTATGGCAGTGCAAAGACAGCATCTTCCCATTTTATTATAAGGTATCTGTTAGAGGGGTCTTGTCCCAGATCAGATCCGTATGGGAAGAGATTGGGTAAATATGGGCGAGTATGCAGCACTGCCCAATATCTTAAGCTTTGTCCTACCTGTTATAATTGGTATCAGAGTCACATCCAATCCTTGGATATTAGCTTTTGGGTAGCTGTGCAAGAACAAGCTTCTTCTAGGTCTTTCACATGCAATATAATTGAGAACAAAGCGGATGGATTTAGATTCTATTGCAACCAATTATATATTCTAGAAGAGGAATTTTTGTTGACAAAAGGTGTTAAAGGCATTATCCTGTTTATGATCTTCTCCTATATATGGCGCATATGTAGGAACCCCCAAATATCTTCCCCACCCAACGAACAGAAAGTTTAGAAAACACATTTGCATCAAATAGACCACATCGACATACTAACACAAAAATGAGACTAAGGAATGGGTTGAATAATTGACTAGTTTGAATCATATAAGAATGACTAATTAGGAATGTTTTTCTGGCCTTCTTCTGGGAAAGTTACATCTGAATTTTTTTATACATAGTCAAATAAACAGATTCTATAGTTTTCCACAGACCAAATCTGATAGAATCTACAAAAATCTACTCAGAATCAATTGCATTGGGTGAACTCTGATTTTATCAGCTTTCACGTCCCAAGACGAAGTTCAGTATCCTCAGGTTCCATCTGCTATTATTTTTACTCTTTTGTTGCATTTGGGAGCGTCGAATCAATGTTTTAAATTCGGGATGGTAGGATATTTAGTTCAAAGTTTTAACTAAATTTCTTCCAATTCCAAATCCAAATGCCAATTTGGTGCTGCCAAACATAACATTAAAAACTTTTCAATGCATACCCAAAATGTTCCCCTTCTCCAACATTACAATCCAAAGTTTTATCCCTCTAAAAAAACTGTTGAACTGTCTCCTAATATGCACATATAAAGAAGAGAAACCCAGCTTCAATGATAGATTTACCTCAAACTACAAATAAAAAAATGATTTTGGCAAAACCCAATAATAATAATTTGACCATAACATCCTCCCTAAGCCCAACAGATTTCAACTTATCGTGTGCTTAAGAAGCCTTTAGGGTGCAAAAACATGATCGGTTAAAACTTCATCCCACTTGATACTAGAAAGAACAAGTCCAGGAATGGTTATAGGATCTCCCACCATCTTGTTATCACATGAATGATTAATTTTCATTGTATGCCAAATTTTTCAATCCTCAAAAATAAAGGAAAGAAGATTATTTTACACTTTCCATTGCTTACAATTTTGGGAATAAAATTTTCTAGTAAATAAGTTAGCACCACTAAATAACGACGTACCAGCATTTTAACAAAAATAATATGCACCTAATTCTACCTTCTCTTTTCGGGGTATTTATTTTCTTTCAAAACGAAATGGATAGTTGATCATCAAAAGAATTAAACCAGCGTAATCTACATTGAAGAGAATAATAATACATTAAATTTCAACAATACAGAACCGTCTAAGCATATTATCAAACAATGCTTGTGCACTACCAAGTTGACTTATCTTGTTGCCCTAAACTGCCTGGTAATAAAAGCAGATATGATCAGAAAAAATAACCACAAAAAAATTAAATAATAGACTTGTAAGTTTTAGACTAATACGATTATGGAAAATCAGATAGTTACGAAGAATCACCAGACTTCCCGATCGCAGAATCAAATTTCTACACCATATAAAACCTCATTATTGTGGACTCAGTAAGAAAACAACGATCAAACATCAATGGATTAATGGGTTTTCTTTATTTAATTATATAAATATTTGAACTGTATCACAGTGAATAGCTAGAATAAGCATATTTGGACATCGATAGATGATAACGACCGATGGAGAGAACTGACCTTTATAAAAGTTGAAGAAATTGATATAGAAAGACGAACAAGAGCCTCGCAAAAATTGTAATGGGTTTCGGAGGATCAAGAAATGAAGAAAAAGTAGTTGGTGTTGCTTATGTATTGTTTATAGTTTTTGTAGTTCTCCATTTTAGTTGGCGTGTTGGAATGTTAACTGATTCGGATACATTGTTGGGATATTCTCTCAATAATGATTGCACATGTTGGCTGTCATTGGAAGTTTCGACCCATGCCATTTCCCAAGTAATTTTTTTTTTTTTAAATAAATAAATAGATTGATTTGTTTTCCGAAATTCGAGTAGTGGGGCCAACACTGTCCTCTCTCCTTTGTCTTTTTGGATTTTGAATTTAAACAATGTAGTAGAAGTGATTTTTACCTAAAAAAAAATATAGTAGAAGTGATTTTGATTGATTATTCATACATAATACAAGTAATGGAAGGATGATCCTTCTTCATCTTCTTCTTTTCTTTTTTTTCTTGTTTTTTAATGACCCATTATAAGCATTAAGTCTGCCAGTTTACCAAAACTAATTGGTGTAAAATTTATTTTTTTTAAAAAATATTAATACTTGGACTTATTTTTCAAGACTATATGTTTAATTTAAGGGTTTTATTCTCTTTGATATAAGAAATCTCTCCATTAGTTTTTCTCCAAGCATCTTCTAGCTAAATGACTAATGGATTCCATTCATTAGTTTTTCTCCGAGCATCTCTATCCTATCATCCAATTATCATAAACATGTCATGGCATCACTTTTGTTAAGATTTAGTGGTAAAGCCAGGATTTCAATTCAATGGTGCAGTGTAAAAAAAATCAACTAACATGATAAATATAGATTGTTCAAATCCAAGGGAGCAAAGGAGGGAAAAAAAAAAAAAGTAATCTTATATAGGATAATACTTGAGTCCTGCCTTATCAAGACAATTTTAGTCCTGTAAACTTAGTTGGCCTAATGAAAGGCTAATACCTCTCTTAACTTAAAAAAATACAAAACATGGGTTATATCCATTTACTTAGAATTAGACTGGATAGATCATTTCCTTTTTGTTTCTCTCTCCTCCCATGTGCATATGTTTCTATTTTTTTTTTTTTTGGTTTCATTCACATTATGCTCCCATCCTTGATTTTGGACGGTGTTCTATTCTTGGCAAGGATTGATTAAAAAAAAAAAAAAAATTTCTTGATTCACATTCTTGAAGCAGGTATATATATTCAAACATTATATTTTCCAATGCAACTTGTTTTTTCTTCTTCCAAATACCTTAAATCAAGTATGAGTTTTTTTGAATTTTTGTTCAAAATGAATTTTGGGTTTCTTTCCTTTCAAAAACAAAGGTGTCTGTTTGTTTCCTTTTCTTCTCATACTTATTTAGGTTTGTTTTCCATAAAAATAAAAATAAAAGAGGATATTCTTCTTATTTTTTTTCCTAAATGGTATTCTTCATTTTGATTAGATAAAAAATGTATTGATTGTTTTAGGGTGAAGTTTCATTCAATTATGTTATTTATTTATTTATATATATATATAGTTATGCTCTTTAGCAGAAGGGAAGAAACGTTCTATATAATTGTGATCTGATCATCACTTCTTCTTTTTCTTTTCTTTTTTAAAAAAATAAATAATAAAAAGGTAAAGTGAAAAGGCTTTTTCTTCAAATTCTAACCTTCAAGGAAAGAACAAGAATTCATTGTAATTCATAAACCGAAAAAATAATAAATCTTACATCTTTTAGCACCTCCATTGCTATTCTATAAATTCTGCAGTATGTGGTGAGGGCAAGACCTAGGAACACGGGAGCATGATGTGAGAGAAACAAAAAAAAATTGGATACACAGGGAAGAGAAACAAAAATGAAATGAATGATATAAGGCAGGACTTAAGCATTATCCATATAGGATTATATTACCGTGGGCGTGGCCAAGCAGGGGCCACATGCACCCCTTGGGCGTAGATTGACTCCACCCGTGTTAAGATTTAACTATGCATGTAACCGTATAATTCATGTTTGTGCCAATGTGCCGTATTCATAACCGTTGGTAAAATACTTTGAGAGAAAAATTAATGGAGATGATCTAAATCCTTATAAATGAATATTTATGTTAAAGCAATGCAAGTTACAAGGTAACTATTATTATTTTTATTTAAATAAATTTCACACCACAATAGACATTTACTTCAACTTCAATTCAAATTTTTTTTTTTTTTTTTTTCATAATTAACTTCAATTCAATTCAATTGCGAATCTTTACATCAGTTTTCTAGTTTAATGATAGAGTTATAATATGAAATAAATCTAAATAGATGCATAGGTGGAAATTTATTTTGGTCATGGCTCGGTCTAAATATAGAAAAGGCTAGTTAATTAGACGATCGAGGTCTCTGTCATTATGTACTCTGGCAAGGGCCACCATTTTGGTGGGTCCAAATAGAGTTTTTCATTCATTTTATGTTGAACAACTTGCACGATAATAAGATAATATAATTTTCTAAGAAATATAATAAATATAATTTTTTTGATAATATTTATGTTTTAATGAATTCATTATTTTGTAATAAAAAATAGACTAGGAGTTCTTGCACAGATCTAAAAAATTGATTAATATTTCATATTCGCATTTGCTCCTCCATTTAGGCTCAAAAACCCAATATCTGCTTTAAAAAGGAGGGCTTGGACCTGGGCTATTAGCCCATTTGGTACCTTAAAAAGAGATTGAGATAGTTAAAAGATAGACTTTTGCCGGTTTACGGACAGTTTTGAGGCTTTTGCCCTCAATAAAATGGTTTTTTTTTTTTTTTTTTTTTTTTATGACAAAAATGTTAGAGGTTAGTGATTAGAGAGGAGATGAATGGTGCAAGCAGGGGCGGACCCAAAACCTCTTGTTTGGGGGGACAAAATTAGAGCAAAAATCAAAACTCATAATCACAGTACAATAATAGGTATTGTCAAAACAAAAAAAATTCAAAACCAAAAATATAGAACAAAAATCACATTAACAATATATGGCTAGGTCAGTTAAAAGAAAATAAAAAGAAATTAAGAAAAAACCATACCTATGTTCAAATCATCTTGCTAATGATCTTGGAGATGAATGTGCTTCTGGAAAATTTTAAATCTGTATTTGGTTTAGTAATTTTTCCTACTTTTCTCAAGCATTTATAATAGTTAATGTTTCCATTAAATGGGTATGGGTAGGTATTGGCAGTGTGAGTGTTGAGCAACTAAGGGTTGGCTTGCATTGAATTATTTAACTTGTTTGGTGAGTAGAGTGGTACTTCAAGTACCTATTTGGTAGTGACCAGTCTGTAAAATGGTTGAGTAAAATGGTTATAAAGACTCATATGACATCTTAGTTTTGATTTTATATATGCAAATATACCATAGATATTTGGTATATACAATGCGTAACTACTCTCTAATCCTAGGCCATAAAATAAAATCTTATTGGACAATATAGTGTATATTGGTTTGGGGGGCCGGCCGAGTACTTAGTGAGCTTGTTAAAAAAACCCCACGCATAATTTAAAAATGCAAGTCCAACCCAAATATTTTCAGGTTGGGCTGGGCTAACCCACTCAACTTGCACCCCTACCTTGGGATGCCATTTGTAATTCACTCAATTTGTTTTCTTCTATCTCCCTCTCTAGACTTGAACCCAACTTAAGTAGGTTTAAGCCATAGGTCAAATGATCCAAGCCACTTATACCATAATCTAATTTCACCGAGCCATATTAAAATTGGTCCGAACCATTTGTTTCGGATTGCACCCAATTCAGCATTTATATAGTATAGATGCATTTTTTAGTCAGAGAGAGAACTACACAGAGGAGATTCGTCGTATCTACGAGTTTGTAGTGCTGCTATTGGTGGATGTAGACCGTTGTATCCTAGGAGACAAGCGTCACAAAGTCCGTCAACACCATACCGTAAATTGTCTTAAAGACATAATATTCAATACTAGCCTCGTTCTAGATTCTTTATTTATTATTATTATTTTATTATTTTAATTTACATGTTTAATTAAATACAGAGTTATATATTTAATTAATTATTTTTTAACATATTATTAATTATCTCATGCAATATTAATATAAGATTAATTATATCTTAAATGTCATTTGAAACATATATTTTCCAACATTATCTCCCTGTATTATCATTTTTATCTTTCCACCCTTTCTATCTCATTTCCATGATTCTCTCTTCACCCTGATTCTCTCTCTCTCTCTCTCTCTCTCTCTCTCTATATATATATATATATATATATATTATTTTTTTTTTTTGTTATAAATCTTCCCTTCCTATCTCTTCTCCTTTTTTTCTCTCACCCTGTTTCTCTCCCTCTCCTCTCCTTTTCTTCCTCGTACGTTTTTTCTCTTTTTTTTTTCTTTTTTTTTTTTTTTTTGTTGTAATAACTCTCAAAATAAATTATACAGTGACTTTAAAAAAAAAAAAAAAAATTGTAAAGCTCGAGACCAAAAAATTAATAAATTTAATATATAAAAAAATTATATACTTTTTGGTATTCTAACAATTAAAATAATTTGACAATTTATGTCTAAAAATATATAAATAATTAGAGTGGGTATGTGTTAACTTATTCATTTAACACTCAAATTTTTTTTATGATCCATAATAATTAAGTTGATAATAAATTATTAACTTATTTTTGATTCACACATTCATAGTCAATCCAAAATACATTGAACCTTCCCGATTACCACGCCGAATCAAAATGCATGGGATATTGGCATTTAATTTCCTATCGAACAGTGCATATATACACAGTGAACTTCAAAAGTAATTGATCCATTTTCTAGGCATACAAACAGCAACCACTCATTCATAAAATTTCACTTTCCACAATGAACAATGATCGAATTGTGGGGACCCACACTACATGTACGTTTCCTTTAATGGGTCTAAAACTAGGTAGGAATCATCTTCCTAATTTGGCTACTTATGCTGGTGGACATGAGAATCCTCCAGAACATGAGTAATTTACTTAATAACTGTGTATATAATAATTATTTTCTTCTTTCATCTTAAGGATTTGAGCAAAAATATAACGTCCTTTTGCTTAGTTAAAAATAAAAAATTTAATTATAAAAATATCTATTTTTATAAAACTATCTTGAAGATAACCTCTATCATGAAAAAAAAAATAATAATAAAAATAAAATAAAAATAAAAACACTAAGAAGAAGAGGAAGTTGTGATACTCATCATCAATGCAATTTGAGATTGGTATTTTCAATCCACCGGTAAGTGATTAGCAGAGATAGGACTCTCAACTTTTCTTTTGAAGAGTAAAAATTATTTCATTCGAATTAATGTCCATTATACTATATAATTAGAAATTAGGGTAATTTCATGATTAAAATTTGCAGTTTTTCTTTTGTTTTCTTTTCTTTAAAGTAAATTGTTCCATTAAAACCTCGAATCCTCAATCATCTCTAATAAGGAAAAAGAAAAGATCAACTGCAGACAAGGTAAAGTTTTGGAAGAAAATCTTATAGAAATCCTACTCTTTTGTGAACAAAATATGCATATGTAGATGTAGACAAATACGTATTTTCTGTTGAACACAACAAAGAACAAGTTGATGATTGTGCAATTAAGATTGTGCCACTTGTGAAACAAAAATGTTATGCTCACGGTAGTCCAATTCGGTGCAAACAACTCGGTAACAGGGCAGGTCCGGCAGGCCCACCAATTTTGGTTTGGGGGCGGCAAATTAGTAACACGGAAATACAACTTTAAAAGAAAAATAAATAAATAAATTATAATGTCTTACATACTGTTCTTTAGTAGAAGGTCTAGTAAATATTTTTAATATACAAAAATCTAATATTATGTTGCCCATAAACAAAAAGGTACTGGTATTTCATAATCTACAATGGACCCATCGACTTGACATCTTATTAAACTATAAAAAAAAAAAATGGACTAAAAAAAAAACAATTTGTCATATATCTAGTTATATACCAAACAAATTGAAATACATATCTATTATTAAAATTGTGTCTAAGCGATCTTTTAAAGAATAAAAATCATCAAATTTTTAAAATTAAATATCTATTATATATAATTTCATAAATTTTATGGTGAGGGTAAGCATAATTTTCATAAACTTTGAGGGGCCATGGCCCCTCTTGGTCCCTTAATAGACTCGTCAATTCAATCCTATTATTTGGTGGAGTAAGTATTTGATTTTCTTGTGTGTATCATAAATTGTCTATATTATACACGTATAATCACATATGATAATTATATACAAACATATTGTATAAACTCCCCATTTGGTGCAATCACCAACGTTTGTGGTGTAACGATCGTTTTAGTACTCCATACTAAAAAAATATCACGCTCATTATAATAGCTAACTATGCATGGGATTTTATTGCCATCCGTGGAAAAACTATCCGGAGGAGATTGTGATATAAATTGACCATTCGAGATTTTTATCATTTTGCCACAAATTTTCTAAGTCATTTCAATCACTAGGTGAAATGATTAAAAGTTCACATTTAAATGTGAAATGAGGACTTATATATAAACATTTTATAAAAAATAATCAAATATTAACTATGTATACATGTAAGTGTAATGAAGGATATTATAGGGCCTCTCCTCAATAGCATATTATCTTACTTAAATGTTTGTTTAGTGCACATGAATGGAATGAAATATAGATGAGAATGAAATGAGAATGAGAATGATCATTCTCATTTTATTATTTGATTACAAATATAAAATATATAAAAATTAGAAAAGAATGAATTTCAAATTAAATTATTTAAAATGTCCCTATTAGTGACAAATCATTTAAGTTGACAAAATAACATTCTTCTACAAAACCTTTTTAAAAAAAAAATGGTGGCAGTGGTTGATGACGGTGGCGACAGTGGTGGAGACTACAATGAGAATGAATTAAAGATTTTGTTTTACAATATTTGAACTTTCAGGAGTACCATTGAAATGATCCTAAGTTAACTAAATTTTTTTTAGAAGTTTCACATGACACAAGTTAAAATTAGGAGGGAAAAAAAAAAAAAAAAAAAAGATACGAAGAAAAAAAAATATTAAAATTTAACAAAATAACTTATTCATTAATTTTTGACAAGTTATTTTACATGTCCAGTCCAATGAACTCGACTTTAATCTCGACGTAGACCTTTGTCAAACACCAATAAAGTAAAAATAAAAAAATATTTTATTTAAAAAAAAAAAATATTTTCTAAAAAAAATATTTTACGTCGAAACAAACAAGCCTTGAGCTCTCTAATGTAGGATCAATATGCAAATGTTCTGAATATTTTTTTGGAAAGTGTCAGACGTTAACTAATTAGTAAAGCAGTCAACTCTCGGTATTTGAGTTTCGTTTTTAAATATATATATATATATATATATATATATATATATATTTATTGAATTTTGATTTAATATGTAACTGACATCTAAAAAATACTAGTAAAAATAAAATTACACACACCCACGCGTTCCGTACAACGAAATGCGGAATCATGCCATTTCATGATACCAATTGCCACTTGCCGCTTGATCTTTCAATTCAAGCCAACTCAGACAATTATGAGCCATGGTATAAAATCCAACTCAGCGCGAACAGTGACGTAGATAGATGACGTCATTTAATGACGTTTTCGCAGCGTCACGACTTCAAGACAGGGTTCCCAGGCAGCCACGTATTCGATTTATACACGGTTGGGGGTAAAGCTTATCTTATCTCACGTTTAGATCGAGCGCGTAAGCATCACGTACACTATTAATTCAAGTTAACTTCTGTGCATATTCTTTTTTTTACTCCCAATGCGAACTTGTGTAAATCACTTTGAGTGGTGAATGTGATCCTTTAAGTGGTTTACACAGTTTTTAAGTTTGAATTGAAAATTTATAACTCAACTTCAATTCAAATTGGAGTTGGACAACAGCAACATCACATACAAGACTAATTAGAGCATAATTTTTTAATTTAATGTAAGACGAGTTCATCGTATAATGAATTTGCGCAGAAACATGAATGATTAAAGCACAATCTTTGAGGTTAAAGTATATCACTATTGATTTTCCGTTTTTTTAAGGAAAAATATGTGCACACACCCACATCTTTTTCTATTATTATTATTATTATCAACAATCCCTCGTCACCATCAATCTGAGCCTCATTAATCAGACCAACCTAATTAGCCAAACCAAAAATGAGCATGGGCAACATGAGCAACCAGAGCACAATTTCTTTGGAGTTTAAATATTCTTGTTATTATTGTTTGATCTCACGGCGCGCGTCTAACTCGTCCAAGTTGCACCTTTACTTGTCATTAATTTTCACGATAGATCTAACCGGTCGGGCCAAGTTACACATTTACTTGTCAGTAATTTTCATGGTACGTCTAATCAAGCCAGGTTACACATTTATTTGTTAGTAATTTTCATTTGTTGTACAAGTATGTCCATTTCTCTCTCCCCCCATTTTTTCTCCCTAGAACATTAACAGCTAGTTTTCCACTACCAGCGTTTTTTTCCCGCAGAAGTGAACCCTTTTGAGAATATTGAGGTCATCTCTCTCTTATAACATGGACAAATCACAGTGTGTACATCAGAAGAAGGCAACCAAACAGACCAAAACCAAGAAAAAACCTGTCAAGGTTGTGTATATCTCTAACCCCATGAAGGTCAAGACTAGTGCTTCAGAATTCAGAGCCTTGGTGCAAGAACTCACCGGCCAAAACGCCGATAAGCCGGATCCATCTAGGTATGTGGCGATTGATGACGTTGCTGATCATCAAACGGTCACGGATGATGAGGCTATACAAGTCCCTACAGTGGACCCTGGCAGCAATGAGCTACCTAATAGGTCTGATCTTCCATTTGAGCCGTATGATGATGTTTTTACTCCTCAGATGCTAGAGAATTTAACAGGTTTGTTGCCATCCAGCTTGTTGTACGAGTCTTTTTCGTATTGATGTGCTTACAAGCCTTGATGTGATGATGTTAATTTGAATTAAGCCATGTTAGGCCTAGGGTTAATGTGTTATATGTATCATGTTAAACATGTTGTATGTAACTTTCTAATATGCTTTGTTTATTCATATTAATTTCCTATATATGTTTTATTTGAACTGAATCGGGGTTACAATTACTATTCCAGTATATGTCTTTGCCATTGAAGATCTAGCTAGCTAGCTAGGATGTGTTTGGAAACAGTTGCATTGGTATTATTATATAATCTCCCTTCTTCGATCCATTGCTTTGGGAACTGAAACCCCAAAGTCACTGTAACAAAGGTAAATCAGTAAAATTAATAGATATAACGGTATATGTTATAACTAATACAATCTATCTTTAAGTTGGTCTCAAATTGATTTATCAGAAGAAAATATATATATATAAGTTGGGCTGAAATTGAACCAAAAAGAAGGGAACCCAATACATTCTTAGTGACAAAAGCAAAACAGATCTGGTCATGCTAAAGAAAGACTTTAGCATGACCAGATCGACGTACTGAAATCAAACACGTCCTTAATTAATTAATTGTGGTTACAATATACATTGACGTACGGCTGTGAAAAATGAGGATGTCAAACAAAAGGAGAATCGGTGGTGGAAATTAATTTCTACTTTCCAAAAAAGAAGATATTCATGAGATGAAGATATATATCAAGAGAGGGTGTGTTTGGTCCACACTAAAAAAGGAAATGGTCGTTCTTTAGTTCTTTTAGCTAACAATTTAAGGCTAGAAAGTCTATTTGGCGAACCAATGTAGCCATAGTCAAAAGTCAAAATAAACATAAACACGGTGGTTTTACAAAATCTTAGATCTAGTTAATACTTAAAATGCAGTAGAAAAATCAGAATGTATTTGATTTCACACGAATGCTTCATTTTTTTCTCACATAATGGGAAAAAAGAAAGTACTTGCTGCCAACTACTGTAATTAATAATTATTATTTGGTACTTTTTTAATACATTTTGGTGTAAGTTAATATATATAGCAGCCAACTTTGGCAAGGTAAAATAAGAAAGATTTTATCGGACAAAAATAAAAATAAATAAATAAATAAAAGCTAAGATAAAAAAGAAAAATATCTTAAATTTATCAAAGCTTGTGTTTTCAATGGTACTTAACGTTTATAGGTTATTAATTTTTACCAATATTGATGGGGATAGTTCCGGCCCGTACTCGGGAAGCATTGGCTACTCACTTGTGTGTGTGTGTGTGTGTGAGAGAGAGAGAGAGCATTCACTTATCTGCGTTTCATGTTCAAAATGAATCCTTATTTTCCTTTTCTTTTTTTTTATTCTTCCTCTTTTTTTTCCGGCTTATGTTCAGTCACTAAATGGTACTGTACTATATATATATATATATATAGGGAGAGAGAGAGAGAGGACATTTTTTTCTCCCTCTGTCCTAGATTCATGCATTTATTTGCAGTTTCTCGGAGTCCACTGTTTCAACTGTAGCAATTTATACATATAAATGGATCAACTATTATGGTTAATATTTGTTTCATCGATATAATTACTTTTACTTGCCCAAGAAAACTAATAGTCTAATATTGTTAAACATCATCAAACATAAGCAAGTTGAAAAAGTATCATTCTAGTGAATATCTTATAGCTGCTAGCTGTTGAGACTGAACTAAGGTAAAATTATGTTATTAGATCTTGGGTAGAAAAATTTTAAATATATATAATCACGTACATATCATTTAAATTCAAGTGTTTGAAAATGAAGCATCAATATTTGAAAATAAGATTTATTTATTTTGAAAATGAATGACGTACAAAATAATAAATTTATAATTAGCATTCTCGGGGTAAGAATATTGCATTCTCAAGAAAATAAGTGTAACATTTACAAAATAATAGTGTAATTGAATTTTTAAAATCACTTACAAACTACAAACAAAGTACAAATGAAGATTATCCAATATATGGGTATTGTATGATATAACGTGGATTCCACGGGAATGTATCCATTTAGTCACTGTGTTTTTGCATTGATTAGTCAGCCAACATTTTCGATTAGATTGCTTGATTGCTTTTGGACTTGGTATTGTATATGTTGTATGTGTTGTCTGGTTTGAGATTTTCACTTGTTCCTTTTGGTTGTTGGTTTATTTGATTCCATCGACTGTAGATGGTGTTTGTTTGGACATGTCAGCTTAATTCATCAATAGATACTGTAAGTTCATTACCATGTTTATATCTTCATATCAATTAGAATTGCTTTAATTATTACTGGTTAGAGACGTAATTAATTAGATACGACCCATGAGTCACTTAGTTGTCAAAAAAAAAAAAAAACAAAAACAAAAAGGAGGGACATGTTTAGTTGGTAACCATTAAAAAATAAATAAAAACTCCATATCTTATCTTAACAAGGAAAACAACACAATAGCATGCCCTCACGTACACGTTAGATAAAGCTAGTTGTACTAGTGCAGTATTTTGTCTCTTTGCATTCATCCCCCCTTAGAGACACGTACTGCCATCTTTTCAATCACACCATCTTCAAATGCTCCTTTCAAATTAATTTTCTCTCTCTCTCTCCCACTATATATATATATATATATATATCATAACAATCTCATAGTCTGTATAAAAGACAAAACAAAAACCTTTTTAGATGCTTTATCTTTTTGATAGCAAATAGGAACGCTACATTGCAATCGTTGGCAGCTGTACTAACCTAAAGTTGAAAATCTGTTATACAACAGTATCACATTTCATTTGGACACATGATTCATGCAACTACTATCCTTTATTATTAATTAGCAGCCCTCTATTTCAATAAGAAAAACAACTATCTGCCCTGTTTATCAACATCCACAATTTTTCAATTATCAAAAAGTAATAACAGTGGCATTTAATTTATTTATGATAACAATTAAGCTTATAAACCTTAAGAGTTGTTTTCCCACACCAATAGAAGACTTGAGTTTCTAAGGGAACAGGAACCCAAGTCTGGTGGATGAACCATGATCGCGTGGTTCTATGGTCCACGCGACCACCAGGGCTGGGGATGGTCACACGTCTGTCTGACATATAAAGTGTTTAAAAAAACAAAGAAAGGTTTCAAAACTGTCTGTCTTGTATGAAAATAAACATGTTTTAAGAAGTCAGTCTCGCGATGAAAACAAGGTTGCACATCTAAAAGAGCACTGCTCTGTGTATCCTGTATCCTGTTCTTACCTCCTTAACCCACAAAAATGAGAAAGAAGAACAAAAATAGCACCAAAATGAAATTCCCATTAAACAATGTTGTAAATCTAGAACAGCACTGCTTTGTATCCTTTCTAACCTCCTACACCGAAAAAAATGGAAAATTTAAAAATAAAGAATGCAGCAAAATCAGCTCCAAAATGTTTCTTTAGGTATGCATCTTGGAAACATAATCAATGTTGGTCGTGAGAGCTAGAGAGCAGATCAAGGAACAAGATGTTCATCTTCTTCCTTCACAGTGCACATCATACCATCAGCTTGCCACTTGGAGAAACCTTCCTCAAGAGCCTCTTGCATCCATGGATGCCGGCAACACTTGATAGCATCAGGTATTGTTAGCCAACTTCTTTGGCGAGTGCTCTGTTCTGGCCAAGACTTTAGCTCCTCCTTCACAAGCAAAGCAAACATGGCAGCTTTACACAAGCCTTCAGGACTGAACTCGTCTTGGAGTGTTTTGCTTTTGAATTTGTAGTACCCCAGAAAATGCTGAACACACAAAAGAGCACTTTAGAGGATTAAGGTTCAGATAATAACACTATATGAAACCGCTGGTCTTGCAAGTTCTATTTTTACTGGAAACCATTTATCATTCTAGTGACAATGAGATAATTGGAAAACAAAATAAAAAGGAAGTCAAGAGAAAGAAAAAAAAAAAAAAATGAATGAAAAAAAATCTTTATTCCTATTTCCATGGCCTAGGAATTGCCAATATCTGTGACTTCACATCTTACTGGTCATTTGGTAACAAGAATGGAATGAGAATTACGACCATTTTATACCAAAACGTCTACACAACAAAAACCCCAACAACTATAGGAGATAAAGAATATTCTAACCCATGTAAAAAATGGCTTCAAGTTTTTAAAAAATTTCTTTTGTATCCATTTAAAAGTTATCAAGCACTTCTAGGCATTTACTCTATTTTGCTTAGATTTCACTGTGGAATTATATTCATCAAACTATAGTTTGAGACATAAAACTTGAGAGAAATGTACTCTCATGAAAAAGATTGAATCTGTGAGGGTAACACCACGATGCAATATAAGAGATATGTACTCAAAACAGTGATGCAACAACTTCTTAAAAAAAATAAGACACAGATACTCAACACGGTAATGTAGAGGTGTATATATTTTAAATATATATTTATCTATGTACAAATTTAAAATAATAACTGAAAAATAATCCTGAATTCCAGATGCACCAAACCACTGCTACCAAACTAAAGAAATGGAAAGAACAAGAGTCTGGTATATTGAAATACCCAAAGTCCAAAGATAAATTGTAGGAAATATCGGATTTTGCAAGTGATAACATATGAAATATCTAAAAATCATAACAACATTAGCAATAGCCTTTAGAGGGATACGAGCATGGATCATTTTTTTATTTTATTTTTTTTTTCACACTCCGACAATTCCGGTATTTTGGGCTTGAAACTGTGTAACATGGATTTTTCAATAATACATGAAGTACACATGTTGGATACACGATACCTCTGACGTGGGTACAAGATGTGTCCAACACCTTTAGCTGAACATGCATGCAAAAAGTACATTAAGTAATTCAGTTCTATTACATTATTGATGCATATATTGAAAACTATGTGATGCAAAAACATTCCTTCACTCTTGAGAAAATAATGAATATATTATATGATATAAACATTTAGCAGTATACCTGTGTCCCATGAGATTTGACACATACAACACTTGCACACATACTCACACAAGGAACTTTGATCGGGTCCATGCATATGGGCAAGATAGTGTTGTGCGCGTGTGCACGCGTGTGCAAGATATGCCCAAGCACATACTTCTTAGAGGTAAAATGTATTATGAGGTGTTTTGTCCCCCTAAAGTGAGGCAAAAACTGTAAGGTGGTGAAGCTAATGCTTTTCGAGTTTTAAAGTTTTGAACAAACCCATAGATAAAATTATTTCATGATGTAAAAGAAAGCCAAGTTTTTAAAAGTAATAGCATTATGCAAACTGTTCTCTCCCCATAAGGTGAGGCAACAACCTCAGCATACTGATAAAATTGTCTCAATTTTATTATCAAAACAAGTAACTAAAATAATAACAGCAGAGTTTAAAAGGCAAAGAAATGATAAACAGAAATCAATTATTTTTTAACACATCAATTACATTTAGACTGATGTTCTATCACTAATATAATATTCGACATAAAAATAATAAAGCAGAGGTTCAAAATGAAACACTGCTCGTTCTGGAGGGCGACTCCCCTTTGCATTTGGTGGTGCCTCTGGAAAGAGCGCAATAGAAGATCCTTTGTTGGGGAGGAGTTATCCATTGGGGCTCTTAAGTATTCTATTATTTGTTCTCTTTTTTGTTGGGGTATGGGGAGAGATTGTTCCTCTGTTGAGGAGCTTTTGGTCTTTTTGGGATCTTTGGATCCTTAAGCTTTCTTTTTTTGTTCTTGGTTCTTGTACAGCTCTTGGGATGCGTTCCCATCTTGAACGCTTACTAATACATTTTACTTATCAAAAAAACAAAAAAAAATGAAACACTGCTCGAAATGACAAGTATAATCATTAAAAGTATGATTACTGTAAACAATAATATTATGTACAGATAGCATGAATACATGGATGAGTAAATAGTTATTTGACTCAATATAACCAATAACAAAAGCACAATTGTTTTGGTCACTGAATTTATTACAGTAAGAAATATATTATGACACATGAGCCGTACACCTAATCAATTAATGCATCAAAACGCTATTTCTCTACCTTGGGTCTCATAAGGCTATGCCTTATGAGCCACTTATACCTAATTTTGAAAGCCTTGAGGCATTTTAGGACAGCTTCACCATTTGCAAGCCTTAAGGTAGACCACAATAAAAGCCTTTCAAATAATGGAATATGATCAAATTGATAAATTATAGCACATCCTTTGTGTTAGAGAGTTATTTATAAGTTCTTTTGTAGAAAGGGTAGAGTAGTCTTTTCTTCTATTTTCTTGTTAGTAAGCGTATTAGGAATTCATTATAAATCTCTCTGTAATTATTTATGTATTATATTTTTGCAGCTTTATAACATTTACTTCTCAGCTTCCTTTTCTTTTTATCTCTTTTCTTTATTATTGATCAGAAATTAACACTTTGGACTTCTAAGAAAGCAAAAGTACTAATTATGACAATTTATCATAAAATTTTATGTACTTTTTCAGAATATTATAGCATGAAGAGGTAGAAAAAAAGGGGGGGGCCTTACCATTAAATCTCCTCGCACTCCAGCCTCTTCTAACGCTTCACGTGCTGCTGCCTGCTGAACAGTTTCATCATTTTCCCATCCACCCTATAATGAAGAAATCTCAGTCACAAATAAATTATGACTTTAGTATCTCTGATTCTATAATTTACTTGAGAAAAAAACAATTAAATAAATAAATAAAGATAAGAATGTCTCTCATACCACTGAGCCTCTAGCTTAAGTGGTATGTCCTCACCTTCGCTAATGAAAGGTTGAGTGCTCAAATCCCCGTGGGGCATAGTGGGTGTGTGCATTGAATTGGGTATGTGTGTTCTTACTTACCAAAAAGAAAGAAAGAAAAATGCATCTCAAAAATTAATGACAATAAGTTTTTTTCTGTCACCATTTCACTCCAAGCAATGCATATCAGAACAAACCAATTTTGTTAGAATTTAAAATTGAACAAAAAAAGAATTAATTATTAATTGCCGCAGTAATTGATATACACATTTATATATGTGTGTGTGACACTGTACAGTAACAGATGAAAGGTTATGGAGAGTTTTTAATCTAAAAGGAAACAGGTTATGCTGTTCATAACTCAATGTACTCGTCTTTCTTGTCATAATGGTGAATTGTACACTAGGAAATCCTTTGAAACTGCCTTAGTGTAAAAAGATCCACAATAAACAATTTAACTAAAATTGTGGGATTAAAACTTGAACTTTCTGGCATATTATTTGTTATCGAGAACGTCGCAGGTGAGATCGTGAGCAACTCAACTAGCATCAAGGGGAAAAAAGGATAAATGACATTGATCTTCTCTGAGCTATGCCTTAAAACACACGCGTGTTTATTACAGTAGCCTTCCTGTCAGAGTTTGTTGAAATAACAGTGTTAGACGATTCGTATGAATTGACTCTTTTGCCCTTCTCTTATTTTATTAACATAGGTATATATTTGAGGATCATTCCCTGGTTTAACAGGAAAATGCTTGAACATACCAAAAGTTAGGTCCTTAAAAATTCCCTCCCCAGAACTCTGTTGTAGCAGGACCAGAACTAGGTAATGCCCCATTTTTATTAAAAAGGCATTTTGTTTTCCCTCATTATTTTCTTTTCATACCCTTTTTCTCTCTCTGAAATTTACCAGTTCTCTCTCTAAAATTTCTCTCCTCTTTCTTTGTACTCTCTGCTCTCCACTACTACACCACCACTTCTCTTGACCTCTCCATAGACATCTATTTCATAATTGTCATGCAATGAATACTTAAATCTATATGTTTCATCTCATAAGTTCACAACTACAATTATATATTATGCAATGAAAAATGATTGCTCAATAAGAATCTCTACTAAAATTTCTCGGGGAATCAATCTACTTTTGTTGATGAATGTAGAAATGTGGATTTTAGCAGTTGTAAAATGGATTTATTGATCAGGAAAATCACTGCAAATTGATGATTTAGAATACATATAAATATGCATATAAACACACTCACAAATAGATAGATTCAAGGACTTCTTCAACGTGATCTTCTTTTAGACATAAAAAATAAACACACATCATCACCATTCTTGAAACTATCGTAAGCAGTAGTACCACATTGGACCCAACCCCAACCTGCCACACAACCAGGGGCAGAGCCAGGATGGGCCATGGCCCCCCAAAAACTTTTCAAAATTTTTATAATACCCCACAAAAATAGTTAATTCACAAAAAACTTAACTTTTTGTACTAATATATTGGCCCCAAAATAGAGATTTTAAAAATAAATTTAACTTGTATCCTTTCAAACTTCTAAAAAGAAAAAAATAACTTAGGACCATTTGAACCATACTCTTGAAAGCCCAAATCTTGTAAAACAAAATTTTCAGTTCATTCTTGTTGCAGTCTTTATCTAAAAATATACACTAATACTTTTAATTGTTACTTGCTAAATTACAAATTGTGTGACTACTTCTTGTATAAGTTACTAAAATAATATAATAAAAAAATTGTTAAAACTTCCGAAATTTTATTTAGTTAAAAGTATTTTGTTTCTTAATCTTTCATCAACTGCTATATTTCCCTACTCAAAACGTTTTTCCAAAAAGGGAAAACAATTGTTGGAGAAAAATTGAAACAATTGCTGAAGAAAAATTGATTTAGGTTGCATTTTTTTTTTTTTTAATTTTTGGATTTTCTCAAGGTATATATACTATGACTAGATATTATAAACAAAATTATATTACAACTGATTTAAAAATAACAATAAAAATCAAATTAAATTACATAATGCACATTCGGTCCCCCGAATTATAAATCCTAACTCCGCCCCTACACACCACTTCCCTCATCGTCGTCGTCATCATGTCTCATCCATCAACTCTACCCCAGCAAAGAGAGTCATAATTTGTGTAACATCTTCGGATTCGAGAAAAGGCTTTTCTGTTATCTCACAAATTATAGGCATTTCACACGCCCCACATTTGCCCTTTACTAATACAATAGGAGGTAAGGCAAAAGCAGCTTAAGCCCTCCCGAGAAAGACTCGATGAACCGCCTATAATTTGTCGTCAACCACCCGTCAACCATCATCAGCCATTATCACACCATCTTGTCGTTAACACACCAACACTGTTCAGTCGAGCCCACATGTCATTGTCGACAAGCCATCCTCATTACCTCACCAACATCACATTCCTCAGTGTCATTGTCGATCATCATCATGAAGAGAAAACTAGGGTTTTCCACTGAATTCAGGGATGGAGTGAAACAGCAGGTGCAACCTTACCTTTTTTTCACCTTGATCAGAACCCTAAAAATAGCCGACCCAGATTTATCTCAGACCCACTCATATCTAATCCAGATTTTCCCTAACTCTATACTAGACCTAGATTTGGCTCATACAACCCAATCCACAACTCTAATCGAGCCCAACTAAATCAGACAATGAGCATACAAAACCGACCCAGTCAATCAAACCGACCAGTGAACTGAACCAACTATACTGAGAGAGAGAGAGAGAGTTACAAAAGTTTCATCTAGTTCTAGTTCAGTCTATGGAGCCACATCAGAGCATTCTTTTCACTTAGACAACCACATTGGACACCGTAAAATATGCATACTCCCATAAATTCATGATCAATATTTTGTTTGTTTCGCAAGTCTCTAACAATTGCAAAATGTCCTTAACTCAACCCTAACATATCACTTGCTCAGTTGTTGGTCCCATTGCACAACTATATCCTCGTTTTGTCATCACCACCGCTAACTAGTTTTGATCCCTGTTAGAGATGTAAAGACAATCTAAGCTCAGCAACTAAACAACACCACAGAAATCCTCTAATTATAACGTGTTGTCCACCAAAATCATTTCTTCGCATTACATCTCATTATAATTGATAATAGCTTAAAATTGCATTATTATCATAGTATTATTAATAGGCATTATTGCATTTATTTTGCATTTATTCCCATTTTTTACACAAAAATAGAATAAACTCATTTTCTCTGTTGTTGCATAATTTCACGATTATAATGGCTTGTTAATGCATAAAAATATGTGTTTTATTGTCTATCATATACAAGTTTAATATCAAGACTCATAGTGCATTATTTCTCTTGTAGGTCAATCAAAGTAATGACGTAATGAAGAGCTCCGATCAATGGGCAGTTAAGATTCAATCAAAGTACTATAGAGCTTTGATCGATCGACCCCATGAACAACTTAGATCGTGAAGACCAGTAGCCTTTGATTGATGCAATGAATATCTCCAATCAATCGAAGATACCATTACCTATAGATCGATGGAAATAAACTTGAAAGGAAAGTTCTGAAGTTGTCTTAGTATTTTGGTCATAACTTTTGACTCAGATATTGGAATAACGCAAACTCGGTGGCTCTGGAGAGAAGACTTCATGAAAAACACATGTACTATGTCAAAACGGGGCTGCAAGTCGACTCAAATTTGGAAAGTAGAATTTTGCAGATTTCCTATTTTACAATTTCCTATTTACTTCATCTAGAAGAAAACCCTACATCATATATATATAAGAGAGAGACGCCGTGCAGAGATTATAATCTCTCATCTATTATTTTTATTTTCTTTTTATGAGTTACTAAACTTTTGGCTAAGGCTAGGAGTGAAGCTACAACAATTTCTATGGTGTTGTGCTAAACGATTACCTTGGTTTCACTGTAAGTTTTCATATTTTTGAATTGATTCTATTATTTTGGAAAAAGTGTTTGTTCTATGTAATTCTTTGATCTATCGTTGACTCCGGGCACGGTGAATGCTTAGGATTCCTGCGAATTAAAATACAGTTTTGTCAAGTTAAAGAATCAATCAATTTTATGAATTCATCTTGTGGAAATGTTTTTGATAAAATAACTTTCAATATCATCCGGTTGGGATCACCCTTCATATGAATCAAATTGAGCTAGAGAATAAAATCGTTAGCAAATACCATGGATTTGTTGTGTGTGGATCATTGAAACCTTAGTGCTTCCAAAATATTATTTTTACTCCAATCAATTCTTTACTACCAACCCTACAAATATTCAAAACCTTTTAAATATTTTTATTTTGTTTCACCATAAATTGTTTTCCCTTTTCCCTGCGATTCAACCTCGGACTCACCAAGTATATATTACTTCCCGGCATCCTGCACTTGGGAGCATTATTAAGGTCGCAGCAATAATCAAATGGATTTTTCTCTTTACATACATACAGCATATTTGAACTTATAGGAGCATACATTATATTATAGGAGACCAAAAGCTAACTGGAACTGAAATACGTCTAAAACCTTCCTTAGCATAACCTAGCCTCCAAACCTGAATCTAGCACCAATAATAAAGTATTAAATATATTGCCTGTCCTCTATCCTTTCCGAAGGACCAACTTCAAATTTTTCAAAATTTAGATGAACATTGCAATTACCTTTTTTTTTTTTCTTTTTCCTCCTTTTATTTTTTTTTATTTTTTTTTTTTGGGGGGGATGGGGGTGTTTGGTTGTGGGTGGGGTAGGACCGTGGGATGAGGATTGTATCTTAATGACATGGAGAAGTACTTCTAGAGTACAATGCACTTTGTTAATTTCAATCAAGATTATTTTTTAAAAAAATGACATTAAATAACAAAGCAACATATGCTTCATGCAAAAGAATAAAACACAAGCAATAGTGACATATTTGTGCATTAAGTATAGACAATTCAAAGTTGTTAATATTATTAGATTGTAAAAAGAAAAGGAAAAAAATCTAATAATCATTTCCATGAGAAGACATAATAAGATGATAACCATCATAGAGATTAAAGAATCAGCAAAAGTCTACATATTACATGTTTCAGTAAGAAATATAATTTGGTGTAAGAACCCTATAATCATAGAAGCAGTGATGAAGACAGCAAAATAACATAAATATAAACAGAACCCAAAATTACAATATTCGCAAATACCTTTGGAAACAGAAGACCTGGTCCACTAGTTGAGTTGATCATTAGTACCTCAACAATATTGCCTGATGTGGCACCACTATTTTCTTCAGAAATTCTATACTTGAAAGGAATACACCTGTCAATGATTGTGAGAGTGAGAACATAATGGTAGTACACTAATACTTGACATATCTGTATTTGTGGATTACTATCAATCAGCTCCAATCTATAATAGTTGAGAATACTGTCAATCAGCTCCAATCTATAATCTCTCTTAAAAAACAGCCTATATTTTCATGATTATAGAATTTCCCAATGGAAAAAAAAATTATCCAAAAATCAAAATCTCGGATTAAAATTTAAAAGGGGTTACAAAATATAGTAATGAAAATTAACGAGTGGCTTACAAGTACATCAGCTTAGATTCACTTTTGGCCATAAAATATGGCATTTGCACAAAAATTTCTTCAAAGACTTCGAAGATAAACACTTTTCATCCATTGCATACAGTAAGAAGAAAAGATGCCAGAAAATATGGGCATTTGCCCAAAAATTTCTTCAAATACTTCGAAGATAAACACCATTTCCTCCATTTCTATTTTTCAGATAAGAATATATAATCCAGTAAAGGTGCCAAAAGGGACACAACCATGCAACTTGGACTTGCACATATAAAACAAACCACAATAGATAGATTATACTTGGGTGTTCAAAATTCTCTCCACGAACTAAAGGCCATTACTAGAGTTGTTCCTGATTTAAAAATAAAAAATAAAATAAAAAAGAAGAAAAAAGAAAGAAAGAAAGAAAGGGAGAAAAAAACTTTTGAGAGGAGCAGAAGAGATTAAGACATAACATTCATCATTATTTGCACAAAATGGTTTTTGTCAAACTCGAAAACGTTTTTACATTTGCAGTCTGAGCTTTTAGAAATGCACCAAAGCAATGTCCCTAATTCCTCCATTTAACGATAGTAAATGTCCATCCCCAAATCTCTTGGTCAAAGCATATGGCAACTCAAATTACGAAAAATAAGGGAAGAAAATAAAGAATCTAAAGTAGGCTTTAATCCCTCCTCCCGATCCCTGAATTATGAGTAAACTAAAACTCATACTTCAGCTTAGTTATCGAAAACACTGCCCTTTAAGATGGAGCATTCTTTACAAATGTACCGAGTGATGTGGAGGGAATTTCCATCCGAAACCAGCTGCAGACACTTGCTGACATAACCACCAATTCCGTAATGTTTGCATATTAGATGAAGAAACCATACTTGGTGAGATGGTAGAAGCTCGGACTATCACAATTTTAAGTATGAGGACAATCACTTGGTGCAAATAAATCAAGCAATTAGGCCTATAATAAATAAACCTCCCATCACTATGAATCCAAAGGGACAACACTTGTTAATGTCTTCTCCATTTTTCTTTTATCTTGGTGACAACAAAATCATGTTGACCTAACTAATGAGAGTGACATGTAAAACGTAGATGACCCATCAATTTATCACAATTTACACAACTGTGCTTCCTATATTACTTGCATCATCAAACTCTAGCGAGTAATACAGACTACAGCAGCGCGGAGTGCCAGATTAGAGCTCCAAGTAATTTAAATATCAACAACTCTTGGAGGAATTAGGACCAAATATAAACCACTCAAACAAGATCGAGAACTAAACAAATATCCAGAACCAGCTCTGCTAAGAAACCACTCAAACAAGATCCAAAACTAGCCCAAACAGAAATCATCAAATCAATGGAGTTCGATATTCATTTTCTTAATTTTCAACCATACAAACAAGAATTTCATAAATAAATAATAAAAAAAAACACTTAAGCATTAAGCAAACAACAATGGGAACAAAAATCTGGTCCATTACAACTCATTCCTAAGTTGCTCATAAATATGGAAACATGGGCCAAAAATCAAGTTTAGATAACTAGCTTGCAGTTAGATTGCATACAGCACAAACCAGTCTAATTTTTCTCTGTTTTCCCCTTTCATAAACAAAACATATTCTTTTTTTCCAAAATCTAAAAATCGTTTTCCTTGAAAGTGCAGGAGAACAACTCTTCCAGAACACAAGCAACAGCAGACAAATGAGACATCAGATCAGGACAACAATATACATATACTTCATTCAAATAATCTATCCAAATGATGACATACAAAGAGAAATGGCATATCTCTGTCATTGACAGATGAAGCAAACTATTTTTAACTGTTATAGAATGACTAGGTGTATCTCTGGCCTCCCAAACACTAAATTCCGTAGGTAACTTTCAAGTCCTCGCAGCAAATTATAATCAAATAAGAACACCCCTCTTCATTTATAAAGATAATAAATGTATGGATTTGGTGGACAAATCAACCTAAGCCAAATTTGTAAAGGATCATCCAAAAAGGCCAATTGTGGACATAACTACAATTCAAAAGATGGATTTGGTGGACAAATGTAATGCCTGAAAATGGCCCATTCAAGAAATCAGAAACAAAATTCCTAACATAAAACAACAGCATTTGCACAAAAATTTAAGGGGAAGAAAAAACAAGATTGAGAGGGTTATATGTGTGTGTGTATGTGTATATATACACAGAGAGAGAGAGAGAGAGAGAGAGATCACCCGGCAACCAAACGGCAACCATCCTCATAACGCTGCTGATGACGACCAGTGCGGGCCACCAATTCAGACATTTTCCTTATATATCACAACCACTCCCTTTCAATTAGTATATGACTTTCAACTTGAATTGACCTTATCATACTGTTTCTTGATTTTAAAAACCACACCACAATTTCTTTCTTTCTTCTTCCTCCTTCTTTCCTTCTTTCTTTACAACCGAAGCGAAGAAGATTGTCTCTCTCTCTCTCTCTCAAGAATGTTTCATCACACTCACCGCCATCGATCGGTAGGTCCAACCTGTTCTGTTGTGTTGTTGGGAGTTGGGTTTGTTTTGCGGTTTTAGAGAGAGAACGGGAGGGAGGTGCTCGTGCTTCGCTTTAGTTGAGTGAGGCTAGCGCATGGATCGGAGCATTTTCACACAACCGTAGAGCCCATTTGGCAGGGCCTTGCGCAACTCTGTTGAACAAAAACATCTTTTATTTTGACTCCATTTGTTTCCGGTAAAATATTTTTTAATTTTTATGAAAGTTAATGTATAAATTATTTTTGTTATGTTTAACAACCAAATATTAAAAAATATGTAAAAAAGTTTGACAATCAAATATAAAAATATATATATAAATTATTTTACATCAAAACAAACAGGCACCGGTTTCCTTTGAGAACCCCCCCTCCTTTTTTATTTGAAGACCTATGAGGACAAGAATGTAGTAATTTTCATTTTATATCCTTTAAATTCCTGGTTAAAACGCAAACACTGAATATCTGCAATCCCCCAATTGCCAGAACGTTATAGAGCTTAGATGTTTATACAATATATTATAATATTATTGAATTTGTTTTTTCGGCTTATATAAACTCATCATAATAAGCCTTTGTAAGCATATCCCATTTCATTAACTGGTTGGATGAGTTGCATATCGCATGGCATGGATAAAATAAATTCATGTTTTACCTTTTTATATCTTTTACTGTCTTCATCATCTCAAAAATGAACATATAAATAGATACAGCCATACATTTCAATGTCTCAAAATTGATCCCAAGGCGATTTAACAAAAACCTGGCATTCTTATATATGAATTATCAAAGACGAACAGAAGCAGGCAAGCCAAATTGAAGTTGTATCATTCACACAAGCTTTAGCAACACGAGAGAAACTATTTTAAGTCCCCCAAAAGCATAGCACGTAACTAACACTGGACTTAAAAAAAAAACAGTAATCATCAAAGCTGAAATACCCAAATTTGTCTGTACTCAGCATATTTGTTTGCGATCTAACATTCACATTTCCAACAAAGACTTTTTCCCACTATTTTCCCAAGTCAAATTTCCTGGAACTTCTAGGCAGCTCAAAGGAACTGCCAACATATCTACCATAATAATTCGCCTCCCAGAAACTGAGGATCATGGCAAGTATGGGAACAACTACTAATAATCCCTTATAACAAATTATCTTTTATCAGTCAAGTAGGAATAGTTCGTCGTATCATCCACCTGATATGTTTACCCACCACCATGGCACCATCTGAAGATATCTCCGCACACGGAATATGCCCAAACCATCCAACCAGCTAAGCGATTCACCAGACAATCTCACTTTCCCGCAACTATGACTTCATGATATCCATTCATCCGGTCTGGAAAGCTCTGCACAAGCTGTATAAATAAAACGAAAACACCATAATAATATTGTTCTAGCAATTACCAACTGTAAATCCTCCTTTATGTACCCAGAGATTAGCGACGAACATAACTTTTGTTATCATATTGCAAAGAGAGTCGCTGTTCTGGGATTTAAACCAGCACCCTCAAACTTGTCAATTCGAGATTTTAATACCATTGCACCAAGCAATGATCCCTATTGACACAATAATATGTCTTGAGAAAACCAAGAAAATGATAAATTTAAGATAGCATTGACATTAAAGTGCAAGTGCCAGAAACCAGCTCAAAAGAATCCAAGTGCCCAATGGCCAACAGCACAATAAATAATGGTAAAGTGCCACAAAAAATAAAAAAAATAAAAAAAAAAAAACCCTGCTATATTTTAAAATATGTAAAAAAACACCCCTACTATTTAGCATGTGCATATAAATTCTATACATTTGAAAATATGTGCAAATTGTCCACTAATATCTGTTTGACCGTTAATTTTGACCATTTTTTTTATATCAAAATACGCTTAATATACCCTTAGAAACTGCAATCAGTGTTTTTTATTTTTATATTATCTTAAGGACATTTTAGGTATTTCATTCTTCAAATTGATAAAATGTCCTTCAATTTCAGGTAACACAAACAAAAATAAAGACTAACAAGGAGAGAGAGAGAGAGAGACCTGTTCAACAGCAGGTGTCTGCGACACTCCAAGACAATCCATGCTCGAACAAAAACACAATAACATTGGCCACACTGCTACGTTGACAGCTGAAGTGGTAGCATAAGGCCACTAGACGTTCAACATGGTAGCTTGTTCAAACCTTAGTAAACAAGATGGATCACCAAAATAAATCAGTATAGAAAATTATAGGTGAAGTCTCTTGAGAAAAATCCTTTTCATGAAAGTTGCAGGATATCATCAGTTGACAACTCAAAAGCAAAGAAATGGATTCATCAGTAATAAAATCAGAAGAGCCTGAACAGACCATCTTACCTTCTACGCTCCCATAATCACTCACACAACAAAATGACCTGCCCAGATAGACTGTCCTTGATAATGCTTCGGGAATGCAACAGACTGTTGATTTCCTTTCTGAAGTTGCTGCTGCTGGTCCTGGTACAGTCTCAAATGTTCAGGAAACTGATTGTCCTGCCAGCCTTTTTCGTTTTCCACTTGGACTTGCAATGTCGAGACTTGCTTTCCAGGGAAAGGAAAGCCTGCCGTCCCCAAAGAACTACTGCTCTTGCTCGAAAGGTGGTCTCCGTGTGCTGAGTAATTAGTAGAATTGTTGAACCTAATGCCTTGTGTTGATGATGGCAACCGATATCCATCTAGCCATATATAATCATCCATTGGTCGATTTTCATTCTTCAAGCTCATATCAGGCAATGACTCATCCACAAGTTTGAGAGCAAGAGGACTAAATCCAGGTGGGGGACCGCAGTGCCTAAGAGGTCGGTTCACTGGATTCTTTCTCAAACCTGCTGCCATGACTTCTGACGACTTTATGGACAAGCTATCAACACCAGCTCCAGAAGACATAATAGAATCAAAATTAGGTCGTACAACAGTTTCTGGGACCTGAACAAGATATTTATTGCCAGCACCAAGATTGACAGACTGCGGGAAGGGAACTGAAAAAGCTGAAGACTGCAAAACTCCTACATGATCTTGCAACTCAGGTTTCACAGGAAGCCCACTGTCCAATAAGCTCAAATTGCTCAATCCATTCGCAGCAAAAGTTTGTTGTTCTACCAGCCACCTAGAAGTACTTGGCTGTATTGGTTGCATATGCTGCACAGGAATGTTAGCAAGGGATGTGGGTGACCTTGAACTTGTATTTAATGCATTTTGAAAAGCAAAACCATCATGTGATTCTGAAACAGATCCAACATGACTTCTCCAATCAACCTTGGAGGCATTAACACCGGACCCAAGAACCTTATAAGAAGTCAGTTCTGAAGCAATCCTATCGACATGTGTTTCAGACACAGATGGCTTGAAGACAATCATCTCATCCTCTTCTTCTCCTTCCATGTATAATTGTGCCTTTGACTGCAAGACTCCCAACCTTTTTTGACATTCAAGAAGATTTTCTTGACCGATACCATTTAATACAGGACTTTCCAGAGAACTAGAGAGTGAATAATCATCAGGCATTTGAGGCTCGATGCCAATAACAAATTTCTTCGCCTTTGGATCAAAATAGATCCCCTGTTGCCCAAGACAAACTACATTAGCAAGAGCCTTTCCAGCTGCAATAATCCTCTGAACACGGGCTTTCTTCTCCTTATTGCCACCATCACTTCCAAAAGAATTTTTCCTCGAAAAATCAAGGATGATTTGTGCAGGAAGAAGAGGCAGGAATCCTCTCAATTCGAAGTCCTCTGACAATGCAAGCCGATTGGTGGTTTCATCTTCATCATACCTGCTCATATTGAAAAAACATGTCTCATCTTTGTCCTCATTAACAGACAAGAACTCGCTTGCCAAGAGCTTGTTCAAAAAAGAAATGCAATGGGTCCAAAAAGATGATCTAGAACTAGCTTGTTTCTCCTCCACATCACAGCCAACTGCAATATCTGGACAACAGGCTAACCACTCCACAAAAACCATAACCCCAGGCAATAAACGGCTTGTTGAAGGATCATTCAACTGGATGCACCTCTCAAAAATATGCCCCATGAACACGAAAATAGCAGTAAATGCTTTCTGAAGCAAAACTGAACGCTGTAAAATTTCAGCATATGACTGATTTTCAGTTTCCTTATTCACATTGTGAACAGTGTAAATGAGAATGGCTATAAGCCTAATAATCACAAGTCTAGACTCAGCAGCGTCTGAACCAAAATTGTACTCCTCATCTGGACCAGAAGAAAGAAGCTCAAGCAAATCACTTATAGCCATAGAGAAAACTTCGTCAAATGTCTCCAAGCTGGCAAAAGAAAGTTATAGAGAAGTGTTACTTCATAATTTTTTTGTGCCGTCCTAAGAAGAAGGAACACTAATAAGGGGTCATGTCCTTAAAGGACGCATATTGGACAGCAACACATAGGACATTCCTGGACATGTGTCTGAGACAAGTTGTAAGTTTGCATAACTTAATAATAAAATTCTTAATTTTAAGCATATGGCAGAAAATTCTAAAACATGTGCTAACATGTGATCAATGAGCCCAGCAAGTTGGACAAGTCTTTCTTCTATAAACTTTGTGCATATTCAAGTAATAAAAGATAAAAACCTTGAGTGGGCATGGAAATAGGACAGGAGTCATCAAATTATTCTTACACATAAATTTACATATCTACACATGCATACAGTTTTATATACTGTCCTTGTCATGTCTCCAAGCAAAAGACACAGGTTCGCATATGAAAGCAGCCACTTTGTGCAAGTAATTCTACACACTAGGTTTGTACCCAGTCTACGGTGTCTACATCTCCCAGAAACATTCACCCAAAGAAAGTTACTTCTATATGATATATATTATATGTAATATAAAAATATAAATTGCCATATCTTCATTGTATGCGCAACCTACTCTTTAAGGATTTGTCATATTCACATGTATACACTAACCAAATTCAATAACATAAAGACATACCTTGTGCGAGTAAAAAGAATGCCATTTAGGCGTACAAATCGAATGCTGAAGGCTTTAAAAGTTTCAGGTAAACTGGATTCTCTTTCCTTGAAAATACTTGCTTCAACTCTACTATCATTTAATGGGGGCCTTGTTTCACATTTTCCTCTTCCTTTCCCAGTCATCCGCACAGGTGCCATCTTGACAGAAGAAGCTTTGGCATCTCCAAGCAGCTGAGCATAACTCTGACGGTTCTGTGAAAAAAATAATATTGGTGTAATGTAAAAAAAATTCCTTCAAAATCTTATATAAAGAGATTAACAGAAGACAAGGTTTATTGCATCGGAACCAGACAAAGATCCAAAGTTTTCTAAAGTAACAACAGTATGAACATAGTTTATCCAAGTAGAACAGTGCCAACAAATAATGATGCGTGATAACCTATGAACCAAACTTTTTAACTATCTCATTGTTTTATTTAATACTATAAAAGAGTCACAATATAAGCTTCAGGGGACCTTACAATTGATGATGCAAATTTTGCTTGCACGCGCAACAAAAAGAAAGGAAAAACAAAATACAATGAACACTACTACAATCTCACCAATTACCTTTTCAAATGCAATTATTAAGTTGTCCCTTGCAGTGGTAAAAGGGTTATCAACAGCCAGACTTCGAAAATATTGGTAAACTGCCACCAGTTCATCCCCCGAATAGGAAGCGAGTATGGCTAACTGAGAACATACAAAGGATGACTAACATAAATTATCACAGAAAGATAATCAAATCTGATACAAACTCATGGGGTGTGCATGTGTGTGTGTTTTTCGGATTGGGGGGGGGGGGGGGGGGTGGGGGAGAGAGAAATAAGCTATATGAGACTTTGAAAAAGAAAATTGATCAAAAGAAAACACCTGATGATGAGGGTTGCCACTTGAAGGCCAAAGTGAAGAAGCTTGCATATAGTAACTTGATGCTGCTTTGAAATCTTGAGCTTTTGAGTCACCCTCCCCATATAACCCCTTATAACGAGCAAGGTCCCCTAAATAAATCAAACAACGGTGGCAGGATATCAAACCTTTCTTCACCTCAGCAGATCTATTTTTATATTTAGACAAAACAATCTGATTCCCTGCATCATTTGAGAAATAACCCAGTGGTAGATCATACTTGGCTCCAATTTTCACCATCAAATCATGATAAAATCCAGCTGCTTCTGAAAGAAAGGTCTTAAACTGGGAACGGATTTTTGTGACTCGACCAGATCCAGGTCGTGTGGAACCCTTCCCATTATGAGATGTGATCGATCCCGTTGATGCTAGAGCGGCATTTAAATGTGCACGTAGCTCCTCAATCCGCCTGTAATGCAACTGCCATAAGGCATACTCTATTTCATGTTGTTCTGAGAAAGCATGATCTTCAAGGACTATAGCTTCGTAGTTCTCCCGCATCTGTTGCCATGCATTGGGATCTGAGGGAACTCTGGCTTGTGCTGCTTTCCGACGCCTATTCTCCAACTCAACATTCTGAAGGAGAGAAGGAAAGGGGGGAATGGCTAACTATGAGTAATATAATTAATTACAACAAAAATGATGATAATAATCACACTTGTGACTTGTCACATTACTATAATGAAACATCAGGTGTAAGGAGGAGATTCATAGGTACATATAAGGAGACAGTTACTGTTCTGAAATAAATATAGATATATATTGTATATAACATAACAAAGTGTTATAATTTGGTAATGGGCCCTCAATTGTTCCTTAAATTTTGATTTTCTTTAAAGAGTCTCAAAAGCCCAAATTAAAACTTCATATGGGCTTTCGGTTGGAGGGACCAAATGCTAAGATTTTCCAAACTCACTATTAAGAGGGACCATACATAGGGGGCTTGGATATTATTTTCCTGTGGGGGAACAAGGGGGTCTCAACGATTGTCACCCCTGCCTTTTTTTTTCATCTGTGTTTGGCCAAAATAGTTAACATGCAGGTCGCTATTACCCACTTTTGTGTGAAAGATGGGTAGATTGTTATACCCACTTGCAAGAACAATAGTAAGTATAGTTCTCAATATCCAATCATGTAAAAAATATTTTACTTATAAAAAAATATATATTAAAAAAATTGGAGGCATACCTTGTTGTAAAGTCGGAGCACGTGCTCCCTGGATGAAATATCCGCGGCGTTATCCATCAGAATGGTCATTATCCATCAAAAAGTGTGAGAAAATTCAACTCCAAAACATGCAACTTGAACAGCAAAATATGATATTTAGTCTGCAGAGAGACTGCCTGCCATAAAACCTCATCAGACACAAAAAATCAAAAATGAAGCCAAAGATACACAAACGCAAGTGCAAACATGAACACACAAAAGGATTAATAAGGTTTGAACCTGAAAAGTAATATTGCTAAATGGCGTATGTCAAAAAGGGACCTCAAATAATGAAAATATTTAGGTGGACACCAGTGACCATTTGCATTTTTTAGTCCCTAATGCTAACAATCCCGAAAAATCCTTATATTTCTTTCCCTCGTGAAAAGAGAAGTTAATAGAGGAAGCATAAAAAACTAATGTGGCAGTTAAGTTACCCCCTCATTGTTTCAACCTGCTAATGTAAAGAGGAGATCTGAAGCATACTCTGAAAAAGCTGTGCAAATAGAAAGCTTTATGTAGAATTAATGCATATTAACTTCTTTAGTTATTCCATTTATCAGATTCAAGTCTACGCAGACTATCAGCTTTTAATAACTTCTCGTGGATTAGGTGCCCAAATGAATTAGATCAATACAGTCATTATTAGGTATCTTAAAGCCCAGGTGAACTGGACAGAAACAATATCATTCAGTCCATTTTATTTTTATTTTTTTCAAAAAGGGAGGAAAAGCCCAGCAGTACAAAAGGTATCAACCATTGGAAGGAGATAGAAACAGTAAGTTGAAAAACAATAACGTGGAGACATCTTTATTCTATAAATTATACAAAAAAAAGTAAACTTTTTGTGATCTTGTGCGTAGAAAGTGATGCTTTATGTAACTGAATTGTTGAAGCTTAGAGTCAATTGTTATGGGTTCAGGGTTCATATAGTTTATACTTCACACGTTCTTAGTTCAATATTGACCAGAACACGAGCAAATATAAAAAAGGAAGAGTTGCTTCTATTAAAAAGGATGGGGAATAAATGCACCACTTCCTAGTTCCAACATGAAAAGTTCCAAAGACTAAAACTAAGATTCAAGGGCAGTGTATATGTTAGTGGGAAATTTTGTAAAAGACAATTTAGAAATAAACTCATATTACAACTACTTTTTCACCTTTATCCTCTGGCCCCTGTGTCACAATGACCATTAATTCATTCATTCCCGAGACGGACAAAGATTATGTGTTTAACACATATTTGAGAGAATACATCAAGAAGTGGCTTCCATCATGCAAAGGCTTCCTTTGCGACATACACCAACAACTTTTAAATGTATTGATAGAATTTAGAGCTGATTCAGATAAACCATTGACCTCTCAACTTCTATCCATTTCAATACAGACTTTTGCTTTAAACCAATATCTCCTACGAGTGTGATATCATTCATTTAGTGCATCAAGAACTTCATCGCTATGGCCTATCAATATCCTTGCACAAACTTTTTCATTTTGAATTTTTTTTTTTTTTTTTGTCATATTGAAAAAATAATAAGAATGAGAGGTGTTAAGCTTTTTATCATCCTGGTGTCGAGCTATTTTTCCGCAGGACCTCCCCTACAGTATCATCACCGCAGTAGAGTTTAACCACAAAGTTCGGGATGGACTGGTGTGGTTCCTCTACGCCTAGGACACCATAATATCGAACTATGAATGAAGAAAGGCATGACAGAAAAGAATATTGGCTAGTGATTGTGAGGCCCCAATTCTTGACTGGAGGGGACACCAAAGGCCTCTGCCCTTCCATCCCTTGGATAGATAGAGGATTTTGAACATAAAGTGAATAGAAGGGAACAAACATTGTACAAAAAAGGGAACCCTGATCTCTCAGTTCAGCAAACAGGCAAACCCCTTTCATATTGTGTCAACCGAAACAACCCCAACTAAGTCTAAGGATCAGTGTGGGCATCACTAAATTGCTTATAATTAAAAAAAAAAAATCCCAGCATATTTCAGCTTTTTAACACCATACTAAAATGTTGCGCATGTGTATGGATGTAGAGACAAAGATAAGGACCACGACCTCCTGTTTTCAAACTATCACCACCCAATTAAGAACAACCAAAATCAGTCGAATTCAGGACTCCTGCATTACTATAATTGATACAGTACTGGCAAGGCAACTGAGAGCCGCAATTAGAATGAAGCAAAATATATCTGGAACTTGAGCCTCCTGAGTTTTTCTTCAAACTAAGACTAAGTTCTCGGTGTCCGTTTGTCCCTCTCTACAATATCCCTCTCAAGTTATTATGATTATAAACATGAATGCGAGGTTTTGTGCTTTTGAACTCCAATTCAACCAACACGTTTGTCCTCTCTCTCTCTCTCTAAACCCATCCTCCTCTCTCTATCGCGCGCACTAAAATTTCCATATTAAAAAGAAGGCAAAAGCAGCATCATAAATTGATCGATCAATCAAACTATTAGAATCCCAAAATTATACAACCCATAACGAATACATCGACCGATTAATCAACAACCCAGATATCGATTTTCGAACGAATCACGCCAAAGGTTATAAATATATATATGTATGTATATATATATATATATATATGAAAGTTGTATCCAAAATGTTACCTTCTCAAACCGGATCTGTTGGTCGTGTGGAGGAAAGAATCACCCGAATGTTAGACGAATTGCTCCTTTGATGCTGTGACAAAAAAGAACCCGAAAGAAATCGATTGGAGAAGTCTACGGTTTGGCAATCAAAACATGAATACCACCTCAGGCTTATTGGGATTTAACTTGGTTTGGTCCAAGAGGTCTACGCCCCCAAGGTTTTCTTATCTACGTTTAATTAAATCCAACTTTCTACGACTAATTTCATACTTAAAATATTTAATTTATTCATTTATTTATTTGTTATTATTATTATTATTACACCTCTCTAGTTGAATGGTTGGGCTTTTTACTTTTTTCTTTTATAACAGGCAATAATGTCATACTACATTTGGTACTGGGAACGGAATGCAATCAAAGTAAATGGAATAATCATTCCCATTTTATTATTTGGTTGTAAATATAAAATGTATGTAATAATCATTCTCATTTTATTATTTGGTTGTAAATATAAAATGTGTAAGAATAAAATCAAGGTCAATCTTGATATTGAAAAAATCTCGATAGGCCCTAAGCGGATTTTAAATGTGAGGCCCTCTATACATAAGTGATATGCTTGTCCTAATTTTTTTTTTTTAGACCCTTTTTTACTGCATTTGGTTAGATTTTTTTTTTTGGGTAGCCCATCATTCCTGATCCCCTTTGCTTCTGTTATAATTTTTTTTTTGTGTGGCCCAACATTCATGGACTTATAAATTTTGATTTGCTGCATCTGGTAGTAAATTTTTTTTTTTTGAGGCCCATCATACATGGGCCTATAAATTTGGAGGCCCCTTATATTCTGAGGCCTTGGGCGACCGCCTTGGTCGCCTTGGGCTAGGGCCAGCCCTAAACATAATTATAATAATCATTTTTAATGTTTGATTTGACCAATTTAAAATAAAAAATGAAATGAATTTAAATTGAATTTTTCAAAATATCCCTGTAAGTGACAAATAAATTAAATTAACAAAATAACATTCTTTTATAATTTTTTAAAAATATATTGTGGTACTATTGGATGGTGGTGAAGGTGGAAAACGATGGTGGAATGCCGTAGTGGTAATGACGGTAAATGGTGGTGACCATAGTTGTTAAAGGCGCCTCCAGGCGCCAGGTTAGCGCCTTGAGTGTACTCAAGGCGGTTGGGTTATATAAGGCGTGCGCCTTTAGGATCAAGGTGCCAGGCTACAGGCGCTAGAAAGGCGCGCCCGCATGAAACTTTTGTTTTTAACTTCTTTTCTTTATTTTTTTTTGTTTTCTTTGTGACTTTGTAGTCTGTATTGTTATATTATTTGTATTTTGTATTGTATTATTTTAAACTTAAAAGCTCAAAGCCAAAGCCTATTCCAAGTTTGCAACATAAAAAACAAAAAAAAAAAAAAGAAGCAAAGGAAAGAAGAACACAGACTGACAGAGGCAGCGAAGTACTCACTCGGGACTCTCGGATCTGCGTCGGCTCTCTCCAGGTTAGTTCTTCTTCTTCTCTCCTTCTTCTCTCCTCCTTCTCTTCTCGGATCTGCCGGATCGGTGATTCGGTCAGATTTTTTTTTTTTCCTTCTTTTCTTCTTCTTTTCTTCTCTCGAGTCCGGGCCCTGGGGCCTCTCGGCTCTTTCTTGCTAGATATTTATGTCATTTATTTCTATTTTTCTTCTTCTTTTTATTTTTTTTATTTATTTTTTTTCCTCTAGTTTTATTCTTCTTTTTCTCTTTTTCTTTTTTTCTTCTTCTTTTCTTGAGTCTCAGCTCTCTCCTGGCAGATTTGTTTTTTTTTTTTTTTTCTTTTTATTTATTTATTTATTTATTTTTTTCAGTCTCGACTCTCTCCTGAGTCCTGGCAGATTTTTTTTTTTTCTCTTCTCTTCAGTCTCGGCTCTCTCCTGGCAGATTTTTTTTTTTTTTCTTCTTTTTATTATTATTATTTTTTTTTCTTACTCCAGTTTTTTTATTTTTTTTTCATTTTTTTATTATTTATTTATTTATTTGTGTGAGGTACTTTATATTAATCTGATTTATTTGTGTGAACAGTTGTATTTGTTCCATTCTAACATGTTGTTGGTTTGAGGAAATGCATTTTTATCTAATTTTGTTAAAATGAAATAATTAGTTAAGTGTACTCTAATAATTAGTTAAGTGTACTCTAATTTTGTAAAATCTTGGTATACATTGTTGGATCGAAATTTTTGGCAGCTTAAACTTTTGTGATAATTAATATTCTCGAGTATTAAGGACCATTATGTACAAAGAAGAATCGAAGATAAAAAAGTGCTTTGCATATATACCACTTTCTTAAGGTAATGATTGAGTTAAATCCATGAAGAGCTGAAATTGCTGAATAGAAAGTAACTAATATTTTTGGTGAGGCCAGTAATCACGTGTCACGGACTGCTTTTTCTCCAAATTCTTTTGCTCTTCACTAAATTATACTTAAGCTCGGCTGCTCGGTGAAAATGGAAACATGTAAATTATGGTGTATACGGAATCATATTCTCATTAAAAAAATTTAAAATGTATACATGCAAAGTGATCATAACTCATAAGATGTGTTGATTAACTGTGGACTCAAAAAGCACAATCAATCTCAACATGGAAGTTTGGAACAGAAAGAGAATGAAAGGAAAGCAGGCACCCAAGCGAAAGTGATTGCTCTTGCCAATGAAGCCGTCACATTGTCAATACTTAATACATTACCTTACCCACTCAAAAAAACAAATGAAAAGTTAATAAATTATTCAATATCCGGATTTGCACATTCAGAGTTTACCATTTAATAATAATAATAAATTCATAGCATTCATCCAATTTGAGCTAGTAACCAAATTCTAATGAGAGTATGAGACCTTAAAGAATAATATTTTGTTTTTTGCATTCTGCCAAAGCTTTGTATTTATTTTTTTAAATTGAAATGTTAATATTGCTAATTGCTTTGAAGCTCTGTATTTATTTATTTATTTGCCAGAGTTGTTGCAGACACTAATTACATGATGCTATTATTTTGTTATCTTGAATTTGATTGTAGTTTGTACTTTAAAAGATGCCTAGTGATGGTTCAAGAAAGGATCCGGCATGGAATTACTCATATTTGGAGAATCCGAAAGATACAAATGCCGTCACTTGTAACTTTTGTGCAAAAGTTACAAAAGGAGGTATTTATCGGGCTAAATAACACTTAACTGGAGGGTATAGAATTGTGAGTGCGTGCCCAAGATGCCCATCTAGTGTTAGAGAAGAAATCAAAGAATACATGAGTAAGAAAAAGGAAGAAAAAGATTAAATAAATTTGTTACCTAGTGATGAAATTAATTTCATTGATGGAGAGGATGAGGATGACATTATGGAAGTTAACAATCGAGGAAAAAGGGTAGCCAGTGCAGGCAGTGGCAGTGCTAGTGTCAATTCCTCAAAGATGCAAAAGCAAAAGGGACCGATTGATTTATATTTCACTCCCAGACCGGAAATTGTGGTACAAAAAAGAAAGGAGGGGGGAAAACAAATAGCCATTAATGATGCATGTAAGAAAGAGTTGAGAGGAAGAGCGTGTGCTGCTTTTGCAAGGTGGATGTATGATGCAGGAATTGCATTCAATGCTGTTAAGTATGATAGCTTTGCCGAGGTTGTTGAAGCAAGTGGACAATATGGTCCGGCATGAAACCACCTAGTTATCATGAGGTGAAAGTTCCTTTGCTTGGGAAGGAATTGGATAATACCAATGCTTTAATGAATGACCATAGGGAGGAGTGGTCAAAATTTGGATGCTCATTAATGGCAGATGGGTGGACAGACAAGAGAGGGAGAACATTGCTTAATTTCCTAGTAAATAGTCCAAGGGGAACCATGTTTATTGAGTCGATAGATACTTCTTCTTTTTCAAAGGATGGTGATAAGATGTTTGACTTACTTAATAAATTTGTGAACCGCATTGGAATAGCAAATGTCGTCCAAGTCGTCACAAATAGTGAGTCAAGCAATAAGTATGCCGGTAAGAATGTTCAATGTTTATAACTTTTAGAGTTTACATTCTTTACAAATATATAATTTAAATCAATTTTGATTTACTCATTCTCTTTATATCATTTTTTCTTTTTTTCGTTTGGTTTCAAATAGGGAGGATGTTAGAGAAAGAACACCCACATTTGTATTGGACCCCATGTGCTGCTCATTGCTTAGACTTGATGTTGGAAGACATTGGGAAAATACCGTCCATCTCTAGAACAATGCAGAGGGCAGTGGAGTTGAATAGTTATATTTATATGCGACCAAAGTTGTTGAACATTATGAGGAACTTTACTCACAAAAAGGAGTTGCTTAGGCCTGCTAAGACTCGATTTGCTACATGTTTAATCACATTATCAAGTATTCACAAGCAAAAGAATAACTTGAGAAAGATGTTTACTTCAGAAGAATGGAATCATAGTAAATGGGCGAAAGAGGAAGCCGGTAAAAGAGTTGTTTCTTATGTTTTGATGCCTTCCTTTTAGAACAACATTGTCTTTAGCCTTAAGGTTTCTGGTCCTCTTATTCCGGTTTTGAGATTAGTTGATGGCGAGAGAAAGCCTCCCATGGGATACATTTATGCGGCTATGGATAGGGCTAAAGAAGCCATTGCAAAATCATTTGGGGGAGTAGAAGATAAATACTCAGATATTTTTGAAATAATTGATAAGAGGTAGAATGTTCAACTTCATCGCCCTTTGCATGCAGCAGGTTATTATTTGAACCCAGAATACTTTTATTCAAATTCGAAAATTGAAGAAGATGAAGAGATTGCAAAGGGTTTGTATGCATGCATTGCAAGGTTAGTCCCGGATGTCAAAGATCAAGACAAAATTACTGAGGAGCTGTCCTTATATTCTAAAGCTGAGGGCCTCTTTGGTAATCCCTTTGCTATTAGACAGAGAAGTACACGAGGACCAGGTAAAGTGGTAAAGTATATTTAGTATAGCTAAGTGTTAAAATTATTTTGACAATAGAGTCGATAGAAAGATGAAGCTAAAGTTGCTAAACATCATTATTAATTTTTTTTTAATAGCGAATTGGTGGGAAGCTTATGGCAAGTCAACAAAACTTCTCCAAAAGTTTGCTATAAAGGTTTTAAGCCTTACTTGCAGTTCTTCTGGTTGTGAACGAAATTAGAGCGTGTTTGAGCATGTAAGTATATACTATTTACTAACTAGGTTTGTAATTTAATTGTTGAAAATTAAAATTTTAATTTTTTATACTTACTAGTTAAAGTTGAATTTATTGCAGCTTCATAACAAGAAAAGAAATAGGCTCGCTCAAACAACGTTGAATGATTTAGTGTTCATTAAATATAATAGAGCATTGAGGCGTCGATATAATATGCGTGACACTCTTGATCCCATTTTACTCGATGACATTGATGAGAGCAACGAGTGGTTGACGGGGAAGATGGATGATTCTGATGCAGAACATGATCTAGTCTATGAAGATGATTCCTTGACATGGGGTGATGTTGCTAATTTTGCTGGTATTGGAGAGGCAAGCAGGCCGCAACGGTCTACTAGATCAAAATATAGTTATAGTTCACGGTTACCAACAAAGGGAGCAGGAAGTTCTTCAGTTCGACTTGTGGATGAGGATGAGGATGATTCAGATGAGATAGAAGAGAATCCTGAGAATTATGAATCATTTAGTGACGATCAAAATGATGTTATGCTTATTGATGACGAGGATGATATTTAAATTCATTGGTGTTGTCTTCTTAGGAAGAATGATGTTTATGTTTGTTTTAGTTTTATCTTATACTTCTCCTTAGTAGACTTTTGCATCTTTATGTTAATATGTTTGATTATTCACTGTTTTGAACTCAAGTACTTGATTTACTTGGTTTTGGCATCTTTATGTTGAATATTTAACTTAAGTAATTCATTTAGTTGACTTTTACATCTTTCTATATACTATTGCATGATTTGCATCTTTAATACTTTATTGGGTGGGTTTTTTTTTTTTTCCAACGTGCGCCTTGCTTCAGTCGGGCGCGCGCTTCGCCTTGCGCCTTGCACCTCAGGCTCCAAGAGGCATTTGCGCTTTTGTGCGCCTTGAGCCTTTAACAACTATGGTGGTGACAATGATGGTGGGTGGAAGGCAATGGAGGTTGTGGTGGTAACAATGGTGGTGGTCGTGGTGGCGATGGTAGAAGGCAGTGGAGGCTGTTGCGGTGTGGTGGTTGAAGGCAACAATAATGGTGGCGGTGGCAGCGACAGTGGTGAAAGGTAATAGAGTTGGCAATGGTGAAAGGTGGCGGTGATAGTGGCGGAAGGTGGTAACGTACAACGGTGGTAGTGGTTTTTGAACTTAGAACATGTTGGTTTTTTGAAAACTTAATTTTAAAAATATATATATATATATATATGGGAATTGAATGGTCAATCCATATGTTTAGTTGTGGAATGGATGTCCATTCCCACTTTAAATTGCATACCAAATAAAAGAATTGTTGGAATGAAAATTCCATTCCATTCAATTCCTGCACACTAATGCTATGTTTGGGGTGCAGGAATGCAAGTGGGAATGGGAATGGAATGGAGTGGCCATTATTATTCTATTATTTGGTTATAAATATGAAATGTGTAGGAATGAAATGATAATAACCATTATATTATTTGGTTGAACTAATTTTAAATTTAGAATGAAATAAATTTCTAATTGAATTCTCCAAAATATATCTCTTACTAACAAATAAATCAAATTAACAAAATGACATTCTTTAATAATTTTTAAAAATAAATGGTGGCAGTAGTGGATGGTGGAGAGTGGTAATGGTGTAGGTGGTGGTGTTAGAAGGTGGCGGTGGCGGTGAAAAGTGTCAGTGCTATTGGTGGAAGGCGGTGGCAGTAGTGTGGTGGTTGTGGAAGAAAAAGATAGTAGTGTGACTATGGTGGTGGTGGAAGGCAGTGGAAGTGGCGGTGGTGGAAGGTGGTGACGATGGTGGTGGTGGAAGGCGATAGCAGTGGTGGAAAGTAGTGGCGGAGGTGGTGGTGATGGAAAGTGGTGGAAGGCGGTGGCGATAGTGGTGGTGGAAGGCGGTGGCGATAGTGGTGGTGGTGTTGGTGTAAGGCGGTGGCGACGGTGGTGGTGGCGAAAGTTGGTGATGGTGGCGAAAGGTGATGACAGTGGTGAAAGGCGATGGCGGCGTGAAAGGTAGTGAAAGGTAATGGCAGTGGTTGTGATACCCCTCGGATTTGAGACACGGGTTGATCAGGCCCAGGCCCAAACCCGAGGGAAATATCAACCAATCAATACGTAATTGAACACATAATACAAGATGAAATAAGAAATGAAAATAATAAGCTGAAAGATTGCTAATTGAAAATCCTTAAAATATAATTATTGAAATCCAATACTCCAAAACTCCATAAGGTTAACAACCCAGGAATCCATCCAGTAGGCCCCTTATTAATAATCCCAATAGAAACTAAAATAACTGAAATAAAATCTAAAGCTAAACATAGAAAGAATTCCTACGTAGTCTGAGGAATGAATGTCCGTATCTGCACTGCACGTCCAAGCTTTAACCCTGGAACTGACGAACACCTGAAAAATAAGAGAGTGGGTCAGGCCCACATGCAAGTTCTATTCTACTACAATCCATACAGTAATCTGATACGCAGATACATCATAGGAAGACCCAATAATATCTAGAGTAATGCATATGTATATATATAGTACACACTATAGGACGCTCGCTAGTCTAGTAGGTTTGTCTCAGCCTGAGTAGAGATACTATGCAAATCGCACGTAATGTGGTCATGTGTGCCTAGACCTACCAGGGAACAACACCTATGTCCAGTTATCCATCCTAGACGATATACGCGCCCTAACCATGGTCCCGAGACTCAAGCTCATACCATGGCACCATAACATAAATATATAAAATCCGTGTCCTCCTAGTACAAAATATCATCCGTCTGATATAATGGCTTGCTATCTGTATAATAATTCATCCCATAAATCCGATTATGTCATTCAGTTATTTACTGACCTAACACCAACAGAAGTAGGACTTAACTTTTATTGTTAATCCGAACCTTAATCCAGATTAGGTAGGCTCAGTGTCTGAACTAGTCCATACCTAGTATGCCACCGTCCCATACCGTTGCACACCATCCTCCATTTACCATAGTTGACAAAACAATTAAATAGTTATTAACTACATTCCAAAATAAGCACAATTACAATCTAACATGCGTAAAACTGAATCATGCATTCAATAATAGATTTAGAAATCCTGTTCCAATCCTTTAAATTAACGAAGTACAACTACGCATTTTACTCCTCCAACCAGTCCATAGATTTACATAGTTATGTATATTTCCACATCAAGCACTCCAAATTAAGCATAATTATTTCAAGTAACCAACTATGCTCAATACAGTGTTACAACATGATTAACAGTATTAAATCATATAAACATAAATTGCTAAACAAATTTCAGTAAGCCATTTAAAGTAATTGTTCAACCTTCCACATGCAGGCTTCCTGTTTAACCCTGTGTTGTTTCATGCTATAACATAATTATATTAACATGCTTCCCAGTATTTCTGCATGCTTATAAGAGTTATATAGACCATAAACTGAAATCTAAACAACTTAAAATTAATCCAAATTGCACAGCAGTACCCTAAACCATCGAAAAATCACAAAACCGGAGGAAAATAGGGTTGGAGCCGCCTCCAGAACATTGGAGCCAGCTCCCCCCCTACGTGGAGCCATCTCCACCTTATGTGGAGCCGACTCTACCCCTTGTAGAGCCGGCTATACAAGCCCTAGAGCCGGCTCCACCCTTTTGGTGAGCCAGCTCTCCTCTTTTGAGAGCCGTATCCCCTAACCTGTTCGTCTTATTCGCCTCCGGCGAGTTCCAGAGTCACCGTACAGTTTTTAAAATTTATTCCAGGGTTCAATTGATGTCCTATAATTTATTAAAAGCATGCATTCAATCCAAAATACACAAAGGTAAGTAAGATTACAACCAGTGCAAACAGATTCTTAAACAATAATAACTTCTTACACAAAATAGATTTATGCAACGATTTAAAAATTTATTCAAACATGCTTACAAGATCAATATTAACTTTAATTTAATCCATTTTAATGCTTGATTAATCCCTGGGGTCTAAATAGGCATGCACAGAACACGAATTAAATGGAAGGAATAGAATAGTGACTTACCTTGAGTTTTAAAACTCTAAACTACTGTCTCTGAAACTTTTATCCACATTCGAGACTCCTGTTCTAAATCTCAAGTGCTCTTGGTTCAATCCAGAACCACTCCGTCCAGTGTATCATTGAACCTCTCCGTCAACCTTACCAGTTTTCACTCTCTGTATCTCTCTGTCTCACGGTATACGTATCAGTGAATAGGGTTTTTCTATGTAACCCTAAACCAACGTATAATACTGTATTTATAAGTGTTAGCACAACCCTAATTCTAATAAAAACCAACCCTAAGTCGGCTACATCCGTGTAACTAAAACCCTAATATAAATACATATGTGCCTCCATACAGTCACGTTAAAACAAGTTAAATATAATTAACTTAATTCAATTAAAACAACTAAATTACATTTGTTAAACAATTATCTAATAATTAATTCAATACAATTTATGTAAATATAAACAATTTCAAATAATGCAAATATAATCAAACCGTCAGTTAAATAAACAACAACAATTAAATAAATAATCAAATAAATAATTAAACAAAAAAAATGCAATGTAAACAATATAATAAATACCAGGACTATCCTTTTGAAATTAGGGATATTACAGTGGTGGTGGTGGAAGGTGGTGGCAGTAGTGATGGTGAAAACCAGCGGTGGTAATTGTAGCAAATGGTGGCGGTAGTGGTGTGAAAGCCGGCGGTGGTAGTTGTGGCAAACGGGGGCGGTAGCGGTGGTGAAAGGCCGTGCCGGTGGTAGTGGTGGAAAGTGGTGGGGGTAGGGGTGGAAGACAGTGGTAGTGGTGGTGGTGAGTAAGGCGGAAGTAGTTGTGGTGGACGGTAATGGTGGTTTTTTGACTTAAAACATGAGGGTTTTTTGGGAAGTTGATTTTTTAAAAAAAATTACTTGGGAATGGAATGGTTATTTTATAGGTTTAGTTGTAGAATGAATTGTCATTCAAATGAAATGGCCATTCCATTTCATTCGTGCGCATCAAATAAAAGAATGGTTGGACTGGGCATTCAATTCCATTCCATTCCTGTACACCAAACATAGCGTTAATGTAACATTAGGGATTAGTAGTTAGTTGTTAGAGGGGAGAGGGAGGGTGTAAGGCTCGAACACGGACTTCTAGATACGGAGGGCAACCCAACCATACAAGCAACACAACACTTTTCACTTAGGCTTGTGTTGGATTGATGGATTTAGAAAATAAAGAAAAGGATAGTGATTATATGTTAAAGACTTAAAGTTGCTGCTATTGAGGGTACGGGAGTAATTTAGTTGTTTTCATTTCATTCATTTTTTTTTGTTTTCTCTCATCTACCTTTTCCAAATAAGAATATTATCATTTCATTTTTTTTTATTGTCCAATTATAAATAATTTATCAAATGAATAGAAGTTATTATTTTATTTATTTCTCTCATAACTAATATTGTATTATCCTAACAAAGCCTTAAATAACAAGGACTTCTCCAATTGTTTTAAAAAGGGAGCTGATATTAGCCCCACAAATGAAATCT